CGTCGAAACGCCAGGTGCTGCCCCGGCCGCGCGGCCGATAGCTCGCGCGGGAGGGGCACCTCCCAAGCTGATTTAAAATGGAACGCGCTGGCGCGGAACCGACGGACCGCGCGGAAGGGCCGCTAGGGAGGCCCCACATGGAGAAGAAACGCTCGAGAGCGAGCGCCGCGCGGGGACTTGGCGGGGCGCCGGGGGCGGTTGGGCCCCACGCCCGCGCAAGTCGAGCGAACTCCGCTTCTGGTGAGTAGCGCTCGCAGGGCCCGCCGCGGGCGCGGGGGCCCTGGAAAAAATGCTGCCGCGACCGCGGCGAGGCCCCGGCGCTCTCCCCTGGGGGCCGCGGCGCGCGGCTGCGCTGGCGGCGGAGAAGAGGGTGCTGACGGCAAACGTCGGCTTCGAAGCCTCAGCGACCGGCCGCGGGCGCGGCGGCGCAATGGCGAAACCGCCGCGCGAGGCAGCGCAGCCCGCCGCGAGGGGCTCCTCTCCAACTGAGCGGGGGTCCCCGGGGGAGCCCGCGGCCCCCCCCCGATCCCCCCGCCGCCTTTCCGCGGCGCCCTGCCCCCCCCCGCTTGACCACGATGTTGGGCACCTTTTTGGCTTCTAGTTCGCAAGTTTTGTTGGCCTTCCTTCCGCGGAGGTGCGCTTTTTGTTGACGACGGTGTTGTTCGCAATTACATCAGTAATGGGAAATCGCGTTCGAAATCGTGGGACATTTCACGGATCCCTGCGAGGGGGCGCGGAATCGTGGCCGAAAAATGCAAGCAAAATCGCGCCCGAAACCGCGGTCATAATCGTGTCCGAAATCGCTCGTGCAATCATCGCCGAAATCGTGGGCAAAATTTTGGGCGCAGAATCGCGGGCCTGCCCGGCGCGCCGGCACGCCGAGCAGGCGCGCCCGCGCAACGTCGGCGACGGCAAGGAAAAGAGAAGGAGGAGGGAGCGGCAGCGGCAACAGGAGGGCCAGCAGCAGCAACACAAACAAAAGAAAGAATTGGAAGCAGCAGCGAGAGAGGAAGAGAGAAGGAGTCGTCGAAATTGGCCCGCCCGTTCGTCGCGCGCCCCAAACGCACTGGACATGCTGCTCGGGGGAAACACGCCGGCCCAACGGGCCAGAAGCGTGCGAGGATATCGGGCGACTGCCTCGCAGAAATTATACCTCGTGCGCGCGGGGCGGCCCGTGAGGGCCCCCGGACGCAAAGTGCACTGGCCAGGTCGGACCAAAGATGGTCTTTCTCCTGGGCGCGGCTTCCAGGCGCCCCAAGGCGATCCCCCAAAAAACCCAAGAGGCGCCCGAGACGATCCAAGAGGGCTCCGAGTCGTCGAACGATCGGCCCGCGACGCCCACGATGGCTTCCAGACGGCCCACGACGCGCACAAGACCCCCGAAGAAGCCACCGCGAGCTGAAACGGTACCCGAAAACGCGATTCTGAACTTCAGAGAAAAAAGGTAGCAGGGAGACGAGGCAGAAACAGACCGGGGGCGACAACGCTCGAATGACGCGTCGAGACGAGATTGCGCGCAAGCCGCGCGTCGAATGCCCAACATCGGAGCGGGTCGGCGACGCAGCAACTTCTGGACAGAGAAAGCCGAAACAAACTTCGAAATCTATTTTCTGTTTCGGAAAACACACACACACAAAAACGTTGGATCAATCCGCTTGGGGGACGCAACTTCATGAAATTCAAATTCTTGAAATATTGTTACAGCAGTGTCGCGGTCGAGCATCAAATGAGCCCGGCGAGCAACTTATACTCCGCAACGCTTGTCCTGCACGTGTTACGTGGAAAGGGGACCGCCGTTCATCGTATGGGGTTCCCGTGTCCATGATGCGGCTATGCTGCTCGTGCCGAAAAACTCAAAATTGCCAGTGACCGCGGTAATCGCGCCTTTGCTTTTTTCCCCGTCATATGGCCACGTTCCAAATCGTGCAGCTTGTCCCCAATCGCGAAGTCATGCTGAAGGCTACCCCAGAAGCTGCCCACCAAGGTCTCGAAGCTGCATCCTTAGTCCGCATTGCCACAACACGCAAAGTAAGATGGTCGACAGCCGCTTGCAAAAGGAACGTTTTCAATCCCAGGCCTTTGTGCTAACCCCCATGTTGGCGCATCGCTGCAATGTCAGAAATGATCGGCTCCATTTGCTCACTCAACATGAGTAACTATGAGTAACAAGAATCCAGCCGTTACGTCCACAACGCCTGTCGCTGTAAGTTCCATGCGCCGTTCGAACAAATATGTGTTGCTGTTGGGTGCCAGCGTCTTGACTGCCGACGCCACCGCCAGCTACTGTCGACCTCAGAGGGTTTGCCAAATCCATATGATGCTGTGACCTGTGGAGTCAAGGTTGCTTCTGGTCATTTCCGACTTTGACTGCGGAACGTCTCGGCTCAAGTGACGATATGGCCTGCTTCTCAAGTATTCGTCGAAAAATGTCGGACGTCAAACAAACGTACGTCGGAGAGATAGAACATGCGAGAGGGCACGTTCAAGTGAATGTGTGAATGCACTATTTCGGACTGAGCCAGCAAGGGAAGGCTCCTTAGTAGAAGGAGGCTGCTTCAAGGAAACCTCCCACTCTCCCCCTGCCCCCTTCTGCGCGTGGGAGACCTCCTGCGACGGCCCCCCTCTCAGCCCCGAGGCTCTCCGCCCGCCGCCTGCCAAGGTCTTGGAGCGACGCGGAAGGGTCGTCACGAAGGGGGTCGGTCTGCTGCGGGTGGGCCCGGCCCCCTCCCCCCTCGTCTCGCGGCTGTCTGTGGTGGAATGGGGTTCGAGGATCGAGGATCGTCTGTTATTCCTGACGCTCCTGGGAGAGAAACTCGAAATTCCCCGGTCTCTCCTCGCACCGTGGAAGTATCACGAACGGATGTGTTGGTCAATATTTGGCCTCCGTGGGAGCTGACGTGGCACAAGGACCGTCAAAGACAACTCAAAAGAAAAAAAGCCCGTCCCCAGGAGGAAGTCCAGACCTCCAGGGAACCCGATTGTTGAAATAGATCGACGTGGGATATCTGGGTTCCAGGAGTAGGGAATATCTAAACTCAAAAGATTCGACGCCTGTGGTTCCTCTCTTGGGCCTCGAGAAACCTCCAGAAAGCGGGCGGGCGAGGGGCGAGGATCAGCAAGGAGGAGCGAGATTGGGAACCCTGATGTACTTGACTATGTTCAGCTGTATCGTTCTCTCTCTCTCTCTCTCTCTCTCTCTTCTTCTCCCCCTCCCCCTCCTCCTGCTCCTCATCGTCCCCCTCCATCTCCCCCTCCTCCTTCTCTCCCTCCCCCTCCTCCTCCTCCTCCCCCTCCCTCCCTCCTTCCTACCTCCTTCCCTCCTCGCCTCCCTCTTCCCTCCCTGCTTCCCTCCCATCCCTTCCAGCCTCTCCCCTTCCCCCTCCCTGCCGCTTTCCTCCCTCCCCCTCCTCCTCCTTCTCCTCCTCCTCCTCCTCCTCCAAGTGCTCCTCCCGCCGTGCCTCTTTCACGACGCGAGCGGGACTGGGATTTCAGTGGGGCGCCCCCCTCTGCGTTGGGGGGGGCGCCCCTCTTCTGTTCTGCCTCTCGTTATGGTTTTCTCTTCTTCATTCTGCTCGCTACCCTGACAGTCCTGGGGAAGGGAGCTCAAACACTTTTCACGTGCCCACAAGCATGCCCTGATCGCATCAGCTACTCACCCCACAGCACACCACGTCCTTCGCATTGAATCATTACGGCCACCTCCCAAACGCGCTGAACTCTCACTGAGCAGCGAAAGTACCGAGTGCGCCCTTCGAATACAACTGCACGGGCATGACGGTCGGCTTGAACGGCTACCGCCCATCTGACAACACACGACAACGTCAATACCCCACGCAACCATCAAACACGAATGCCCGCGGACTTGACCGTCGGATTGGACAACACTACTGCGTGACCAACAACACATTCCAAACATCGACGTTCCCGACCCACGTGCTGCCTATGCCAATTAAATAATCCGGCAAGACATCTACAAACGCGGCCAACGTGCCACACAAATGATAGTGATAAGGAAAGCACGGGAAGGAGTGGTCCAGGGGATGACAAGCGGCATCCACAGGCCGATAAATACCGGACACCGCACAGAACGATTTTGGAGCCCCTCCTCCTCCCCCTCCTCCTGGATTTCTGAATATATTGATGCGCGCGATTTTTTTTTCGACAACAGAGACGGTCGATGCACTGCCAGTCTGGCTAAGCATTTGTTCCGCAATTCTTTTCCAACCGACGGCACGAAGCATTGTCGTGCCGCCTCGTCCTGCAGGGTGCATGCCTTGAGTGAGTGAGCGACGCCTGGACCTCAGGTGGGGCGGGGAAGGCGCTGGAAGAACTTGCCTGCCACAAGGCGCTCGGCTCGCCCACGGAGTGCACGCCGTCTGCGGGTCTTGACGCCTCGTCCAAAAGGGGCTACGAGAGGCCGATGAACACCGAAAACCGCCCATCACGACTTTGGAGCGACGCCTGGACCTGAGGTGTTGCACACGGCTGTCTTGGAGCCACTCTGGGGGAGGAGGAGGAGGAGGAGGAGGAGGAGGAGGAGGAGGAGGAGGAGGAGGAGGAGGAGGAGGAGGAGGAGGAGGAGGAGGAGGAGGAGAGGGAGGAGGAGGAGGAGGAGGAGGAGGAGGAGGAGGGGGCGAGGGTGCTGGCAGAGCCTGCCTGCCTCGGGGCGTTCGCCTCGCCAGCAAACCGCACGCCGTCCGCGGGCCTCGATGCCTCCTCCGAGAAGGGGCTCCGCGGGGGGTGTCACGTCGCCAGCAGCCCTGGGACAGGTGGCCACGATGGCGGAACATGAAACTTATGCCTGTTATTCTTGCTCGTACGACCAACGATTCTCTCATTATCTATCACTATGTTACTTACCGCGAGTACCAACATGGAAAATGTCGTTCGGATCATTGTTAGTAAGGGTCATTTGTCCGCCAAGTCTTCCTCCTCCACTCCGCCTCCTAACTCCTGACCCCTGCTGCTCGACAGTGTCCTAGACCGCCTCCCCTTCGGGCCTCCGCCGCCAGCTTCTGCGCCAGAGCGGCCTTGATGGATCTGCGGAGCAGCTGCCTGGACTCCTTGCCGAACGTCGATTTGGACGACACTTTGCCTGGGGTATGGCGAGGAGGTGAAGAATGAGAGGATCAAAAGCAGAAACGCCATAAGTGTAGAACAGGGAACGACCGTGTCCTTATAAAGCAAACGTTGATAGAGCAAACCATGTTCCTAAACCATTACAGCCAAGTCTGCGAACTAGGCTGCTTTATACACATAGCTTTAACGCATGTCACATAATACAAAACGTGGAAGGTTACTGGATCAGTGCGGCCTGTCTATCTTCTTGGCAGACCAGGACGTTTCGTCGGTGCTTGAAACTCACATGCTGGTTTGACATAGAAACACACACAACAATCATAACAAAGCACAACCCGTGTTCCCGAGAAGTGGGCGCGCCGAAAAAACGTCAACGTATAAGCCAACCAGGCTAAGATGCACAATACAAATTTTCCCCTGGACAATTCGTCAACACTGCTGTTTCTTGTACGTTCCCCACCGCAACATTTCCCGAAAAAACGTTTGGCCTGGGGGGGAACATCAAAACGTGAGACGGCCAATCGACTCGGTCGCACTCTCCGAGCGCGCAGCGGTTCGCCGCGGGGTGGGCGACCGTCGCAAGAACTGCGTTACCAGATGTTCCCGTCGACGTCTGGCCAACGGTACATTTGGCCCGACAAAACGGAGAGCGGGGGCGGGCCCCACAAATTCGAGAGAGCGCGTTTCACGGGCACTTGCCTTGGGAACATTCGGCGGCGCGTTTCGAACCGGGGCGGGGGGCCCAACATTCGGCGCCGTCGATCAGAATCAGGAGGACTCCCCACCCCCCTAACCCCCCCCCGGTTTCCAATCCCCCCCCCCTTCCCCCCAAGGGGGGGAGGCGTCCAACCCCCCCCCAGGAAAGGAATAGGAGATTTTATGTCCCCCATGTTTTTCTCTTCCGGCTTCCCACGGGGGGAGGGGTTCGATCCCCCCCCTTCGGTGCCAGTGCTGGCGCCTGCGCTGGCGGCGGCCAGCAGCACCAACAGCGGGGACGCAGCGACGACGACCAGAGAGAGCCCACAGGCCGCAGCGAGAAAATACAAATCGCCATATCAAGCCATCGCTCCCCAAAAGCCACCGGGGGCCCTCAGGAAGTTCCAGGAGACGCCCAAGAGGCACCCAGGAGCCCTCACACATGCTCCTCAGACGCACCCGAGACTCCTCTGACGAGACCCCACGAGGCATCCATGAGAACTGTGACCCAAAGCCAAGGCACGGTGGCGGGAAGACCCAAAAGACCACACCACCACCACCACAAACCACCACACCGCAACAACAACCACCGCAACCCACCACCACCACTACAACCAGCACCACCACAAGCCACTACACCACCACCACCGCCACCGCCACCACCACCACAACCCACCACAACCCACCACAAGCCACCACAACCACAACCACCACAAACCACCACAAACCACCATCAGCACCACCACCACCACCACCACCGCTACCACAACCCACCACCACCACAACCCACACCACCACCACCACAGATCACCACAGCACCACCACCGCCACCACAACCACCACCGCCACCACCAACCACCCACCGCCGCCACCAGCACCACCACCAGCACCAGCACCAACACCAACACCACAAACCACAACGCCACCACCACAACTACCGCCACCACCACAGCCCACCACCACCACCCCAACACACCACCACCACCACAAACCACCACACAACCACCACCACCACAACCCACCACCACCACCATTACCACAACAACCCACCACACCACCACCACCACCACCACCACCACCACCACCACTACCATACTACCACCACCACCACCACAATCCACCACACCACCACCACCGCCACAACCAACACCACCACTACAACCACCACAACCCACCACCACCACCACAAACCACCACACCACCACCACCACCACCACCACCACCACAGACCACCACAAAACCACCACCACCACAACCACCACATCACCATCGCCACAACCACCACCTCCACCACCACCAGTCTACGACGTCGACGTCGACGTCGTCGACGTCCACCACTACCTACAACCACAACCTACCACCGCCTCAACCACCACCACCACCACAGCCCACCACCACCACCACCACTACCACCACAAACCACCACCACACCACCAACACCACACCACCAACACCACCACCACCACCACCCACCACCCAGCACCCATCACCAGCACGAGCAACAGCTCCAGCACCAGAAACCACAGCACCACCACCACCACCACAACCTACCACCACAACCACCACCAACAACACAAACCACCACAAAACCACACCCACCACAGCCACCACCACCACAACAACCTACCACCACCACCATCACACCAACAAACCACCAACACCACCACGACCACCGCCACCACCGCCACCACGACTACCACCGCCACCACCACCACCACCACAACCACCACAATCCACCACCACCACCACAACAACCAGCACCACAACAAACCACTACACCACCACCACCACCACCACAACCCACCACAACCCACCACAACCCACAACACCAACACCACTACCACGACCGCCACAACCAACTTCTCCGCCACCACCACCACCTACCACCACCACCTCCGCCACCTCAAACACGCCACCACCACAGCCGTCGACGTCGTTCTCGTCGACGCTCCCCGCCGCCAGCCGACGCAGGCGCTGGGGCCCGCCCAGCAAACGAAGTGGCCATCCTCGTCGACGCTCTCCACCGCCGCCGCCAGCCGCCGACGCCGGCGCCGGCCCGAAGAGAAGGAGAGAGGAGAAGTAGGGGAGGAGGGAGGAAGGGGGGGGGGGGTTCTGGGGGGGTCCGGTTCCCCCCCCCCCCCTTTCCAGCGCCCACATAACGCGCTCGGCGCAAGCGAGGCAGGACTGAGAAAAATACCCCCCGTTTGCCCCGAAAAAATCTGCGACGGCCCGCCGTGTTCGACGCCGGCGGCGGCCACCGCCCTGAGCGAGCACATCGCCGCAGATGTATGGGAAACCCCATCGTTTCGCTTGTATCCTGGATAACAGCAAGGGGTCATACAATTATGGAAAGGCACCATGGTGACGCGCGTCACCCGCAAACTGTGCCAGACAAGCAGGTGAGTGTCAGTTGCATTATGGGCGTTAGCATGCGTCATACAATGTGAGAGGTCCAAGGGGTAGCACATGACACTCCAACACTTGTGTGAGAGAAAACATTATATAGTTTGACTTGTAGTCCTGGCGTCCTGGCGCCACTCTGAGTCACAGAGATGACAAGCGAGACCCGGAACATCGTTTCACATGTAATCTAGGAATCACTCTTTATACGAAAACCGCCAACAGCCACCGGACTCTCCCAGGCATCGACTGTGAGCATCGTTAGGGCAGCGAGCTGGAGGGTCCCAACAGCTGTCCCCGAATGTCATTCTGCTAATGCGCAACAAAGCAGACGACACCACACTTCTCGTCCCCATAGGCGAGCCCCGATTGCTCCTGGCCCCTCGTTCTCTCTGAAAACTCTACACCGACGTGCGCGATAAGCTCAGTTCCCAGTTCGGAGATCTTACAGAAATAGTCGGTGCATCGTTCCTTTTCCCAAGCGAATCACCTGTATCCTTTGGTTGACCCCTGCGAACAGAGTTGACTGGCGGCGACCTGGGAGTGGTGGCAAATCCACCATTGTCCTCTCTGGGGATTCTGCTGAACACGACATCGCCGTTGTCAACCTCGATTATCTCAGAACGAGGTGTCTGTGTCGTCACAAAACGATGTCTTCTGACCCAAACGAAATCTTCTCTATCCGACTCTGCAACTATCACTGTCCGTGAACGGTAGGAGCTCGACTAAGAATGCTCACTCCCCTTCCGAACCAAAAGCGAACTCTGTCCAGGGATGGCGTAGGCCAGTCAGAACGTCAAAACGCTCTCGGGTGCATCAGGAATCGTCTCCTGCCTGCTCTGCACAAACTCCATCGACTCTGGCGTATCCGATGGCACAGGGACCTTCTGTGTGTCGTCGTCGTCGTCGTCGTCGTCGTCGTCGTCGTCGTCGTCGTCGTCATCGTCGTCATCTCTCTCTCTCTCTCTCTCTCTCTCTCTCTGTATTTTAGCGAGACCAGAGCGACCGACGCCAAAGGCATCTCGTGACTCAACCGTTCCACTTCAAAAACATGGGACTGCACATCGATGGTCTCCGTAGCTTCGTCGTCAATATCAACATGTCGATGTTCGTCGGGGATATCGGTTCCATACGCTATGGCGTACACACCAGGCGGGACGTGCAGGACGTGTGCCGACGACACGGCCTCTTTCCATCCTAGCGATTTACTGTACGGATATGGTGCGTTTGTTATTGAATTAGGCTCCCCCAGCATTTACCGGGAGATGGTGAGCAACTCCGACTGTCGAGGGGACCAACTGGCAAAAGCCACTGATGCTCCTTAGGTTGTTGAAGGATGTTGGCGTTTTCGCCGCTTCGGCTTTCCAACGTTCCAAGACGGCCCAACAGGCCCCCAAGACCACCTCAAGACGGCCCAAGAGGCCTCCAAGAGGGCACCAAGACGGCCTAAGGACGCCCCAAGTCGGCCCAAGAGGCGCCCAAGACGGCCCAAGAGGGCCCCTAAGGCGGCCCTAAAAGGGACCCAGGAGAGGGAAGACGAACCGACGATCTGAGCCTTCCGCCCCCAGAGGCCCTCAGGACGTCCCAAGAGGCGCCCAGGAGGCCCCGAAAGGCTTCCAAGAGGCCCAAGAAGCCCGCAAGATGCCCCAAAGAGGTCTCAAGAACTCCCCAAACGGCCCCAAAGAGGCCTCCAGACTGCCTCGAAGAGGCCCCCGAGAGGCCTCCCACGAGATCCCAACGAACATCCAATAGGCTTCATCACCACAACCCAGGCACGGTGGCGGGATGGGCCGAAAGCCATTAGATTTGCTCCAGGACCCGCACCCGCAGAAAGGGCGACCTTGACAAGATCAGCAAGTGGCTTGTCATCCTTGTTAGAAGCGAGACACGCCTCTGATATCTAGATGCGCGGTCGCTTCTAACAGAAATGGGGAACGCGTGTACGAAGCCACGATCTCATAAAGCCACAATCTGCTGCAACAGACTGACCATCCGCGCTCCAACCCCGCTGGCAATCCAGCCAGCCTTCCGACCAGATAGCAAGCCTGCAAACCAACCCTACAACCAACTTGGCCAACCAACCTGCTAACCGAACAAACAAGCAGCCGGACGAACAATCAATAAGCCAACCAATGAGCCAATCAACTAACCAACACGCCCTACCCGGGCATGGACATAATTTTTGGGGTTTGGGCCGTCTGCAGGAGGGCCAAGCCTTTCAGACATAACCGAGTCTCTGCAGCCCTCCATTTCGATCCCTCCGTCAGCCCCCTAAGTTGGATGTGTTGAAATGGTTTGGGTGTCCTCGCCGTTCGGTCCCTAGGGGATGCCGAGGCCTCAAGAAGGCCCTACGATTGTCCATGTGCCCGCCCAGGACAACTCCTGGAAGGCCCCATAGCGGCTGAAGAGCGGGCATCACGGCACGGAGTGGAGGCTCCAAGGCGGCCCCTGAGCAGCCCCAATATGTCCCTGTCTATGACAGCCACAAGCTGCCCAAAGGCAGCCCCGAGGTGGCCCAAGATCGTACAAGACAGCCACCCAGAGGCCTACAGTATGCTGAAGTCATTGCAAGCACATAGCGTGTGCCCAGTGATTTGGGCATTATCGGATTTGGGCCGCCTGTGGGACTCTGCCGTCCCAAGATGGCTCCAGGATAGCCCGAGTGGACTCCACGATGGATCCAAGAAGGGCCCGAAGGGCTCCAAGAGACCCAAGATGCCCGAATACAGCCCCTGCAGGTCGCAAGATAGACCCGAGGTGGCCCAAGAAGGTCCAGGACGGCCCCCAAGACGCCTCCAGGAGGCAAATGCTTGTAAAATACCTGGTCTTGTTGAATCATGTTGGCGTTCTCAAGTTCAGCTGCCTGCGTATAAGCCTATGATGCCTCAAGGTGGCTCCAAGGTCGCCCAACAATGCTCCTGGTGGGGCCGGACGGGCTCCAAGAGCGCTCCGAATACCCCAAGAGCGCCCTAGTAGAGGCCCGAGGCGGCTCCAAGAGGACCCCCAAAGGGGCCCAGGGCGGCCCAAGAGCGCGCATCAAGGGGTGGCATGCCCTAGGACGGCCCCGAGACAGCCGACAGATGCCCTCATGGCAGCCCCAAGATGCCCTGACATAGCCCCGAGGCTGCCCAAGATGGTTCAAGAGGCCCCCAAGCAAGACGTTCCCAGGAGGCCAAGACCGTCCAAGAGCCTAAAATCTTCCAATGGTGTTGACAGTCTTGCCTTTCCGCGGTGGGACGCATCGTATGTTATGGCGCCCCTCGTCCGCCAATCCTCGCCCTCCCTCCCTCCCTTTCGGGCGGCCCCGCGGGGCAGGCCCTGCAGTTCCGTCAGCTCCCGGATGCTGAGCAGCTCCATGCGCACGCCGCCGAGTAGAACGTGCGCCTGCTCCGCACGTGCGGCGTCGTGCCTGACCCAACGCAGCGCGAGCTGCACGACGTCGTGCTCTGCCCCCCGGCTGCCGACGTGCAGGTCGTCCCGCGCGAGCACGGCGGTGGCCGCCTCTGCGCTTAGGGCCAGGAAGGGCAGGGTCTCCGTCTGCAGCCTCCTCGCCAGGAAGGACGCGGCTGCGTCCGCCGAGGTCTTGCAGTTGTGCCGCAGGGCGAGGTCAAGGATGCGCCCGGCGTTGTCCACGCCCAGCGGTGTCGCCCCGAGCACCAGCTCGAAGTAGTCGTCTACCAACTCCCTGAGGTCGAACTGGTCCGCAAACTCGAGAAGCGGGTGCGCCGGGTCCTCCAGCGGCGCCACGTCGTCCTTCTCCAGCTCGCCGCATGCCATGTAGCGTGCCGCGGCCTGGAGGCAAGGAGGCCTTCCCAACCCTCAGCGCTTCAACTCCCCAGACGTCCAGCGGCTGGACCAAAATGCCCAGACGTGCGGCCCTTGGCATATTTGGAAGCCGGTCCGAGGCCCTAGAACAATTTCAAATAATGCAATATGGAAGAAAAAAGGCCCCCAGGAACGGGTCGCGAGGCTCGGGAGCCCATGCCGCAATCAAAATCGAGCCGCCAGATGTCTGGTTCCTCTCCCCTCCTCCTCCTCCTCCTCCTCCTCCTCCTCCTCCTCCTCCTCCTCCTCCTCCTCGTGCTCCTCCTGCTCCTGCTCCTGCTCCTGCTCCTGCTCCTCCTCCTTTTCACACGCCCCCTCCTCACCCTCGCCTCCGGCTCCTGCTGCTCATAATGCTGTTCCTTACCCCATAACCGTACTGAATCCTCAACTAACCTGACCGCAGCGGCACCATCCCTTTTAAAACAATGCCCGCGCTCCCGAGGCTACGATCCCGCGAGTTATGAGGCTCTCCACTTACCGATCTCAACCGTGGATCGTGCTCTCTCCAACGGCGCAGGCACGTCGCCCCAGGGCGCGGCAAAAGAGAGAGAGAGAGAGAGAGCGGACTCTACGTGAGGGTGACCGTGTCCAAGGATGACCCTCGGCGCGCTCCTCTTGTGTGAATGTATGTGCTTGTGTGTGGGAGCGATTATTGAGGGCCTGGCCGCGTCCGCCTTCGCGCGCTCAATACTTCTACTTGTTTACTCGACCGCGTCGCTGCGCGCGGGGCCGCTACCGCCAAAAAGTGCGTGTGTGTATGTTCGTGTGTAAATGAAATGTGTATGTTCGTGTGTGTAAATGTGTAAATGTGTAAATGTGTATGTTCGTGTGTGTAAATGTGTAAGAGTGTGTGTGTGTGTGTGTGTGTGTGTGTGTGTGTGTGTGTGTGTGTGTGTGTGTGTGTGTGTGTGTGTGTGTGTGTGTGTGTGTGTGTGCGTGCGTGCGTGCGTGCGTGCGTGCGTGCGTGCGTGCGTGCGTGCGTGCGTGCGCGCGTGCGTGCATGCGTGCGTGCGTGCGTGCGTGCGTGCGTGTGTGTTTGTATGTGCGTGCGTGCGTGCGTGCGTGCGTGCGTGCGTGCGTGCGTGTGCGCGCGTGTGTGTGCATGTGCGTGTGGGAGGGGGGGGGGCCTCTCCGAGAGCACGCCCCAAAACACCCTGAGGTCTCCTGGCGGGCGCCAGCACCGGGCGCCCCCCTCAGCCCAGCACCAAGGCCCGCCCTGGCGAAGGAACGCCCGTGCGCACTGCTGGGGAGAGGAGCGGGGCCGCATGCCGTGGTGTCCCCAGCCCTCGACTGCTCTGTACCTTTCGGTGGCCCTGGCTGATCCTCCTTGCTCCTCCTATCCCGAGGACGTCGACGTCGGTCCACGTAGATCAATGCTAAATCATCTGACTTCGTGCATCGCGCACCGCGATACGCGACGCGCGACTATCTTAGCGCAATCGCACCCTCATGACGCCACCGTCGGAGAAGGGCAGCCGCTCTGGCCCAAACCGCAACTCGCGACACACAATTATCTTCGCGCACCAGCCCCCCCTGACCCGAAGGTTTGCCTGACCGCCTCTGAGCCCCCTGCTCCTTTCGATGATCCCCGGAACGTGTCTTGGCGCCAAAGTATGCTTGACAGCCGGAACCCTCCAATACGGCGCCCGGTTTTTTGGAGCTGTGAACGGAGCAACGCTCACACACAGAAAACGTCTCCGCCCGGCAACACATGGCTAGACGTCATTGAGGCGTTGTCCTCCTCTTTCGCGTTCCCATCCTCCTTCTCCTCTTCATCCCGTGATTCCTACTCCCGTCCTCCTCCTGATCCTCCTTCCTTTTTCTTCTTGCTCCCCATCCCGGCCTTGAAGACCTCAGGGGCAACACCAAGAAGCCGCACCTCCTCAGGAAAACGATTCGCTGCTCCGAACACTTCTCGCCCCCCACGCCCCTCTCTGGCTGCATTCCTCGACTGTGCAGCCGTGTTAACTGATCTCCGCATCGTTCCTGCACTGATGGTTCTGTGCTGGCCTCCTGCTGTGATAGTTCTGTGCTGGCGATCCGAATTAGCATAACGAAGCGTGGGAGGGTATGCAGATCTGCGCAGGGAGCACATGCAAACTTTCCACTGAGGCCGTAGGACTCCTGTAAGGGATGCCGAAACGGGCGGAAGCACCCATGCAAACTTTCCCACTGAGGCCGCATCTGGAGCTGCTACGTGAGGCAGCGGTCCTCGTGAATGGTGCGCCGAACTTGGCGGCGCCGCCATGCGGACCCTCCAACCACTTGAACCGTAATTGGAGCTCCATATGAGGCCACGACCCTCGTGAGGGTGCCGGCATAAGCAACGCCGCCATACGGACCCTGCGGCCGTCGGTGGAGCCAGCACCCCATGGGACATCACGAGGGGTTTGCCGGAATGGACGGCGCCGCCATGCGGACCCTCGCGGCGCCGCCATACGGAACCTGTCATTGGGGCCGCAGGTGGAGCTCCGTATGGGGCCACGATCCTCGTCAGGGGTACGCCCAAATGGGCAGCGCCGCCATGCGGGCGCCCTCACTGGGGTCGTTGGCGAAGCTCCCTATGGGGCCACGAGCCTCGCGAGGTGCGCAGGAATGAGGCAACGCCACCACGCGGAAGTCTTTTCTGGGGTCGTGGATGGAGCTCCTTTTAGGGGCCACGAACCTTGTGACGGTGTGCCGATATGAGGCGGCGCCGCCGTACGGGCGCCCACACTGGGGCCGTAGTTGGAGCTCACTGGGCGGCCATGAAATTTGTGAAGGGCTTCCCGAAATGGGGGCGGGCACGCACGCGAACTTCGCCACTGGAGCCGTCCCTAGGGGGCCACGACAGGCGTGAGGGATGCGCCGGAAACGGGAGGGGGGCTACATGCGTACGGTCCCACTGTGGCCTTCGGTGGAGCTCCTTACAATGGGGCCACCACAAATGCGAGGGGTGTGCCGAAACGGGCTGGGGGACCGCATGCGGTCGGTCCCACTGAGGCCGCAGGTGAAACTCCCCATGGGGCCACGACACGTGCGAAGGGTGTGCCGAAACGGGTTGGAGACCGCGCGCTGTGGGTCCCACTGAGGCATTCGGTGGAGCTCCAGGCAGGGCCACAACACGTGTGAAGGGTGTGCCGACACGGTCTGGGGGACCGCATGCGGTCGGTCCCACGGAGGCCTTCGGTGGAACTCCTTGGTGGGGTAACGACGCGTGCGAGGGGTGTACCGAAACGGGTTGGGAGACCGTGTGCGGTGGGTCCCACTAAGCCCTTCGGTGGAACTCCTGATGGGTTCACGAAACGTGAGGGGGGGGGGGGGGGGCGAAATGGACATGCGAAGGCCAGAGGTGGGAGGAGGGGGAGGGGACAGCGGCGGGAGGAGGTGACGCGGGGCGCTGTGGACTCAAAACAAGGACCCAAACATTGACCAGAAACTGTGCGTTCAAGCGGATCACCATGAGACCAACGAGTTGACCCAGAATAGCTGGGCGGGAGGCCACAGAATGGCATCACGATAGAAAGAACGCGGGAAATCGGCAACAACCGAGGGCATCATCAGAGCCCAGGACAGCCGGGGATACGGTCGAGTCAACATGCTTTTGCGGCAACGGAAGGCATCACCAAGGCCAAGGACGGGCGGAATCGGTGGCAAAGATGGACCAAGCCAATCGCCGGCAAGGGGGGAGAGCACCAGGGTCAGAGGACAATCGGGGGCGGTCAAAAGCAAAAGACGACCCAATTCAACCGGTAGCACAGGAGGCCAGAACAGAAGCCTGGAGACGGTCAGGGACAACGGGGAGTCACACAGATGGGGGCCACGGAGGACGGCACCAGGGACCAGGAGAGCTGGACACGGCGCCGAGACGAGGGAAGGGGGGCAGCACCAGGGTCGGGGAGCTGCCTACGATGGGCGAGGAAGCTGGCAGCACCAGAAGACAACCAGCCCTGGCATTCAGGGCAGCTGAAGAGGCCGAAGCGCAAGGATGCTGGCGGGGGCGGAGGGTGGCACCTCGGACAGGAACTGCCAGGGGAAAGAGGGCGAGGCCGACCCAAGGAAAACGACAACGTTTGGGCGCGAATTACAAGGGGGACGACAACTCGGGGGTGAGAAAGGGGCCCCTTTCGGGCCCTAGAGGCCTCCTTCTGGGCCATGAAAGGCCCCCTAAAGGGCCCTAAAGGGCAGCCCTCGCTGCCCCGCCATGTATCGCCCCCCATAACGCGTCCTCCGAGGCGTGATGGCAGATTAGTCTCCGGCAGCGGGCAGCGAAGGCAGCACTGGGGCTAGGAACAGAAGCAAAAGTTCAGCACGAGTGGATCGGGGCTTTCGGCGGCGGGATAGGAGGGCAAGGGGAAAGGGAAACAGGAAGAGGGGGGCACAAGGGGGGGAGCGACGTCGAACTCGGACAGGGGGGGGAGCGACGTCGAACTCGGCTCACGCGCATACAATGACACTCGGCCAGAGCCTGGGCAAACTCGAACGAACAACAGTCGCCCCCCCCGCCCTTACGAGAGCAACAAACAAACAAATACCTCGATCGCGGTTCAACAAAGAAACACCTGTGCGCTGGCGCCTAATCAATTGTGGCTCACGTGTGGGGGCATATGCTTCACGCTCCCCCTCAGTGGGAAGCGCCCTGGTCGTTCCCTCTCTCGTTCGCTCTTTCCCTCAACCTTTCCCCCCCTTTGCTTCCTTGCCGTTAAGCCCCCTTGAAACGCATGCTAATTGGCAGCGGCGGTAGGCAACACAGGGGCCGGGGGAAATCTGGGACAGCGCCGGTCACAGCAGTTGGCCGCAACAAGAGGCAAATATGCCGATCATGACTAATACAACAATCCTTCGTCGCACAGCTTTGTTCAAGCGCTGCTAAAAGGGCACATTCACTCCCGGCACAACTTCACGGCATGACTGACATCTCCTGCAACCAACTGCACGATTCATAACCGAATCAAAGCCACGCATGGTGGGAATGCGGCGGCTGCTAGAACGCCAAAGCCCACATCAGTGGTGGGCAATGGGTGGTGCCAAAAGGCCCCATATAGCGGGAACACCGCCATGCATCAAGATCGGATTATGCTTAGTCGGCACTGGACCAGCCTTGTTCGGCGATCCACGCAAGGGGGTGCGACGCTGCCGGCCGACGCTAAGGCCGAGTCAAGCAACCGACTCCCCGTATAAGTCGCAAGGGCCTGCGGGCCTGGCCCGTGGGCTGCCCCCGTGGATGTCCCGCTGTTGTCCCGTGGAATATCCTAAGGTTGATGTGCGGCTTGCCCCGTGGAGTGCCTCGAAGTTTGTCCCGTTGGGTGTCCTGTGGGTTGTCTCGTGGGTTGTCCCGTGGTCCGTTCCCCGGGTTGTCCAGTGGACCGGGTTGTCCCGTGGGTCTACTCGTGGATTGTCTAGTAGCTGTTCCGATGATTGCCCCGTGGCTTGTCCTGTGGTTTGTCCGCTGTTGTTCAGCGCGTTGTCCCGTAGGGTGTGCCGCAAGTGATACTGTGGTTGTCACGTGGTTTGTCTAATGGGTTGTGCCATACACAACTGGGGAACAAAACGCGGTTGCTATCTATAGATGCTACCCATGTCATGTACGGTTAACAAAAAGTCGATTCGAGACAGCGCCGAGCTGTCTGCGTGCTGTTGTTCTACATACCCTTCAAGGGATCCCCCACCCCCGCTGCCGAGCCGCAGCCGCTCGCGCCGTCGCCCCGCACTCCCCACTGCCAGCGCGGCCCCGGCAGCAGCAGCAGCAGCAGCAGCAGCAGCAGCAGCAGCAGCTGCTAGCGCCCTGTCCCACGGCCATGCACAAGCCGCAAGGCAGCCGCCCAGGTGCGCGGCGGGGGCAGCGGCGGCGCCCTGGGTTGGGGCACCAGAAGCACCTGACGCGGGCACACCGCCACCAGATTTTCCACCGAGCCCCCCGTGGCCGAGCCCCTGCTGCATTGCCGCGACCCGGGGCCCGGGGCGCGCGGCGGGGGCAGCAGCAGCGGCGTCCGGGGACGGCCCGGCGCCTCCAGCTTCCTCTGCGGCCGCCCCGTCGCCACACCAGCGTCGCCCGCGCGCTCGCCGTCCACCGCGGGCCCCACGCCCCCTGGCCCCCCAGGCTCTTCAGCTGCGCCGCCTCGTCGTCCGCTGCGTCGCCGTCGTCGTCGGCCCCTCGCCCCAACTCCCGCAGGCACCGCGTCCGCGCCTCTGGGATCAGGTCGTTCGCGCCACCCGCGTGGACGACAAGCAAACAGGCCGAAACCATGGCAGCAGCCCGGCGCCAGAGCTGGATGCCGACCAGCGTCTTGGCCCTGCAGCGGGCGGTATTCGATGCCCTCGGCGGCCAACTCCGGGATCACCCCGGCGTAATTGTCCAGCTTCGCATGCAACATGGCGGCGCAAACGTCCGCCACAGTGCCCACCGAATCAAGGCATGCCACGCCAACATCCAATGCCGCCAGGCAGGCAAAAAACCGCCGAAGTGAACACGTCGGCAGGGCGGAGAGTTGGATGTGACGAGACGAGGCCCGAGACCTCGATGGCAGCAGCGCCGTCGGATAAGCTGGTAAATCCGAGGGGGGTGTCGCGAACCCAGCTGTGCCGGCGGGTGCCCGCCCCCGATGCACACCGCAGCGCTTGGCGGCATTCGTGGTCGAGCTCTCCCGCACAGCAGGCGGCAATAGCCGGCGACTCTCGGACGGAGGCCCCGAAACGCAGGCGGACGGCCAGGACGAACTCGTCCGCCTTATCGTGGTCGCCAGGGACGCAACGCCAAAATTCCTGGACGCTCCTGGTCGCTCCCGAAGCGGTTCCCCTCCCCTCCCCGCCCCACCCCCACCCAGTCACGCCCGTTATCGCCAAGGGGCAAATAAAGCGGTATACAAAAGGGGGAACACATCTTGACATTTCAAGCCATTTGCCCCAAGATAGCCCCCGAGACCGCAAGGAGACCCCGAACCCGAGGAGGCTCCGTGTCGTCCCCCAGGAGGCCCCAAGAAGACCCCTTGGAGACCCCAGGAGACATCTGAAAGGCCGCTAGGCCACAACCGACCGCGGCACGGGTGGCGGGTTGGGCTGAAGGTGATATCGATAGGGCACAGGCAGGGGATTGCACATGTGAGTATGAAGACACATGTATATACCTATACGACCACCCTTCGGGTGATAAGGATGTTGTGGGGGGTGGAAGAAAGGGGGGGAACCAACATCTGACTCAATCGATATCACGATCGATCTCACTCAACGGGACACCACGGGACACCACGGGACACTTGTCGATCTCACCATCGATGTCACTACCGATCTCACTCAACGGGACACCACGGGACACCACGGGCCACCACGGGACACCACCGGACATCTCTCGATCCCACTATCGGTATCATTATCGATCTCACGATCGATCTCACTCAACGGGACAGCATGGAACACCACAGGACACCTCGGGACCCCACATCGATCTCACCGTCGATGTCATGATCGATTTCACTCAACGGGACACCACGGGACACCACGGGACACTTGTCGATCTCATTATCGGTCCCACTATCGACCTCACTCAACGGGGCCGGGCTGACGCACTGGCGGCCATCCGCCAGGAACCTCCTTTTCCTTGAACGGGCGCCAACCACGGCCCAGGGGCCTGACCCCTGTTGCTAGGCGCGCGTTGGGCGCACCGCTCGTGCCACGGTTTCCAAAAACCCGCGCCAGAGCCGCCGAGGCCTAGCCACCACATTCGAACACGGACACGGCAACAAACTCAGAAAGCACCTGCAAAGCCCCCTTTTGGGCAAATCGATCAGTACTTCTTTTTTGACTGCTGAACCGAAAACCAGAGAAGGTCGGTTTCATAACGACAACAAAGATGACACAATAACTCAACGACCACTCGAGCGATCCGACGGAGTCCAGTTCTGGGGTACTGAGCACCTCTCTCGCAATGCCGAAGTCGAACTCGGGAACGACTTCCGGTTGAGAACCACGAGTTTGCCAATCACACCCACATCGCTGCAAACTACAAGATACAATGTACATCCGCCTCACCCCACCCTGGTTGATCCGCTGGCGAAAATTGAAAAATTGGTTGCGCACTTCTCTTTAGGACTGGGCATACCCACTCTGAGAACACCTCTGGTCGTGACCGTCTCCAGCGTTTCGGCGTGTGGTTGGCTATCTTCATCAAGACCTGCCACAACCAAACACATGAGGTAGGCCGACGCTGTCATGACGTGAAATATGAACATGTGCAAAACCCAAATCGTCAGAATATGCCAAACGGGTTCAGTGCGATAAGAACAGACAGCTGGGCTGCTTGCGTCAACCTAGAGCCTGGCTTCTTGACCCTCAGAGAACGGAAGAAACAAATTGTTTGGGCTCAGGTGATGTTTCGAACGGAGAGCTCCCGCGAACCAGCGCAAGTTCGCGTCCCCTGGCGATTTCCTCAAGCCTTTTTCGGCCAAGCGGCCCCCAACGCCCAGCGAACAATCTCGCAAGGGCCAGGCTCTGCCAGCCGTGCGGGGCTGTATTCGGCGCCAGACTCTGCCATCGGCCAAGCGATGCCCGCGCCCAAATTGCCAATCCGCCGCGAAGGCTCCGCCGATCTTACCCCCAACCTCCGTATCATCAGAAGGATGGTCTATCGCCCATCTCAACAATTTAGGTTGGAACGGGTCCTCGTGGTGCTAATGTGCCAACTTTCCTGCTGGCATGGCGTTATGCCATGGTAGCGCACGAGATAGAAGGGAGGTATGGTGACGACAGCGGTGAACAGGAGAATGTGGAGAAGCAACACAAAGCATGATGTAAGATACATGCCGATCCTTCGGGAACTCGCCGCCGAAGCCATTTCCATGCCGCGTCAGGAGCTCCAACGCCTCCAACCCATTATCTGGGCGCCACGCAAGCCTACATCCGCGCCCCACGAATCGACGTTCCATGCTCTTCCTCACGCCCTCCCCCTTGACTTGATATCACCCGGGCGGCTCGGCAAGAATTCGAGCTCGCCTTTCATACCCTGCAGCTTCGGTGATCTGCAGTGTAGCCCTGCCTGGCCACTGTGGTGCGGAAATGCGTCGGGGATGATGCGCGCCGTCTGACCCCTATGTGCCTAGAAGACCAAACAAGTGCATTGACACAAAACTGATTGTAGGATGCGCGATAAGGCTACTAGATCCTTGGACGCCCATGTCGAAGCATTTCGAGCGGGACTGGCAATCGAAAAAGCTGAAGGACTGGCCGAGGAAGCAAGGATGCAAGAGTAGCCTTGGGAACATGTCCCGTCCATACTATCGGTTTCGACTGTACACTTTGGGAGGTCCGTGTGGATCTATTCGATCGGCGCTGCACCCCCTGCTCGCACCCCCTCCCTAACGCGCGGGGCTCGCCGGTGGAGGCGCCAAAGAAATCGCACGCGCGGGGGCTCGGACGCAATAGTCAGCGCGGATCTCCAGAGAGGTAATCTTTCCATGATTCGGAGGGTCTTCTAGTGGGGTTGCTGCTCGCTATCAGAACCCTCCCCCCTCCGCCTCCTCCTACTCCTCCTCGCCTGGGCCTGGAGATGGTTCTGGAATGGAGTCGGTTGGACATGTTGGCGATCAAGTGTGGGAGGGGGGTTCGCTTCGGTTGGCTCTGGTGTCCATGCAAGCAGCGGAAGCAAAGTCAAAGGCCTTCGAAGGTTTTTCGTTGACTGGCTCGAGCCTCGAGCCAACGCATGCCAATTATGTGAGCTAGTGAGTGCCTTTCGCAAAACCTCCCTTTAGCCGACCAGGGTGCTACGTAGGCCGAAGAATGCGCTCTTCAACTGCGTATCCCTCGCGCTGCCATGGACGGCGGCAGTTTCTAGCAGACGTGTCCGTGGGGGTCCGCCCCGCAAGGGGTCAGCCGCGTCTCAGAGGCGCATCGCGGCGGGGGCGCCATCTGCTCGAGGCGCTTGCCCGCGACGGGGGTCGTTTCGAGAATGTCCGGTGACAACAGTCGCACGGCGCCCGGGGGTCCATGACTACACACCCCTCACACGTCCCGTGGCCCCTCCAGGGGCCCCACCCAGAGGCCCTGTTGGCAACGGCCGCATGGCGGCCTCGGGTCCGTTTCGGCGCGCCCCTGCGGCACTTGCACCTGCAGAGGGTTGTGTTCTTCGCTGGGAACTTCTACACCGTTCTTCGCCCGCCGAAAAAAGAAATGCAGAATATGCTGCGCAGCTGTGCCCCCTGTAAGTCCAGACCGTGCCGCGCAGCTACGGCTTCCGGCGCGCGCGAGTCCAAATGTTATCCATTCGTGGACTCATCCTGCTCCTCCTCCTCGTCCTCCTCCTCCTCCTCCTCGTCCCCCTCCTCCTCATCCCTCCCCCTCCATTCCTCTTCTTTATACATAACTTCTCCTTTCGCACCCGGGGAACAGTTTTTAGGGCGGGCCAGGCGTTTTGCATGAGACTTCCTCACCACTTATGACCCTGAAGCTTAAGAATTGGCCACAATGTCACAGATGGAGGGCGGGTGGTTGTCAAAGTGTGGCTCTCGCCTTAGCGCCGCCCGCATTCCTTGTAAAAAGTTGCAAGAGTTTCACGGAATGAGGGCGGGTGGTTTTCAAAATGTGGTTCTCGCCTCAGCGCCGCGCAGATAAGTTCAAAACATTTGCAAGAGCTTCACGGGTTGAGGGCGGGTGGTTTTCAAAATGTGGTTCTCGCCTCAGCGCCGCGCACATTTGCATTAAACAGTCGCATGATATGTACGAATTGAGGGCGGGTGGTTTTCAAACTGTGGCTCTCGCCTTAGCGCCGCACACATGTTTCAAACATTTGCAAGGGCTTCACGGATTGAGGGCGGGTGGTTTTCAAAATGTGGTTTTCGCCTTAGCGCTGCGCGCATTCGTTTTGAACAAGTGCAGAGCCTTGACGGATTCAGGGGGGGCCAGTTCCAAAATGTGGTTTTCGCCTTGGCACTGCGCACATTCGTCGTTTCAACATTTGCAAGGGCTTTCATGGTTTGCCACGAATTACATGTACTCGCGGTGTTGAAGTCCCAGAAATGGCGTCCTGGCACGATTCAGAATCGTCAAGACGCAACGGTCAGGTTGATCCGTGGCGTTGGAGTCCCGAGAACAATGTTTTGGCATGCTTCTGGGTCTTGACATGTTGTCTTCCAACGAGGCAGTTCCCTCAATGCAAATGAACCCTTGTAGGGGCCTATAACGAGGGAGCGTGTCGTTAGGGTTTCTTCCAACATCGTTACTGACTCTTGGGTTTGCACTGGGCCCCACCTGGGCCAGGCTCGCCCAGAAGGAGACCTGGCGGGGGCGCCGAACAGGAAGTGCCACTGAAAACAGCGCCCCCAAGGGCGGGGCTTGTGCGCGCCGCGTGGTTCAGCCAGCACGCGAAACGCCCGCAGGATGGGTCTTGCCCCCGGCGACCCCGGGCTCGCGGGCGAAACCAGCGCGCGGGAGCAGCCAGATCAACAGGCAGCGGGGCAGCGCTGCGGGAGCGACCCGTCCCCACGGATCGACCGCAGACGCCCCGCCCCGGCCGACGCGCCCCCTGGCCCCTGGGTTCGACTGCTGGGCGCGGACGGCCAGGTCCACGCATTCCTCCCTGATGCGGCCGTCTGCCACGAGGCCCCCCTGGCAAGGCATCCAAATGGCCCGCGCGGCCGCCACTGCCCGGCGAGTCTCGGGCTGCAGTTGCGCCCAGTAGCCGGGGAGCTGGGCCCGCGGGTCGGCGCGGCGCCGCAGCCCGCTGAATCGCCCGGCGCGCCAAGGCACCCACGCCCCCATCCGCCCGCCCTCCCGTGACAGTGTTTCGGCCGGCCCCCGCCCGCCGAGGGGCGGAGACGGCGCCCCTGCAGACGGCAGCCTCGAGACGGCTCTGGTCCGAGACGACTGCGGCGGCAACGATGACGTCCCTCCTCCACCTGGTTCGCACGGCCCCCCCGGGCCAAGGCGGCTCTCGTCCGGGGGGCGCTGTGGCTCTTGAGGGCCCGGCGAAGCCCTTGCACAGGACGCTGCCGCGCTCAGCAGCCAACCTGATCCGCGCGGGGAGGGCGGCGGCGTGCGCCCGGGCGCGCCCGGGGGCGGTGAGGATTGTCTACGGGATCCTGGGGGAGCGGAGAAAGAAAAAATCCCGGCGCCGCCGTGCGCCCTGGAGAGCCATCGTCGCCGCGGCCGGCTTCCCGGGGCGACCTGGAAAGTGTGGGTTCTTCGACCGCTGCTCGCTCCGAAAACCAGTCGTCGCCGCGGCCAGAAGGCGGGGCCCACACGCGGAGTCGTGAGCAGAAGGACAAACGCCAACGGCACCGTCGGGAACAGGGCCACGGACCGCTGCCACCCGATCGCGGGCAGCAGGCCGAACTCCAGCAGCAACGGCGCGAACGACGCACCGAAACTTAGCAGCTCGACCTCGCGCGTCGCCCCGGAGCCCAGCAGCGCGACAGTGAACAAGCAGAAACACGACGGGGGCAGGTGGGCAGATCAAGCTGACGACAGCGACGCCGACGCCAACGCCTGGGCCCAACGCCCCATCCGACACCACTGTCGTCGCCCAGCCCTGCCCTCCTCCCGACTCCTCCCCCGACGGCGCCCCGACCAACGCCCCTCGCGACGACGTCTCTCACGGTTCCCTTCCCGACGCCTTGCCCGGCGTCCCTCCCCACGCCTGGCCCGCCGCTCCATCCGGCGCCCCTGCCCGCCAATCGGGGCGGCGCGCGGCGCCCGTCCTTGCAGCCCGCCGGGTCAGCGGCGCCAGCCTGCGACTGGGTCATCACCGACATGTGTCCGCACGCGAACCCCCGCCCGCCCTTGAGGCCCCCCGTTCCTCCCCAGTGACGACGGACGACGGTGGCTCCAGCAACGCGGACTGCTCCGGCGCCAGCCCGCGAGGGGGGCGCCTCTGCCTGCGAAGCACGAGCTTATGCTCCTCGTCATGAACACCTAACCTAGGCCGCGTTGCCAGACACCCGCGTCCTATGGAATTCGTTCACCTCGGACTACAGGAAGCAGGGCACGGGGCGGACGCGTGCTGAGAAAGTCCCAGCACGCGTCCTGCTCGACTTCCTCAGCTCGAAGAGGGCCCTGGTGGCCCAGGACAGGACGACGCGGCAGATAGGTGGTGAACTTGGGGCGGCATGGGGCTAATTCCGCGCGCTGCGTGGCGACGGCGCCCGCGACCCCAGCCTGCACGACGCCGCTTTCCTCCGCTGCTTCCTCCGCCGTGCCCCTTCATCCGTGTGCTCACAAACGCAGGACAAAAACACACCACGATGCCCCAAAACCGGCCATGCGGCGTCCATCCTGAGAACGCGTGGCCCCCGACAGCCTTCGGCCACAGTCTTGACACGAACTGCACCGTTTAGGTGCCCCTAGACCGCCCATGCGCTGTCCATCCCGACAGCGCGTGGCCTCTTCAGCCACAGCCAGGGCCACCCGCCGGCAATTGCAACGCTGGCGCTGGGCCGGCTGGCCCCGTCGCCCCGCCTGCTGGGGTCTCCCCGCAGGCGGGGCGCTCATCCTCCTCCTCCTCCCTGGTCTCTTCCCCCCTTCTCGCCATTCGCCTTCCCATTGCGCTCGCAAGGCCGTCGCAGCTTGCTACCTCACCGTGTGGTTGGGCACCTGGGTTTGGTCTTGCCGCCCGCATCCCCCCCACGGGCGCAACATTTTGCCGACAGCAATCCAAACCTAGACTGCTCGCGAACTTGCCGCACCTTGTCACTGTGATATGGATCGGCGCGCAGCGCCGGGGATGCTTGTGCTGTGAGCGCGGCTCGAACAACTGGCGTAGCACTAAGGCCAAGGGCCCTGAGAAATAAAAACGGCAGCGGCGAGCAAGGAATGAAACCGCAGGCCCCTCGAAACTTCTGGGGAAACCCTCTCGGGACTCTTACATTCCTGGGGAGTGAGCTTGATTCACAATCACGAACCACCCACCGGAGCGGCCCAGCGGCCCTCTGTCTGTCGTCTCAATACTTCGCCTACTTCATCGGCAGCGTCACTGCAGCATCTATTTGCTTTACACGTATTGGGCCTGGTCATCGCCCGTGGGTGCCCCGGCGCCGCGGCCGGGCAGCCGCCATGGACCCCGCAGCAAGCTCTGCCTTACCGCCGACGAGAAATGTGTGCGTGGGTGCTTGTGTGAGTGTGTGGGAGAGAGCTAGCACTCAAACCTCGGCGTTCCTCCTCCTCCTCTTCCTCCTCCTCCAATTCCTCCTCCTCCTCCTCCTCCTCCTCGTCCTCTCCAAGACCTCTTCACGAACGGGTTGTGATGAAAGTCCAGGCAGATCCAGCCGTGCCAACCAAGAATGGACGAAACACACATCCATCGTCGATTCGCCTCCTCATCCTCCGCCTCCTCTTCCACCTCCCTTTGCCTGCCCACTTTGCTTCCCCCCTTGCGGGGCCGCCCGGCCCCTCCGGGCTCCATTGCCGCACGACCGCGCGGCAGTGGGCGATCCTAACCTGCAAGCAGGGGCGGGGGGCTGCCGAGGAGGACGGTTCGCAAACGCAGGGATGGAGGAGGGCCGAGGAAGGAAGGTAACGACAATAAGGACTTCGCGTACTGACTCGCACGTTTTCCGACGGTCCCAGATGGTCATGGAGCACAGGGGAAGTGTGAACAGGGCAAGGAGGAGGGACAGTCCTCCTCCTCCTCCTCCTCCTCCTCCTCCTCCTCTCCTCTCTCCTCCCTCCTCCCTCCTCCTCCTCCTCCTCCTCCTCCTCCTCCTCTTCCTCCTCCTATTCCTCCTCCTTTTCCTCCTCCTCCTCTTCCTCCTTTGTCAATGTTCTCCTCATTTTCCTCTTCCTCACGTGTTCCCAGAAGGGTTTCAACGACGGATGGAGAACGCTAGCCCAACGTCCGGCTACACAATCGCGTCCAAAATGCAGGGGGCGGCGGTGATTCGCCGTAGGCGTCTTCGATATGTCCCACTATCGATCTCACGATCGATCTCACGATCGGTCGCATTATCAGTCCCATTATCGACCTCACAATATATCTACATCTATATATATATATATACACAACTATCGATCTCACTCGATCGATCTCACAAACGACCTCACGATCGATCATCTCACTATCAATCTCACGATCGATCTCACCATCGATGTCACTATCGGCTTCACTGACGATCTCACTATCGATCTCACTACGGTTCCCGACGGGCCAGGAACGACGTAAGACGGTCAAAGAGGTCACCAAGAAGCCCCCCCGAAGGCCCCCAAGAGGCCCCCAAGAGGCCTCCAAGAGACCTCCAGAAAACCCTAAGAATGACCCAAGAAGCTCCTAATGGGACGCCTAATCCTTCTCCTCATTTTTTGTCTTCCCTCACATGATTCTCATCTTCCTCTCACAACGGCTGGTGAAACTCATGGTCCAATAGCGTGGCCGAGCTTTGTCCAATGGCCGCATGGGTGCATCCTGAAAGGCAGGGGGCGGCGGTGATTCGCCTCAGGCGCCTTCGATATTTACACATCTTTCCATGACACGCGCGACTCGCGCGCTCAGGGTCTAGCGCAGGAGAGGGCGGGGTCACTGGAACACATTGAACAACACTGTCGTACACAAGCGCGTGCCGTACTCATACCCGTCCTCATCCGCATTCACATGCGACTCCCCATCATCTTCACCATCACGGGGAGGATCCTTGGGCCAATGCTGCTTGCCATGGCGTCCCGTCGAACTCGTGTGTCCTCCTCCTCCTCGTCGTCATCATCGTCACCATCATCAGCAGCAGCATCATCGCACTCATTAGAACCACCGTCACCATCGCCACCATCATCACCAACATCACCATCACAATCACCATCAGGGCCTGTATCATCATCAACCATCAAACATCCGAGAGAAGGCGTTTCACGGGCGCTTGCCTTGGGAACATTCGGCGGCGCGTTTCGAACCGGGGTCTGGGCCGCCCCCCCCACACTTGGCGCCGTCGATCAAAACCAGGGGGATCCCCCTCCCCCCCAAACCCCCCCCTCCTGAACCCCCCACCCCCCCTCGGCGCCGGCGCCGGCGCTGGCGGCCGCCAGCAGCGCCCACGGCGGGGACGCAGCGACGATGACCAGAGGCAGCCGAGGGGGGGGGTTCAACCCCCCCCCGGCGCCGGCGCTGGCGGCGGCCAGCAGCGCTGGCGCTGGCGCCTGCGACGGCGGGGACGCAGCGACGATGACCACCACTACCACCACCACCACCACTACCACCACCACCACCGCCTCAACCCACCACCATCATCACCACCACAACCACCACCTCCACCACAACCACCACCGCAACGCGCACCAAATGTCACTCTTAGCCTAGGGCCACTCCTGCGTGTAGCTGGTGAGGATGATGATGGGTAGCACGATGTCAATGACGGCGTGCACGATTATCGCGATGATGTTGCCACTGGTAGTGATGTTGATGATGACGCTATTGATGATGCTGCTGCTTATGGTGATCAAGATGCCGAGGATGACGATGTTTGAAAGAGCGCTTTCTGTGGTCGCTTGGAGGGGGGGGGTTGGAACCAGACCCCCCCCCCTCCCCCTGGATAGAGGGGGGGGTTCGAACCCCCCCCCTGGATCCCCTCCCCTGCTTCCCCTCTCCTCGGGCCGGCGCTGCGCTTGGGTCGGCGGCGGCTGGCTACGGCGGCGGGGAAAAAACAGGGCTAGGATCGGGATCAATCGCTCCAGAGCGTTCCGGAGCGCTCTCAGAGCGTTCCAAAACGCTCTGGAGCGGCCGCGGCGCCCAATACATCCTCCAAACCCGACGATTCTCAGAGATTTCGAGTTATCCCGATCCGATTTTGTCCCGATCTTCGCGTCGTTTTAGGGGACGACGATTTTCATTTCTTGGCCGGCGCCGGCGCCTGCGGCGGTGGCGGGAAGCGTCGACGAGGACGACGGTGGTCGTGGTGGTGGTGGGTTGTGGTGGTGGTGGTGGCGGTGGTGGTGGTTGTGGTGGTGGTGGTGGTGTGGTGGTTTGTTGTGGTGGTGGTGGTTTTGGCGGCGGTGGTGGTGGTGGTGGTGGTGGTTGTGGTGTGGTGGCGGTTTGTGGTGGTGGTGGTGGTGGGTTGTGGTGGTGGTGGTAGTGGTGGTGGTTTGGTGGTCGTGTGGAGGTGGTTTGTGGTGGTGGTGGTGGGTTGTGGTTGTGGCTGTGGTTTTTGGAGGTGGCGCTTGTGGTGGTGGTGGTGGTGGCGGTGATGGTGGTGGTGTGGTGGTTTGTGGTGGTGGTGGTGGGTTGTGCTGCTTGTAGTGGTGGTTGTGGCGGTAGTGGTGGTGTGGTGGTGTGGTGGTGGTAGTGGTGGGATTTTGTGGTAGTGGTGGTGGTGATGGTGAGTTGTGGTGGTGGTGGTTGTGGTGATATGGTGGTGGTTTGTGGTGGTGATGGTGGTGCTGGGTTGTGGTGGTGGCGGTGGTTTGTGGACGTTTGTTGTGGTGGTGGTGGTGGCGGTGGTGGTGTGGTGGTTTTTGGTGGTGGCAGTGGGTTGTGCTGCTGGTAGTGGTGGTGGTGGTGGCGGTGGTGGTGGTGTGGTAGACTGTGGTGGTGATGGTAGTGGTGGTGGGTTTTTGTAGTGGTGGTAGTGGTAGTGGTGGTGATGGTCAGGGGCGCCCGTGGGAGCCCAACGTAACCGCGCAAGCCAGTGCTGCCGTGCCGCGCAAGCCAGTGTTGCTGCCGTGCTGCTGCGGACGCAACTGGAAAGATATTGTTGCGCCAGCGGGCAATCGCGGAGCTCCACCAATTTGATTCGAACGCCCTCAATGGCACTTCGAAAGGGCGCTGCGAAAGCAGACGCGACTGGGGGCCACCACGATGAGATCTGGAACTGCTGGGCCGCATCGTGATGACGTTTGACCAAGTCCGGCGTCATGGCCAAAACCAGTCCCACCCGCGAGCCTGGAATTTGTCGGAATATCTTTGGGTAACTTGCAAAAATAAAATCCCGAGTGGTTCAAAAATGAATTCAAACATATGCGAACATATCAAAACATATTCAAAGCTAGTCAAAGATAACCAAAGATAGTCAAACTGGACGAATTGTTTGATTTGGGTGGGATTCGGGACTGGTCGTGGGGCGGAAAACTCGCCGTCTGGTCGACCAGCCCCCCTCCGAAGCCAATGCACACTGTAGGGTGCGCCGCGTATGCGTGCTGTTAATTGAACTCGGGGGCCCAAACCTGGCGCGCTCAGATGCGAGCTCAATCACGCGATACCGGTGCCGACCCGAGGTCAAGCTCATTACAAAAGAAAAGTCACCCGACACCATTGGGACCAACACCAAAGGTCACTCTGACGAAGGGTCACTCTTTATGTGTAGTTGGCATTACCAGAACCAACATCAATATCGTCATCGTCGGGCGGATGTTCCCAGAAAAACCTCCAGGAAAATCTGGCCGACAGCGCGCCTCGGGGAGACTTTTAGAAACGTTTCCTAAGGCCGCCTCGGGACGCTCATGAACCGTTTTTGGGCGCTTGGGCCGTCTTGGATGCTCTTGTGCTCTTGGACGTCGTTTGGGCGATCTTGGGACTCTCTTGCGCAATCTTGGGGGCCTCCGGGGATGCATCACCGTCGTCAATATCATCAACAGCTGCACTGTGTTGAGCAGCGTCGCCATCATCGTCGTCGGCATCAGCCTCAGCATGATCAACGTCATCACGACCACCAGCAGCACCATCGTCGTACTTCTACATCTACATTTATACGTATACACCTGTATGCATTTCAATTGCATCGCTCGCTGTCCGTCGGAAAATCCGCTGGCCCCCTTGCGGGGCCATCAGGCTGCGAGGCTTAAGCTGGCTGCTCCCTGCACCAGTTCCAGTTTCCAGTTTCCATTGTTACAGTGCTGCTTTCTGCTTCCGACTGTAAATTGTTACTGTCCGCGCGAGGGGGGGAACCCAAAACCACCCTGGGTAGTACCCCCCGGGAGGGTTCTCAGAATTCCCAGGGGGTAAAGATTAACACCCCTCAAACAGATCGGCGGTGTCAGGGTCTAAAAACACAAGGGATTTGCCACATTTCTGAAATTCGGTGGCACCCCTCACGCAGACCGGCTGGGTCAGGGTCCAAAAACACGCAGGATTTGCTATATTTCTCAAATCCGGTGGCACCCCGCATGCAGATCGGCGGGGTCAGGGCCCAAAAACACAACGGACTTGCCACTTTTCTGAAATTCGGTGGCACCCCTCACGCAGATTGCCGGGGTCAGGGTCCAAAAACACAACGGATTTGCCGCATTTCTAAAATTCGGTGGCCCCCCTGATGCAGATCGGCGGGGTCAGGGTCCAAAAACATAGGGGACTTGCCACATTTCTGAAATTCGGTGGAATCCCTCACGCAGATCGGCGGGGTCAGGGTCCAAAAACACAATGGATTTGCTACATTTCTGGAATTTCCTGGCACCCCTCATGCAGATCGGCGGGGTCAAAAACACAATGGACTTGCCACATCTCTGAAATTCGGTGGCACCTCTCACGCAGATCGGCGGGGTCATTGGGTCATTGTTCAAAAACACAACGGATTTGCCACATTTTGAAATTCGGTGGCACCCCTCATGCAGATCGGCGGGGTCAGGGTCCGAAAACACAGGGGACTTGCCACATTTCCGAAATTCGGTGGCACCCCTCACGCAGATCGGCGGGGTCAGGGTCCAAAAACACATGGGACTTGCCACATTTCTGAAATTCGGTGGCACCCCTCATGCAGATCCGTAGGGTCAGGGTCCAAGAACACAAGGGATTTGCGACATTTCTGAAATTCGGCGGCCCCCCTCATGCAGATCGGCAGGGTCAGGGTCGAAAAACAAATAGGTCCCGACACTGCTTCACGGCAAAGCCAAAACCTCATGACTTCGCTCTTCCATGGCCCATTCTCCGAGAGAGGGGGCCGGCGGCAGGGGGCGAGGCCCCTACGGATAATATCCACGAGGGCAACTCAAAGTAATTATACGGCGGCGGCATAATTACCTTCGGGTTCTCGGGGGGGAGGAAGAGGGGGGGGCAGCTTTTCGTCCAACCGCTTGATGGCACTATCCCAACTAGCCCATCCAGGAACGGTTCCAGGGCAGGTGGTCAAGAGAAGAATCGTGGGGGATCATCAGTGGAACACAGAGAGAGGAGATACAAATATAATCTAAACAAGGGTCGGCCCGATCAATCCCCATCAATGACGAGCCGGTTGCGGGCCCTCTGGGGCCGTGTTGGGGCACTTTGCGTTACGGTGCCCTTTGAGGTTCTCTTTGAGGCCCTGCTGCAAGTCTTCAAGAGGCCTTCTTCGGGATATCATGGATGTTCGTGCTGCCCGCCGCGTGGGGAGCGCCCCTGAAGCCACAGTCGCCGAGCTGCCACGAGGAACACTGGACAAGGAACGAATGGGCTTCTCTAGCCACGCCTAGACGCTGCCACGAAGAGGTTCCCCGACCCAGATCCATTGAGCGTCGCTTGACGGGCGGGCGACAAATGTGAGGGGGAAGGAGGGTTCACTTCTCGAGCCCGAAAGGCCCCCTCTGGGGCCCTGAAGGGCCGCTGTAGGGGCCCTAGAGGGCCCCTTCGCTGCCCCCCCCCTTTGCCGCCCCCCATTGCGTGACGCCCAAATCGAAGGAATTGTCCGAGAGCTGGAGGCCCTCCTGAAGCCAAAAGTGATTCTTCATGCCAGCGTCTTGGCCGTCTTGCGTCGCGCGGCGCCGCGGAACAGCTCGGAGACGAGGCACAGAAGATCCCGAGCCGCACAGGCGCCCACGCCGCCCGTTGCTCTGGGCCAGCAGGGGCTCGCTGGTGGGGGGGGGGGGGAGTTTCACTTCGCTCGCGTTTCTCGGGGGGGCGAAAGGGTAGGATAGCCAAGGGTACGGTAGAGAATCAGCTCACGTAGCTGGTTTTCCTGCCGCCTCCCAGTTTGTCGAGGAATGGGCCCGGCGGCGGGGCCGAAACCAGCTGCATGCAACAGCTTCCGCAACCCCCTCTTTCCCTACCCCCCCTTCCGCTCGGCCTGACCGTCGCTCTGGGCCAGCAGGGGCTCGCCAGCAAGGGCTCGCGCTTCCGAAACCCTGCAGGTGCCCCCCCCCCCCAGGGGCCCGCTGGGACTCGGGCCCGCGGGGGTGAGGATCCACAGGTCGCCGGCAGGGGTGCCCGCAGGGCAGCTGCGACGAGGCACCGGAACACATCGCCGTCTGGACCCCCTGGCGGAGCACAGCCTGCTCTCGCGTCGACCGCCACAACGGCCGGGACGCGCGCCGAGCAGCCCGAGTCAAAGCGATGGCGGGGCGCGAAGACGAGGACCATGCCTTTTCCAGAGCTGGCCCAGGCAGGCAGTGAGGTGAGTGCTGCGGCAATCCTGGAGGCAGAGACGTCCAAGCGACGTACTGCTCTGGCTGCGCGCGTGGAGGCATGGTGCAGGAGTGCGGCACCGCTAAAACAATACACAACGAACACAATCGAGCGCGCACAGACAAACCGGGGCAATCCCAACGGATCAAAAGCCTAAAAGCGCGAGCGAAGCGAGTGCTGTTCCTCATTCCTCCATCTCCGACCGGGCGTAGGGTCTCCGCACCCGGCCGGAGACCCCACAGTTTTCCATTTGGCGTGCGAGGTCATCCACCCCGTGAGCGACGTAGATCAAGACAGCTACGCAAGTCGCTTCAACCCTGCGCCGGTCAACCTGGAACTTTGCGAGGAAGTCCTCGCGCAGACGAGAAAAGAGACTCAACGGATGAAAAGCTAGGAGCCTGCGCGCATGAATGCATTCCCCACGTTCCTCTGATCATTCCCCCCCTCCTGCCACGACGTAGCGAAGCCAGCAAGCAGGCGCGAGAAACCATCCACCCTGCAGGCGCGGCAAACGAACCCATGGCTGATTCGCGGATGTGCTGGCCATCGCGCCGGAAAATTCGACGCGCACTCATCAGTCCCACGTTGCCTCCGCAAACCTGCCTGTCTGGAACGTTGCAAGGACGCCTTGGCGTCCAGCGCCAATCAGACTCGCGGTGTAATCGTCCTCTGTGGAATGCATGGGTTCTCCGTCGGGGCAGACGCACATCATGTCCTGCTCTTTCATTGGCATCGTATGAACGAGATTGGCAGCTGCTTCGTTGTCGTTCATTGACCCACCTGGTATAGGATTCCTCGCGCGCTGCTCCTTGATCCTCTGCCAACGAATCTTCCAACCTGGCGTTGAGTGGGGGCCTTTTGTCGTGTCCAACCCATCGCGGTGACGCTGGCACTCTGGCGTGACATCCTCTAGCGACTCGGCATGCGCATCGAATCCAAGAAGCCCGCCAATGTCTGCACGACCGAGTGCGCTCAAGCGCCGCACGGCCAAATTCAGGTGCTCCTGCATGGGGAGGTCTTGGCGGACCACGATCATCGCGGAATCTTCGCTGAACTTGTTATGCATCGTGATCTGAAGCTGCCCCGCTAAGGTCGGCAATCCTTCCTTCACGCTCTTTTTGGTGCGCCACTGTGCCTTGGAAATTGTCACCCTCACGCCGTCACTTGCCTGCTGCTCGGAGAGAACCATGTCTGCATCGGTCCAATCCGCGAGCCTCGTCCATGGAACGTCTTCTGGCGCGCCTGGCTCCATCACCCGGAGCCCCAAGAACTCGTCGCTTTGATTCTTGGTGTGCGACCTGAGGTAGGAGCGCACCTGCACGACCGACCCACCGATCCATGCGCCCGAGAGCTCGACCGCGGTGATGTACGTGGTGCATGGCTTCCCGTGCTCGGGGCGGATCGTTGCCTGAAGCTGCACCTCGGCGGTCCTTTCGGCGGCCTGCGGGATTCGGAGCAAAGTGAACTCGCCGTCGTGGTTGATGTCGAAATGCTCGCCAAGAAGGTTGACCAAATGCGGGTCACCCTTGGCCGACACCGTCGGGGCCGGGGTGGGCAGAGGAATGGCAGGAGGGCCGATGCAACATCCGCCGTTCCCGAAGCCGCTGCCAGTATAGCCATCGAGGACCGTGTTGTTCCCACTGCACTGCTCGTCACACCTGTACCCGAGATCGCAGATTTCGATGCCACATCCGCACGGGTACTGCTCGCTGAGCGAGATGCCATTGACCATTGTGCAAGCAGAAACGATAGCGTCATACTTGTTGAACGCCGCGTGCACCCCATGGTCCAGTATGAAAAAGGGCCCACTCTTTCGCAGCAGAGACTCATGGTATGACGTCAACCTCTCGGTATCATCGAAACCAATCTTGTCGACGATGATCAGTCTCTCGAAGTGGCCAGGGTTGCGCGTCGACATGGTGATCCCATCGCCCTTCTGCAACAACACCCCGCTCTCGTCAACGGCCTTGTTGACGAAGACAACGTCGGACCCAACCGAGAGGGGTTCAGTGAGCCACACCCCCGAGATGCAGTTATCGAAGTCGCCCAAGTCCACTTTGCCCGCTGGGCAGTCGCTGCAGCCCTCCGAGCGGCGCCGCCGCGTGGCACCGGCGGGGCATTGCTGGCAGATGCTGGTGCCTTCCATGAAATAGTATCCGTAGTCGCATTCAGCTGGGCCCTGGATTGGGAACGCAGTCATACCAGCCGCGTACGGCGAGTCCCCGCACTCTGCCTGGGTGACGCAGCCATCCCCGTCCGCGTCTATCTCGTTGAAGTGCCCGTAGAGATTCTCATCTTTGTCCACTTCTGCCTCCACTAGGCAACCATCACTGTCTAAATCAAGATATGGAAAGAGGCCACAAGCCTGCTCACAAGTGCACGGTGCCCCAGGCTCCATCGTCGGCGATGGGGTGGGAAGAGAAGTCTCATAAGAGATGTTGACCGTCATGTTGGAAGCTGCACCGTCGCAAGACAACATCCACGTTGTGCTGCCCATAGGGACACCATTGGAGTCAGAACTACTGTGATGCCCAAAATAAACGCACCCCGAATCAGAATCTAAATCCATGGTCGCCGTCATGTTTGGTGAGTCTGAGTCGAGAATCCATCGCGGCTGCTGATATTTCGAAGGTCGCTCAATGCCATCGCACGACGCGTCCCAATAGATGTCCGCCACCGTGCCCTGAGGCACGAATTGAAATGTCCTCAAATCCATCGAGTTCTCCGTCTTCAATCCTGAATGCGAATTATTAAATGGCCCGAAACCAACAATCTTAAGTTCCCAAGAGTATCTCGCGTGCCGGGATGCTTCCTGCATGCCCCCTCGCAATTGTTCGGAGCCGGAGGGGGCCCTCAGACGTCATACGAGGGCCCCTAAGACAGTCCAAGAGAGCCTCGAATCGTCCGAAGATCGCTCGGAGACGCCCGAGACGGCCTCCAGATGGCACACGAGGCCCCCAAGACGACCAAAGAGGGCTCCAAGAGGCTCCCGATGAGGGCTCCGAGAGGCCTACACAGCTGAGTTCCCTCGTGTGTTTGCCATTTCGGGCTGGCAACGCCCCAAGACGGCCCAAAGAAAGGAGCCCCCAAGAGCGCCCCAAGGCGGCCCAGAACGCCCCCAAGACGTCCTCGGGGCAGCCCAAGAGGGCCACAAAATTGCCCCAAAGGTCCTCCAAACGACCCAAGAGAGGCCCCAGAGAGGGAACACGAACCGACATTTCGAGCCATCCGCCCCAACACAGTCTCTGAGACCGCCAGCAGGCCCCAAAGAAACCCACGAGAGCATCCTGGAGGCCCCCAAGAGGCCCCTGAGCGACCCAAATGACGATCAAAACCGTTTCCAAGATGCTCCTGAGAAGCCTCCCAACATGCGCCCGCAGGCATCCAAGAGGCCTCTGAACTACCGCCGCGGCGCGGTGGCGGGATGGGCCGGATGCCACCAGACCTGCTTGGCACGGGAACGGATCACGCAACTTACTGTCAGTGATGGCGCGAGGTCGTTGGCGTGTCCTTTCTGTTCTCCGTCTACGTCTTCTTTTTCCCTCGCCCTTGTCGCATGTGTTGGGGGTCATGGGGCACTGTCGCGCCGTCTTTGGAGACTACCGGGCTGTTTCGGGATCCCTCGAGCCGTCTTTCCACGAGAGGCTGCAAGACTGTGCTGGAAACCATCTTGTTCGAACACGTCTGTTCGCAACGCTTGCGGACGCGAGCGCGACTGCAGAGCCGACGGGCCGTGCTGGACAGTGTGCGTACTAGAGCATGTGGTGAAAAACAAAACAACAGAAACAACAACAAAAAAACTGCCGCGGAAGAGGGGGAAGCAGGCCTAGGCCGCCGACGATCGGCGGACACCGCCATATTTTCTGAACATGCGATGTTGGAGATTGCTCTCTCGTTTAAAGATATCCATCGCGGGATCGACATGTTCGACAATCTCTAGAACGCTCTTGGACCATTGGACCGCTTGGATCGTCCGCTGTCCGAAGGTCGTGCTCCCCGTTTAGACCGCCCACTTTCCAGAACCACGTGGTTTCCCCAGTTGGGCCGCCCGCTGTCCGAATGTCGCGGTTTCACACATTGGACTGGTCATCTGTGCCCGTAGCTGTCACGGACAGAGAGACTGTGCAGAAACAATGTGTTTTCACGGTTTGGGCAAGCCAATATTCAGATCCATGCGTTGTCCCTGTTTGGATCGTCCACTGTCCGAAAGTCGCGTCTCCACTTTGCACCGCCCATCAGCAGTCTTGAGGCATCCACTGGTAAGAGCGTGAGGGAGGGAATCCAAATATCACGGGGAGGGTGTGCTGAAACAATACTCTCCCCGTCTGGACCGCCCGCTCTCCAGAACCTTAAGCTTCCCCGTTTGGACCATGCGCTGTCCGAGCGTCGTGTTTTCGCCGTTTGGGCCGCCAGCATTCCAGAACCATGTGTATTTCCCGATTGGGCCGCCCGCTGTCCGAGTTTCGCGTTTTCCCCTAGCGTTTGGACGGTCCATCTGCGTTCGGCGTCAGCGGCATCGACCAAGTAGCAACATGTTATTTGCTGAACATGTCCCTCCTGAAACCGCTGTTCTAGGCAAGAGCGGTGTCGACGACAATTCATGTCTGAAGATATCCAATGCGAGGTCGCCATTTAGGGCGGAAATTGGACGTATTAGAACCACTTCGTTGGAGTAAGTTGGGCCGTGTTGAGGCCTTCGAGGAGCGATCCCAAAAAGGACACCTCAATTTTCGGAGGGTGTCCCCAGCGAAATCGCATTTGTACGCCTTTGTGGCTGCGAGTTCCATTCCCCCACATATGCCGGACCCCTCAAACCCCCCCTAAGTTTCATTTCTTCCGGCCAACAGATCGCTCAGAGACACACTGACCCAGGTCAATGCAAGCCCGGGACAATCAAACTGTGCAGAATCCTGCAAGATCCTGCGCTATAGCCCGGGTCAATGTGCCCTTGGCCGAATCGCACGCTGAGCGCGCTTTCCGTCATCCGCCGGCCCGCTTGTTGCCACAACGGCGCACGGCGCGCTGGACCTTCGGCCGTTTGAGAGAAGGCGACGGTGACAGCGGCGCGATGCACATGTCGGCGCCTGTTTGCGCAAAGGGAGACGCAGGGCACGCTACTACTACTACTACTACTACTACTACTACTACTACTACTACTACTACTACTACTACTACTACTACTACTTCGATTACCATTACTACTACTACTACTACTACTACTACTACTACTACTACTACTACTACTACTACTACTACTACTACTACTACTACTACGACTACGACTACTACGACTACTACTACTACTACTACTACTACTACTACTACTACTACTACTACTACTACTACTACTACTACTACTACTACTACTACTACTACTACTACTACTACTACTACTACTACTACTACTACTACGACTGGTACTACTCACGACTACTACTACTACTACTACTACTACTACTACTACTACTACTACTACGACTACTACTAACACTACTACTTCTACACTACTACTACTGCTGCTACTACTACTACTACTACTACTACTACTACTACTACTACTACTACTACTACTACTACTACTACTACTACGACTACTACTACTACTACTACTACTACTACTACTACTACTACTACTACTACTACTACTACTACTACTACTACACTACTACTACTACGACTACTACTACTACTACTACTACTACTACTACTACTACTACTACTACTACTACTACTCAAACTACTACTACTACTACTACTACTACTACTACTACTACTACTACTACTACTACCTCTACTAGTACTACTACTACTACTACTACTACTACTATTATTATTTTTACTACTACGGCGGCTACTACTACTACTACTACTACTACTACTACTACTACTACTACTACTACTACTACTACTACTACTACTGCTACTGCTACTGCTACTGCTACTGCTACTACTACCACTACCACTACCAGTGCTGCTGATATTACTTGTACTACTATTACTACCACTACGACTACTGCGATTACTACCACGACGTGACTGATGACAAGGGCTTGGGCCCTTCCAAAAAGGATCCCAATGCGATCCCCGCCGATCGCGCCAGCCATCCGAAAAAAAACCCGGTCGCAGACTCCCCCAGGATTGCCTCCAAGATGGCATCCAAGACGGCTAAGATTGTCCAAGATGGCCCCGAGGTGTATTCAAGACTGCCCAAGATGCACCAACAAAAAGGCTCAAGATGGCTCCAAGATTATCCGAGAGGCTCCCAAAGACGCCCCAGGAGGGCCACACGAGGATCTCTCTGGTCATATCTGAATGTGCGTATGACGTCACTCCGTACCCCCCCCTCCGCAGCCCTCGAAAGTAGCGACAGTCTCGCAGTTCGCACCCCCCCAGGGATGGCGAGGTCTAAGCTGAATCTGCGTATGACGTCACTCCACTGGTCCCCCCCAGCAGCCCTCGAAAGTGGCGACCGTCTCGCAATTCGCACCCCCCCAGGGATGGCGAGGTGCAGAATCTGCGTATGACGTCACTCCACTCCGCTGGTCCACCCCAACAGCCCTCGAAAGTGGCAATGGTCTTGCAGGTAGCAGCCCCCCAGGGAAGGCGAGGTCGAATCTGAATATGCGTATGACGTCACTCCGCTGGCCACCCAAGCAGCCCTCGAAAGTGGCGACAGTCTCGCACTTCGTAACCCCCCAGGGATGGTGAGGTCTAATCTGAATCTGCGTATGACGTCACTCTGCTAGCCCCCCTCCGCAGCCCTCGAAAATGTTGACAGTCTCGCAGTTCGCACCCACCCAAGGATGGAGTGGCCAAATCGGAATCTGCGTATGACGTCACTCCGCTGACCCCCCCAGCAGCCCTGCCTCGCAGGTAGCAGTCCCACAGGGATGGCGAGGTCTGATCTGAATCTGTGTATGACGTCACTCCGCTGGCTCCCCCAGCAGCCCTCGAAAGCGGCGACACCCTCGCAGTCACCCCCCCCCAGGGATGGCGAGGTCTAATCTGAATCTGCGTATGACGTCACTCCGCTGGCCCCCCCCCCAGGCAATCCTCGAAAGTGGCGAAGGTCTTGCGGGTAGGTAGCAGCCTCCAGGGCACCCAAGACCGCCCCACAGACCTTCGGGACGGCTCTAAAGAGCCGAAAGGGGCACCCACGACTGCCCAGAGAGGGCCCCAAGACGGCCTCCAAAGGATAAGAGGTCGGGTAAAGGCCCCCAAAGGGCCCCAAGAAGCCCCCAAGACTTAGTGGGCCCTGCGGACAACAAAGACGGTGCTGTTACGGTGTTTCGTTTCCTGGTGCCTGTTTACCGTCACCATCGTTATGATTGTTGACGTTTCAGGCGCCCGTTGTCGCTTCCCCTGGTGGGGCTTGTTCCAAATATTCCACGTTTTTGTAAGATCCGGCCCGTTTTCGAACCGATCCCGAACGTCCTTCGGATCCCCGAACTGCCCAGGCCGTTTCTTTGAACCTTTTTTGCGATGTACCGTTTCGGAGAACAACTATAGATACTGTCTCATGATCAAGAAACTATTTCTAGAGCAAGGAAATAAAGCAGCCCTGCCGCTTCCAGGGTCCACTAAGCCCCAAGAGGCCCCCAAAAGGCTCCAGGATGCCTTCAAGAGGTCATCGAGAGGCACCCCAGACACTTCCAGGAACCCCCAGGAACCCAAAGACGACCTCAAGAGGCTCCTTCTCCTCACTCTCTTCCTCGGTCCTTTTCCTCACACAGGTGTTCCCCCAAGGGGGATCCACACTGGCTGGGGGAGCACGTCGTTCAATCCCACCAGCCCTCTGGGCGCAGGTGGTCTAAGGCGTTTCCTTTTCCAACCTCCTTCTTTTCCCTGCTCGGGAGGTTTACCTCCCCCCCTCCCTGGGTCTGGACGCCCCCCCCCCGATGTGTCTGATCGTCCTTTTTGGCCAAAGATAGCTCCAAAAGGGCTTTAGATAGCCCAAGATAGCCTCCAAGATCGCCAACGATACCTTAAGATGGCTCAAGATAGCCTCCGACACGCATCCAAGAGGTCCCACGAGCGCCCCAAGACGGTTTCAAGTGCCCTCCGAGCCCTCCAAGGACCCCCCGAAGAGGCCCAAACCCGTCAAAAACCAACGGAGAATCCCAATTGTTGGCGTTCTCGTTGTTTCGCCTCCGATAGGTTCTTGAGGCCTCAAGATGGCCCTAAGACTGCCTAAGATAGCCCCAAGAGGGACCCAAGAGGCCTTTAAGATGGCCCCAAGGGCGCCCAAGAGTGCAACAAGAGCGGGCCAAGATGGCCCCAAGACAGCATGTTTGAGCCTCCGAGGGGGCGACCGGAATTAAGATCCCCAAAGCCCGACTCCTCGTCCTCCTTGTCATCGTCCGTCCCTTCCTTGCGTCTTTCCTGCCGCCTCCCCTCTTCTTCATCCTCCTCGCGCCGCGTTCCTCCTGCTCCTCCTCATTACCGTCCTCCTTACGTGTTCCTCCTCCTCCTCCTCCTCCTCCTCCTCCTCCTCTGCCTCCTCCTCCTCCTCTGCCTCCTCCTCCTCCTCCTCCTCCTCCTCCTCCTCCTCCTCCTCCTCCTCCTCCTCCTCCTCCTCCTCCTCTTACAACAGGATGGTCCCAGACATCACCAGCACCAGCAGCACCAGCAGTAGCACCAACATCAACACCAGCAGCAGCGGTAGCAGAAGCACAGACTACAACGACACCACCAACGATACCATCAGCTACAGCACCACCGACGCACTTCGCTACAAGAGATCTCCCAACTCACTGGTGTTGCCAATCAAGCCGCCGTGGCTAGACGCCACAGACGTTTACCACAAGGAACCTCACGGCGCATCTTGCACTAATTGCCATGTTCAACTTCAGCGGAAATGCGGCAACGATTTGTTCCTCCTCCTCAGTTTTTTTCTCCTACCCCCAAGATGGCCCCAGCAGCAACACCACCACCAACAGGAACGCCACAAGCAGCAGCGCCAGCAGCAGCAGCAGCAGCACCAACACCACAACAACAACATCAACGGCACGAGCAACGGAAGCAAGATCGGCAGCAGCACCGGCAGCAGTACCAGCACCTGAGCAATTTCAAATGGCACGCGAGATAATATACAAATCAGTGCAAGAGCCAAGATCATGGATGTCCATCGAAATACAACTCTACACTGCGCAACACTGGCGTCGGATCGTAAATACAGCAACCTGCGCCAGACACGCCTCCCACACGGAACACCATGGCGCATCTTGCACTGATTTATTTTCTAACTTTATTGCGCGAAACTGCTTGTGGTCCTTGTTTTCTGGCCCAAGGGTACCGCCCACCCAGTTTGGACGCCTCCAAAACGGCTGCGCGACCGCGTGCTTCCAGGCGTCCCTGATGAACCAACTCTCGTGGTAATCGTTTTTGGATGGGCTGGTGGGGATATGTTCTCTGGGGGGTACGTGGGCTCGCGAAGCAGGTCGAAAGCCGGGCAAAGCTAAAGCGGGCCGCGCCGAAACAACGGCTGGTGGGGATACTTGTTGATCGCAGCCGCGGCGAGAAGGTCGGGCGGCGTTAAGGTACGAAGGACAGGCGTGGTGGGTATACTTTTTTAGTCAGTGGCCGCAGGCGAGCGCGCCAGCGGCGAGTCCAATCAAAGCGGGGCATAAAACCTGGTGGGTGTACTTTGTTGGGGTCGCGGCCACGAGACATGGGTCAGGCGGCGAAAGCAAAATCCGGGGCGCGAGCGAGGCGAATTAGCTACAACAGGCACAGGCCGGCCGGCCCACTCACAAAGCAGCCGCGAAGCTGAAGGGGAGCTGACGGCGGACGGCATCCTGAGAGCTCGAGCACGTGCACAGGACAAAGTGTCATGGAATTCGGTGCCTGCCCTGGCACGACCCACACAGTAAGAGACGTGAACCAGGATGACCAAGTCCGTCGTTCTGAGTGGGGGCAAGTGGGGGGCCAGTGGAGTGAGTCGCCAATGGGGCGCCAGGCTCCAAACACCCTCTGGTGGGTATATTTTTCTACAGCCACAGGCGGAAGCGCTGGCGGCGGGAGGTCACGGTCGAGCTGCGGCCGTGACGAATTACCCGGGCGCGCGCGGGGGCCGCGGATCAGGCGGCGGTGCAAGCAGCAACCCAGGGCGTCTGAGAGGCCAGGTGGCATCTGGTGGGTATATTTTTTTTGTTTACAGCCGCAGGCGGAAGCGCCGGCGGCGAGCAGTCACGGTCGGGCTGCGGCCGCGACTAAATTCCCGGGCGCGCGCGGGGCCGCGGATCAGGCGGCAAGTTGCGGCAACCCAGGGCGTCTGAGAGGCCAGGCGGTCGTGCAATCCCAGGGAGTCTGAAAGGTCAGCCACCTGAGAGGTCGTGCAAGCTGCAACCCAGGGAGTCTGAGAGGTCAGCCCTCAGGGCGAGCCAGGCGCAACCAAAATGGCGCGCAGTACGTTCCAGGCCACGCACGTGTCGAGACAACCGCCTGGTGGGTATTTTTTTTTGTTACAGCCGCAGGCGGAAGCGCCAGCGGCGGGAGGTGCCTGGTGGGTATACGCGAAGCGTCAAGAATTCAATAGCTTGGCAAATCGATAGCACAACATGTTGCCGTACGGGCGTTTCAAACAGGCAGGGGGCGGCGGTGGTTCGCCACAGGCGTCTTCGATAGTTACCATCGGTGTTGCTGTACACTGGTGCTCCTGTTACGCTGCTGCCAGCAAACACGAAGTAGGGGCTGCCGATCGAAGTCGTCAGGCACGGCCATTCTACCTTCAGAATGCCTGGAGGATCGCACGAAAAGCCTCGCCTGTCACGTGAGCAAACTTCGTTTGTTACACACACTTCCGACCCGCACTGGCACGGGTAGGAAGAACTCATGAATGATCCGTCCGTGACATCGCAAGCATCTAGCGAAGCCGTGGGTGCAGGCGTGGGCGCGGACGTCGGCATCCGATTAAAGTTGACACTGATGGCTCCCGCTGGGTATGGGTCGGCACAGGTGGTGTTGGAGTCATGCCCATTCGTTTCCTCACATGCTGCAGTGAAAAGATCGCATTGGCCTCTCCAGATAGACTGCCAAGGCTGAATAGCGATGGCATCGCAGTGGGGGTACAAGTTGCACTCCTCGGCACACGATTCGAGAGAATCGTGCTCTTCTGAGAACCGTCTGATTAGTGTTCCACACTGGCAATTACGACCAACTTGCTCGTATCCAGGGTAGACCGATGTGAGCAGGTCATCTAAATGAATTTCTGTTGGCATTGGAGTTCCAACATGCAACGCTGTAGGCATCGGGGTTCCAAAACTTGTCCGGAGCCGCTCCTCGGACTGCGCCGCTGCACATGGCTTGGGGCAAACATCGGAAAGCCTGTCCACGCCGTGCAAGTGTTGCTGGAAGTCCTCGAAGCTGGAGTTACTCGTCAGAGGGAGATACCACTCCGGGTGCTTTTTGATGCCCGTCCGCATCGCCCACTCCACCTTCTCGTAGCACTCGTCGCCCTCGACACTGGTGCGGCACTCCTCTGGCACTGCGGGTAACTGCTCCATCGAACGCTCCTCGGACTGCGCCGCTGCACATGGCTTGGGGCAAACATCGGAAAGCCTGTCCACGCCGTGCAAGTGCTGCTGGAAGTCCTCGAAGCTGGAGTTACTCGTCAGAGGGAGATACCACTCTGGGTGCTTTTTGATGCCCGTCCGCATCGCCCACTCCACCTTCTCGTAGCACTCGTCGCCCTCGACACTGGTGCGGCACTCCTCTGGCACTGCGGGCAACCGCTCTATCGGTCGCTCCTCGGACTGCGCCGCTGCACATGGCTTGGGGCAAGCGTCAGAGAGCCTGTCCGTTGCATGCAGGTGCTGCTGGAAGTCCTCGAGGCTGGAGTTACTCGTCAGTGGGAGATACCACTCTGGGTGTTTTTTGATGCCCGTGCGCATCGCCCACATCACCTTCTCATAACATTCCTCGCCCTGGGTTGAGGTATGGCATCCCTGCTGGTTCCCACTGCCAGGCAAGAGAAAGGCCGTGTGCATCTGCATGAGCTGCATGTCCACATGTTCAGCGCAGGTAGCTGCAAGCCCCACTGCGCACAGATATGTCATGATTCCAAACATAGCTTGGAACGGGCACTGTTAAATCTGACACTATACAAAGCGTTTCGGTATCGGTAGCTATACGAAACCACCAAGCTCGGGTATCAAACTTGGAGCCCAAACGGGTAGGGGGGTTATGGCCATCATGATGGTCAGGAGCGTGGGGTCAGACCAGATGCTGATACGGGCGCCCTGAGTTATCTGAGACCCAAGCGATGCCTGGAGGTCTGGGGCTCCACTGGAATTCACGAGCTAGCGGACTGCGGAGGGGGAACACGGCGAGGACGCATCCCGCGCGACCCCGCCTAGAGGTTCCAGGAGGCTTCCATATCGGGAGATCGGCGAAACAATTCATCGTTTGGCGGCTGCACTCTCTTTTCCCACTGCTTGCTTCTGCACTTCCCTGATCAAGGCAGCTCGCCCGGGTACCGTTTTTGGATGGGCTGGCTGGGACATGCAAAATGTCAATACTGATATCTTGACAACCTGTTCCAATCCGGCGAAAGCTCAACGAACCCCCCCAAAGTGCGCGGCAACGAGGTGACAAACCACCTAAGAAAGGCGGCAACGATGCGGCAACGAGCGGCGACGCGGCAAAACCTCAACGGACCCGCCAAGTGGGCGGCAAAGAGGCGGCAACGGTGGAACAACATCGACGGACCCCCCCTAATGGGGGGCAACGAAGCGGCAAATAGGCGGCAAGTGTCGGCGACGCGCCGAACCCCCGACGAGCCCCCCAAGTGGGCAACCAGGCTGACGGACCCCCTCAAGTTGGTGGCAAGGCAGCAACGGGGGGCGACGCGGCGAAACCTCGACGGATCCCCCAAGTGGACACCAACGAAGCTGCAATGGGCGGCGACGCGGCAAAGTCTCAACGGACCCCCCTCCAAGTGGGCGGCAACGAGGCTGCACGGTCGGCGACGCGGCGAAATCTCTACGGACCCCCCCAAGTGGGCAACGAGGCGGACGGACCCCCCCAAGTAGGCAACGGGGCGGACGGACCCCCTCAAGTTGGCGGCAACGATGCGGCAACGGGCGGCGACGCGGCGACACCTCGACGGACACCCCAAAGTGGGCGCCAACGATTACCCAAGTTGGCAACGATACAGCAACAGGCGGCGACGAGGCGAATCCTCAATGGACCCCCCCGAAGTGGGCTGCAACGAGAAGGCAACGAGGTAGCAACAGGCAACGACGCGGCGAAACCTCCACGCCCTCCCGAGTGGACGGCAACGAGAAAGCAGCGAGGCGGCAACGGGCGGAGACGCGGCGAAACCTCAACGGAACCCGCAACGAGGCGGCAAGCCCTTTAAGTGGGAGGCAACGAGGCTGCCACGACCGGAGACGCGGCGAAACCTCGACAGACCCCCGCCAAGTTGGCGGCAGCGAGGCGGCAACCCCCTCCAAGTGGGCCACAACGAGGCGCCACGGAGGCGGCGAGGCGGCGCATCCTCGACGGATTCCCCAAATGGGCGGCAACGAGGCGGCACCAAGCGGCGACGCAGCAAAATCTCGACGGACCAATCGGACTTCTTGGGAACGGAAGCCAGAACCCCGATGTGCAAGCACTGCTTGGGGAGTGAACAAGAAGATAAATAAGATCCGCCACCGTGCCTGCGGCACGTTGAGGCGTGGAAGAGTACCAAGGGCTGCCTGACAGGGTTTCTGTAGTCTCCTAAGGGCCCTCCCCATCATCTCAATCACACCCAGCCGACTGCACCACCTCTACTTCCGAGGGGTCCCTGGGCGGTCATCGCGCCTCCCTAGGGCCGCCCAGGAGGCCTCCACGACAATCCATGATCGCTCCAATACACTCAAGATGGCCCCATCAAGACGGCCCAGGAGGCCTACAAGACTCTCAACGAGGCCGCCAAGAGGCCCCCCCGACAGGGCCCCAAGAGGCCCAAGAGGCAAAACAAATTGTGTTCCCATTGGTGTTTGGAAGGTTTTTGGCCTTCTCGCATGTTCGGCTTTCCGACGCTCAAAGGCGGGCCCAAGAGGCCTCCGAGACGGCCCAAGAGGGCCCCAAGACGGCCCCCAAAGGGGCCCCAAACGGCCCCAAAAGGGGACCAAGAGAGGACACGCGGACCGAAAATCCGAGCCTTCCAAGAGGCCCAAAAGAGGCCCCCGAGAGGCCCCCAAAAGGCCACAAAGATGCCCCAAGAGGCCCCAACACGAACTGCCCCCAAGACCCCTCAAAAATGCCTCCAAGGGGCCCCCGAGAGGCCTCCCACGAGATCCCAACGAACATCGCATAATTAGGCTTCACACCCACAACCCAGGCACCGTGGCGGGACTTGCCGTAGGCACCTGAACAGAAGCACGAGATCTGTGTATAACACCCTCGTTGGAACCCTCCTAGGCCAGCACCGCGGCGGGGCGGCGGGTGCCTCCTGCAAGCCGGCGGCCGCAGGGAAGACGAAGGTGACAGCGTCCGCGTCCCCGCCTTCGACGCGCGCCGGGGTCGTGTCATGAGGACTCGCGCGCTGTCTCTGCCACCGCTTGGAGCATTCGGCCTTGAATAGAGGGCCCAAAAAACACCCTCAGAATAAGCACCCCGACGAGCGAAGCCTGTAGTAAACGCACCAAGGTAAAGGATCGTACAGGGCAGGGCTGTTTAAGAACTAAACGCCCACTGCTGCTTTGTAAACGCCGACTGTAAGGGTCGGGTGTTTTTTTTCTCCCTTGATTGAATGGTCGCGGCTTCCCGACAGCGTGGATCGCTCGATGCCGGCCGATTTCAGACCGCTGGCGGCGTTCCACCTCGAACGGCAGCGCCGTCAGCCCCGCTGCGCCAACACGACACGAGCCTACCGCCAGACCTAGGACAGAATAACATACCCCAAGAACATGAGACCCTCCCAGCGGCCCAAACACACAGAACATCCAAGGTCCTCCCCCAGGATGCACGAGAACATCCAACAAACTTAATAAACCTTAGGGTAGGCAAGGCAAGGCAAGGCGCACCGGAGTCCGCCGAGGAGGCGTGGCCTGGAAGGCCGGCGCGGGCGGGCCGGGGCCCTCAGTTGTAAATGTGGAACTTGTGCTCAATGCTGTGTGCGTGTGTGTGAAATAGGAACGCTTGCTCCGAATTGCTCCATGGAGTACTGTCGTGTGCTAGTGTATATCATCGTTCGATTCCAGATTGGAGAAACATGTTTGCTGTCAGAATTTGTGTGGTAACGTTTTCCCACCTCTTCCTCTGACCCCCGTGTCTGCGGACTGCTTGCCAGAGGTCGTGGATGTCCGGCTCTCTCGTAGCAGCAAATCGGGCCCATCGGAGTCGGAACCTGCAGAATACCTTCAGCCATTCCGCCAACATAAGTAATCAGGATCGTGAGCCGGAATCGAAAAGGCGGGAGCTGGAATCGGATCCGGGGTCGGGGAGGCGGGATGGGAGCTGGAGTCGCAGAGGCGGGAACTGGAATTGGAGCCAGAATCAGAGAGACGGGAACCGCAATCGGAGCCAGAGTCGGAGAGGTGGGACGGGCGCCGGAGTCGGAAACCAAGGAATTGGAACCGGAGCTGGAGTCGGAGAAATGGGCGCCGAAATTGGAAACGGAATCGTAAAAATGGACGGGAGCTGGAAACGTACTGTAAAGTCGGGAGCCGGAGCCGGAGCCTCCTCGAACCGACATCGATCTTGTACCTCGGTCCGACTGTACCGTACTCACGCAGCCTGGTCTCTCTCAGGGAGGCGTCGTTACCGAACCTGTGCCAGAACCTCTGCCCGGGTGTGGCCGAAACTTGAGCCCGAAAATTTCCGACAGCGCCCTCTTCGGTCTCAGCTTCGGGCACGCTTTCGGCCACATTTCTATTTTGTCGGTCACCTCCCTCTTCGGCTGTCCACTGCGTGCTCCCCCACATGCCTGATCGGGGCGGCTCGCCCAAGCATCGCTTCTGGAGGGGCACGTGGGGCTAGACGCGAAGCGCCCAGAACGATAGCGAAGAAGGGGGCATGACATCTGGGAGCACTGGTGTTCCTGGCCGTGGTACTCTTCGACGCCCCAGGACCTCCGTCGTCGGCGTCCTCGGCGCCCCCCCAAAACAACACATCGGCGCGCGGGGCGCGCCGGGGCCTTCGGCGGCGGCGCGGAGCCCCGCCAGCTGGCGCCGCAGGCGCTCGCGCGCGCGCTCGGCGGCGGCCTGGGCCTGCCTCGCGCGGGCGAGGTCCTCGCGCAGCTTGCCGAGCCTCGGGCGGTCGTCCCCACCACCGCGGCCGTCGGGCGTCGGGCGTCGTGCAGGCCATCGTGATACAGCGACGGGCGCCGAGTGCAATCGAAACGCTGTCATGAGGAACCCCAAGTCAGGAGCTAGGCCCCCCTTTCTCCATACGTGCAACATGGATCTCCCGTGCAAAACCTAAGCGAACGCTGAGACACACCTTTTTTGTTCCATCCAGCCAGAGGCAGAGTTGAACGGTTTATCGCAAGGCCTTCTTCTGGGCCAGCTGTGTCTGGGCAAGCTTCGAGGTACCTGGTGGCAGGCCTTGCTGCAACCTCCTCAATTGCTGCCTGCCATACACATTCAGCTTAGTCGTACAAGGACCAGCTAATTTCCTGACGGCCTGAGTGGCTACACAGCCACAAGAAAGACATACCGTGCTCCCGAACTCCTTGTGATAAGCCAAGGTGTGGGAGCTGTGCAGGTCCTTGCCGTTCACGGTGCTCTTAGTTGGCACCATAATCATACCCCTAAACAGGCCCTGGTGGCAGGGGGTGGCCAAAAACTTGTCGGCCATCTTGTATGGCGCGCAACCTCCACAGCAGTGACAGCGGACCTGGGAACCTATCCCCCAAACTGGCTGGTGAGCAGTCAAGAGCAGCTGGGTTTTTATCTCCCTCCTCTTCGGTCGCAAGACCGATTCACTAGGAGTACGGAAACCATCGGCCTCGATGGAGGCCAAAAGACTATGACCGAGGTGCTGGCGGACCTGGAAAGCAATCGACTGGGCATGGGACCTGGTGTCCCTGACAACGTGTGAGACTCTAATATATTTAGCCCACTGGTCCGCTATTCGGTCCGCAAGATCATTCAACAGAAAAAACAAGGGGTCGGTTCCCTGGTCGCTGACATCTTCTACCCTACGGTGGCTTTCAACCTTGGCTAGCACCACAGATCTGGTCGGATGCTCAGCCAGCAAAAGTTTGACAGCCTGCCACACGTCAAGATGAGACTTGGGGTCGATCCCCAATCGGACTTTGCTGAAATTCTTTACAACATAACTGGAGTCCGTCACAAAGAAGGCATCCGCAACAGGGAGGACAGCTTTGAGAAACTGAAGGAAACTGAGAGCTTCCCCCCTGTTGACTGACTGCCTCCATCCAGGCACATTCCCAAACATGACTGTCTGGGCCTGGAGCTCACTAGGGTCATAAACACACCCCTCTCGGATGCCCTGGAAAACAACCCAAGACCAGGCGACTCTACGGAGGGCTGGGTCCTGGGTGTCAGGCCCCCCGCTGGCATCTCCTCCACCGAAAACGAAACCATCCACCACCGCCTCCCTCACGTCCCCCCCGTAGGTCTGGTAATCCTCACCGTCGGGGGGAGGGGGCGCGGCGGTCCAGCTGCTAGGCGTCAGCCCTCGCAGCCAGAAGCTGGGATTATTCTCGCAATCAACTAACGCTCGTCTCCGAACGAAATCAGAGACCTTAGAGAAATCATTATTCTTCGGGCAGCTCCAAGCCCTGTGCAAATCACACTCCACCAACTCCCCACACCTTTTGCAGGAGCTGTCCTGAGTGAGACCACATTCCTGGAGCCTCGCGCGTGGCCAACTATTGCCCGTGGCCACAGCCCGCAAGATGCCCCTCCATTCAAACTTACCCTTCCTAGCTAGCGTGCGGAGCTGCCTCTTAAAGTCTGCGAGGTCTGGGACCTGCTCTAGCCCAGCCCCGTTCCACGAGTTAGCTGCAGCAGCTTCCCAGAGCTGCCGTTCTTTGCTCTGGGCCAGAGCTTCAAACAGGTCAGCTAGATCAACCTTGCCTTGCCCGAGCTTGGTTTCTGAAATCGCGAACCGCTCACCCAGGTCGCTCTCCCAAGCCCAAGGACCCCAAGGTTTCCAGCCTACGTCCAGCAGAGTGGCAATCGTGGCAGCGACAGGAGTGCCTATGCCTCGCCATCTCTTTCCTGCTGGCTTGGGCTCAAGCTCGGCAAGGACTTTCCTCCAGACCCTTCGGGTCTTGTCAGCATCAAAACTGCTGTGGGTCAAAATCTGAAACCAGGCCTCGATCGTGTCAAACATCGCGAAAAAGGCTGGGTCACGTCTGCCGTACTCCAGCGCTAGCAGAGTGGTCAGGCACCTCCCTCCTTTCGCGACACCCCCCGTGAGCCTCCCAAGAGCTCGCCTCCAACCAAGAACGACAGAGGGAGGTGTGCCATGGACCTTATCCGAGTACCTAGTTTTGGAAAAAGCCGAGGTCAAGGCCATCTTTCGGGCCCATTTCTTGCACCAACGATTGCCCCGAGCCAGCTTGCCAAGACGCTGTAACCTACGTTCGGCCCCGGCTCTCCTGCTGGCTTGCTTGGGCCTGGATGCACTGACTCGGCCTCGGTCGATGCCTAGATCTGCAGCTGCACGCTTGGCCTGCACGCGCACTCCCTGATCGCCGAAGAAATCCTTGAGTCTCGCAGCCAAGGGACCCGAGGACGAAATGATGGCCGACTTTGGAGCAATCTGGAGTTTAATCGCGCGCAGGCCGTGGACCAATTCCAGGCCCACCTTTGAGAGCTCACAAAAGACTCTCTCACTGTCACCATACATGCATTGCACTACGTCATCTACCCAGGTGTGCAGCGTTGGTAGAGGTCTGCCCGTGGCTATCTTACTGCAAACGAAATGCAGAGCAGCTCTACCTAGGTCAACTGCACCACTGCTGCCTGGGATCAAGGACATTCCTGGCTGCACCGCAAGCGAAAAACCTCCAGCCTCTCTCAAAAACCTGGCAGCCATGTGGACCTGGAGCTCCAGGGCCAAATAGCAAGGAGGAAAATCAAGCTCTAAAGCGTGGTCCAGGACAAGATCCCAGCGGAGGCTGTCATAGAAACCTTTTACGTCCCAGAGCAGACTCGCGCTCTGGTGGTCTGGCAGACTAGAGTGAGCAGCCTGCTCATCCCTGAACAATCTGAGCAGCGCGGCCTGCAGGGCTGAGTTTCCTGCAAGGGCCGTGTCCCACGGCCCTGCTCGCTCCTTGGTCCAACCAGCTCGGTCCGAGGTTCGCAATCGCCCCCAGAAGCGGACTATCCAAGCCAGCAGGCCAATCGCTCGGTCGGAATCCTCGTCTTTGACCTGGAGCGTGACTAAAACTACTAGCGCCTGCCAAGGCCAGCAGACCCTTTGCTCCACTAGGTTATAGAAATCCGCCAGCTGTTGCAGTCCCAGCGGCGGCAACCACTGGAAATCTTTCTTGGACAGTCTATCTACACCAGGAGCTTTTTCAGGCAGGGCTGAGATGACCCTACGAAGCCAGTCGGCTCCAAGCGGGGGCCGTGGGTTCTGCTTGGCCCTGGCCTGGGCCTTCTGCCAAAGAGCTCGGACCCTGGGAAAACTCAAGCTGTCTCCTGCCCACTTGCGAGACCAGATATCGGCCTTCACGGCCATCCTCTGACAAGAGTCCAGAGCCGTCTCCCCCCGAGCCCTAACCTCCCCCACAAACACCGACTTATCCCTTATACGGTTATACAGACCTCGACCTCCAGCCTGGTCCTGCTGCATAACCCACTGGTGGAAATAGGTTAGGGTATTGTTCAAAACAGCTCTCTGCGCTCGCACCGAATTCTGCTTGGCTCTAACTTCGAAATCTCTGATCGTCTGGTCCGAAGCTTCTCTGAGAACTCGTAAGCCACGGACCCATTCAGCGCGAGTTCTAGCAGGGAGAGGCAGCGTGGCAGAAACAGGCGTTGATGCTGCCATATCCCTGAGTCTGTCAAAGAGCCTACTTGGCCTGTGCTTGGTTCGGTCGTCCAGGAAACCCACAAGATCCGAGAGCAGAAAACTCACCGTGGCCCACCAATGGGCCACCGGATCCCGAGACGACACGAAATGGGCACCCTGGGCCTCGGGTCTTTTCTGCAATTCCTTTAAAACCGCACGGCCCTTAAATCTCTGCTGATCTTTCGGATGCACATCTAGCATAGCACAGAAAAAACCCTCAAAGCGTGCAACCCAACCTGCGATGGCTGCTCCTACGTGCATGGCCGCGTCCACGTCCAGGTTGAATGCGAACGAGTCCTTCACGTAGCTGGGCACCTTCGCGGGGTCCACTGGATGCCGCAGAGCTTCCCACAGGTGATTTTGCTGTTCCTGACCGATCGTGAGCAAGGGGTGACCATCCGCATCCTGCGACATGGCGACGTCCGAACCTCGGCTCTGCCCAGTATTTGCAGCAGCTTCCCCCTCTAACTCCTCGTCGGCCTCAGGCTCTCCTGGTTCCTGGGGTTCTTCATTTGGCTCATCTGGTTGCTCGTCACAAGCTTCATCATACTCGATTCCCCAATCCTCATTAGTGAGGTAGCTGACTGGTGGCGGCATCTTGAATCCAATCACTTTGCGTCGTAGTGGCACTGGTGGTGCTGGAACCTCAGGCTGTGCTGTCTCTGCCTGCTTCAACTTCAGCTTCCTCGAGCGCTTGCTGGTGGGGTCCTTCTGCTTCTTGGGCACTGGCGGATAGACAAATCGTTCGGGTAACTGAAGCACCCACCTCCAAGCTTGATCGAGTTTCAACCTCAGACTGAGATGCAGACCAAAGTGTGCTTTACCTCCTTCGAAACATGCCGTGTCGTCCACCTTGAAGCTATCAACGAACCTTACCATTGATTCCGATAACACCATGAAATCTATCAGTCTCTTCTTTCCCAAAGTACAAGTATAATCTGCTCCATCAGCTGTGCGAATGATGCCATCGACAAGCTTGGGCCAGCCCACCTTGACTAACTCCTGCGGCTCAGCATTGAAATCTCCTATGGCCAGCCAAGGCGTGCGCAGGCACTGTATCAGCTGGCCCATCTGGATGAGCTTGTCAATGTTGGTGCCAGTCATACCTATGCCTGCAGTGAGATAAACTCCGATGATCGTGACGGCCTGGCCTCCAATCTTCAGCTGGAACGCTACCAGGTCCTTGAAGTCTATCCCCTGCTGCTTGGTGAAATCTGGCTCGTCTAACTTCCTGAGTCCCATCTGCTGGTCCTGCTTGTTGGACAGATGGCGAAACGTCTGGAACTGGTACCGCTTCAAGACTCCTGCCGAGATGCCTGCTGCTCGCTTCACTCCGTGAGCTTGGTACGATGGGGCCACCAAGGCTTGGTAACCAGCTCTGTCCCACTCATGTAGGACCTCATGACACTCTTCTGGCAGGCGATGAAGTTCTGGAAATATGAGAATATCGTGAGCCCTCTCCTTCAGCAGCCCCTTGGTCGGGTAGCCCCATCCAGAGAGATTGCGCATGTACAAGCTCTTCACATCATGGGCCCCAACATCAGGAACACGTCCCCCCTCCCTGTCCCGCGCTGGCCTTGTAGCCCCCCACCAAGGCCTCCACCTCGCGCTCGAGGCGGGCCTGCTGTGGGTCCAGGCTGCCGCTTCCTCCAGCTGCAGCGGGCTGGGGAGGCGGCCTCTGGCCATCTCCTGGGTCAGGGCCTGGGGGAGACGGCGCTGATGCTGGTGCCCCAGCTCCTGAGCCAGCTGCCCCAGCTTCCGCTGGAGCCTCTGGCGCCTTCCGCTTCTTCCGTGCCCGCTCCACGACGTCAGCGAGACGCGACTTATGCTCGTCGATCTTCGCCTGCAGGGCCCCGTACGACGCCTGGACTGCCTCGGACAGTGCCTTCTGCAGCTGCTGCTTGGCCTCGTCCAGCACCTTGAGGTCCTCCTCCTGCACCTCGAGACCTGACAGCGACTCGAAGTTGATCTCCAGGTCCAGTTTGCCGTCCAGGACCTGCTGCACGTCGACGGTGGCCGCCGCCTTCGACGGGAGCTGAGGGAGGAACTGCTTGGCAGCTGCAATCTCCTCTCGCTCGGCGCGGTGTACCTCCTCAGTGGCCTCTTTGAGATCATTCTCGCTCTTCTCCAAGTCCCGTTTGTGGCGCATCCACGCAGCCTTGACCTTGTCCAACTGCTTCCTGGCTCTGTTGACACGGGCAGTGGCCTGCTGCAGTCCTTGTCCTGGCTGCAGCGGTGGCTTGGGGGCGGGCGCATCCAGCTCTTGCAAGATCCCCTGCGCCGCCCCTCGGACCCGTTCAGGCAGAAGCGCGGCCAGTCGGCGAAACTGTGCTGCGGGAGATTCGCTTTGGGCCAGCTGCTGCCCACCGCCACGAGGCCGCCCAGGATGAGGAGAAACAACATCATCATCAGAAAACTGACACCCACACACACACGTCCAATTCTTCGACTTGAGACGGTCCTGGAAGAGTTTTCTGCCGCAACTGCTGCACTCCACCATGGGCCGCCCTTTACGGTTCCCCCACCAACCAGACCCGAACGTACCGTTGCTGGGCTGGTAGGACGGCTGCCCTCTCGGCAAAGGTGGGTAACCGTGCCACAGGTCATCATCATCGTTCCGTCCTTTTCCATTTCCATTGCCCTTGGTCCAAGGGTTGTAGATAAACTTATTGTGCCACGGCGCATGGCGCTGCACAACCATCTGCGTGCCGTAACTGTGTCAAAACTTGGGGCGAGCCCCAATACAATACACAGATATGAGCTGTTGGGGCCGCGTGCGTCTCTGAGACGCCCCCTTGCCACAATACTCTCGTCCGCTGCAGGACCCTGAGCCACCGCTACGGACTTGAGCCAAAATGGCTACGGAACGCTGAGACACACCGCAAACCAATCAGGGAGCATTGAGCCCCTCCCCAACGAAAAGGGCTCCTTCTTCAGCGGCCCGACCGCAAAGGCCGAGGAGGCTTTTCTGGCCACCACGACCGTCGGCCACGAAAATGTCCCCACCTGGACGACCCCAAACCAGAGCCCGTCCTGAGCCCAAGGTGGACCTTCTTTCAGCATCTTGACCCTGGGCTGCGCGGCGTCGGCGCAGGAATCGTGCGTCGTGCGTGGTCGGTCGCGTCGTCGGCGTTGGCGTCGTTTTGGTCGCCGTCGACGGCGTCGAGGTTCGAGGATCGAGGTGCGACAATGGGAGGTTCGAAGATGTCCACGGTCGGCGCTCGATGTTTGGAACCACATGGTTGATGCCCTGTGGTAGGTGCCGTACGGTTGGTGCCCTTTGGTTCGAAGACCGAAAGGATCAATGTTTGGTGCTCCGCTTGGGTGGATTTGTTCTTGCCTCCCTGGCCCTTCAACCCGCCCTGAGGGGCCTCCAGGGGCATTACGGGGCACTCCTTCAATACCTCTGGACTCCGGAGATCGTCGGCGTCGTCGTCGTCGTTGCCGTTGCCGTCGTACGTCGGCGTCGGCGACGTCGCACGTCGCAAATCATCCGCCGTCGTCGACGGCGTCGACGGCGTCGGCATCGTTGGTCTTCGGGTGCCTTCCGGTGGCTTCCTGGTGGCTCTCTGAGGTTGTCGTGGTCTGTCGGCTGTGTTTAACATGTGCGGATGTATTCGGGTGGCTTTCAATGCTTGTTTCCCATTGTTGTGCGAAATGTTAGGCTAGCTCCGACATGCATCCAACATGTTTCGAACATGTTCTAAAATTTGGTGGTGGCGTCGGTGGATTCTGTAACTATCAAGTGATTCTCCCATATTTACATTCCGTGAATGCTCGGTGGTGTCTGAGTATGTAGAGCAAGAGAAGCCGGGAGGAGGGAAGAAGAGAACTCCCTAACCAACAATCACGAAGGCAGGAGGAAACGGAGACACATCTATATATATATATATATATATATATATGTATAAACACTTGCAAGCGGCATGTGTGTATGAATATGTATATATATGTGTATGATGAAGGAACAGGGAAGCAGAGAGAGAAAGAGACAGAGAGAGAGAGAGAGAGAAAAATCAAAAAGAGGACGAGGTGGAAGATAAAGAGGAGGCATACTAAAAAAAGCAAGGAGGAGGGGGCGGGAGAGTGGATGACTGACAGAAGTTGACGGAGGATGGGGCAAGAGGGGGAACCCGAGAAGCGGGATGGGCGGGGTGCAACGAGATGGGAGAGGAGATGGGAGAGATTGGAGACGAAATGGGAGGGAGAAGGGTGAAGAGGGTTAGGAAGGAGAAGGATGGGAAGGACAGTCACTTGCAGAAGGACTATATCGGTTCGGAAGAAACGCAAACCCCACACTTGTTATCCCACGTCAGTCCGCACATCGCATGGACGAGAACACTGTGGAGTTCGAGGTGGAGCAGGAGGAGAGCGGGATTACGGGACGTGAAGGGTGGGTGGATGGGGCTGAGCAGGCGGATGACGAAAGAGGGTCAGGGGAAGGGCAGAGGGAGGATGGGATGGAGGAAGACAGATGATGAGAAGCAGGAGGGATAGCACCAAACGCATATACGGAGAGGGTTGGGCATTTTGAGGTGAAGAAGAGCATACGTGCACATGGCGGGCGGGAGGGGTAAATAGTCAGACAGCATGTGGCCGAAAACAGGAAGGTCGCGCGTGGTCGCAGACAGGACGGGAGATGCAATCCGGATGCAAGAAGAGACAGGTGACCCGAGTCCTGCCAGCAGAAATGCTACAAGACGAAGCCAGGAAGAGGAGAAATCCAGGTGAGGATGAAATCGAGAATCTCTGAGATCTGGCGGCTCTGGAAGATGTCTCGGGCGCCGCAGCTTTTTCAGAGCGTTCCGGAACGCTCTGAGAGCGTTCTGGAACCCTCTGGAACGGATTTGTCCTTGTCCTAGCCGCGCCCGAAAGGTAGCACTGGAAACTCATTCAGTCGAAACAGGGGGGGGGCAGGTGAGCCGGACCACGAGCAGGAGGAGTTGGCCCAGTGGCACACAGCTTCACCCGACGGCGGACCATAGGGAAGCGGGGGGACGGGCGGCCAGGGGAGCCCTGCCACCAGCGCGGCGACCGAAACGCCTCCCCCTCCCGGCCCATTCACCGCCATCGTCGTCGTCGTCGTCGCCGGTGCCGTCCTCTCATCAGACGAAGTCAAGACGAGGATGACTTCGGGTGAAGATGAAATCGAGAATCTCTGAGAACCGGCGGCTCCGAAAAATGTCACGGGCGCCGCGGCCTTCTCAGAGCGTTGCAGAACGCTGTGAGAGCGTTCCAGAACGCTCTGGAACGGGTTTATCCTCGTCATGGCCCCGTCCGTCCCGCCCCCCTCTCGTTACAAACACACTCACACCGGCAAGTTCTGGGCCATTCAGCCTCTGCAGAGGGCCCTCGCCAGCCCTCCGGGACCCTCCGAACTCAACCCGGTGAGAGAGTCTGGTCCACGGGAGGGGGCCGAGACCTCTCCCGGAGGAGGAGCAGGAGGAGGAGAAAGTTAGGAGGAGGAGGAACAGCAGGAGGGAGAGAGGAGGGTTAGACCAGTGTGCGACATGAGGAATAGGAGGAGGAGGAGGAGGAGGAGGAGGAGGAGGAGGAGGAGGAGGAGGAGGAGGAGGAGGATGGGTCCACGCCGTGAACGAAATCGGCCCCCAGACATCCAGCGACGAGGTGTGTTGGACAGCCCGCGGGCCCCAGCAGTCTCGACCCCTTCCCTGGGGCCAGCTTCCGGAGAGGCCGAGTCCAGAGGGAGTAAATCCCTCCTCCTTTTTCCTCTTCTCCTCCTCCCCCCCCCTCCTCCTCCTCCTCTCCTCCTCCTCCTCCTCCTCCTCTCCTCCTCCTCCTCCTCTCCTCCTCCTCCTCCTCCTCCTCCTCCTCCTCCTCCTCCTCCTCCTCCTCCTCCTCCTCCTCCTCCTCCTCCTCCTCCTCCTCCTCCTCCTCCTCCTCCTCCTCCTCCTCCTCCTCCTCCTCCCCTCCTCCTCCTCCTCTCCTCCTCCTCCTCCTTCCTCCTCTCCTCCTCCCTCCCTCCTCCTCCTCCTCCTCCTCCTCCTCCTCCTCCTCCTCCTTCCTCCTCCTCCTCCTCCTCCTCCTCCTCCTCCTCCTCCTCCTCCTCCTCCTCCTCCTCCTCCTCCTCCTCTCCTCCTCCTCCTCCTCCTCCTCCTCCTCCTCCTCCTCCTCCTCCTCCTCCTCCTCCTCCTCCTCCTCCTCCTCATCCTCCTCCTCCCCCCCCCCCCCCCCTCCTCCTCCTCCTCTCCTCCTCTCTCCTCCTCCTCCTCCTCCTCCTCCTCCTCCTCCTCCGCCTCCTCCTCCTCCTCCTCCTCTCCTCCTCCTCCTCCTCCTCCTCCTCCTCTCCTCCTCCTCCTCCCTCCCTCCCTCCTCCTCCTCCTCCTCCTCCTCCTCCTTCCTCCTCCTCTCCTCCTCCTCCTCCTCCTCCTCCTCCTCCTCCTCCTCCTCTCCTCCTCCTCCTCCTCCTCCTCCTCCTCCTCCTCCTCCTCTCCTCCTCCTCCTCCTCCTCCTCCTCCTCCTCCTCCTCCTCTCCTCTCCTCCTCCTCCTCCTCCTCCTCCTCCCCCTCCTCCTCCCCCCCGTCGTCGCGTGCCCAATGCCGCCAGCGGTCGCACGCTCGCGCGCCCGCAGCTCATACGGAGACCCAGCACTCCGCATGGACTTGCTCCGTACAGGCGTACCCCCCGCTGATAATTCATCATGCTGGATGGGGCCCGGAGGCGGCCCCAAGGGGCCGAGATTTAGGAAAAGAACGCTGGAACTAGGTCGGGCATGTTCCCCTACAGGCGGATTTGGAGCGAAAATCCAACATTGTCAAAACGTACCCCAAAATGGCCACAAAATGCTCAACAACTCGTCCCCAGACTAGTTCTGGACTATCCTTGCATACTGCTCCTGTATATGGACAGGCCCGACTTAACGCTGGGGCTGGAGAACTCGACCTTGCGGACGCCTGCAGCGTCGGGGGCACGGAGCGCGCCTCTCGGCGCGCTCCGGAGAGGCCCCCTCTGGAGCAGAGCCGCTTCCAGGCCCAGGCCGCGGAGCGCGATCCTCTTCGCGCCCCTGCGCGTGACCTCGTCGAGCAGACAAGCGGCACAGAACATATAGTCCAACAAGTGCAGTAAGGATGCGCGAGAAAGGATGCAAGGGCCTTGGACGCCCACCTCGAAGCTTTTCAAGTGGGGCGCGGCCAACGACAGTGGCGAGCGATGGACCGAGGAGGCGGGGATGCAAGGGTGCCCTGGGGAAGGTTGCCCATCCTAACTATGCTGGTTGACTGTAGGCACAGTTACGTAGATTCTCGGAAGTCTACGAGTTGTCGGGCCGGCACTGGACACCTCCTTCCCCGCAACATCTGTAACAGTTGATCTGTCGACCCCCATCCAAGGCTTCGTGTGGTTTTCGAGTGGACCAAAAAATTAGGGGCACAACCATGGGATATACGATGGGGGGTGCGTCCGACTAGTTCCCTTCGGGTGCATCACAAGGCTTCCCTCCTTTGCTGAGCGGCTTCATTTTTCGTCGAAATCACCGGGTCGGGGAGACAAATCGCCTGCGACTCTGGGCTATGGGCGGCGCCTCTACTCCCTACTCCCTCACCCAGCGCCTTCCCCGGTGCACTGCGCTCTCGAGGAGGGGGAGGAGGAGGAGGAAGGAGGAGGAGGAGGAGCAGAAGGAGGAAGAGGAGGTGGGAGAAGGTCCAGCGCCGGTACAAACGAATCCGCGCGGAGCTCCGAAGGTTGAAACTAGCCACCTGCATCGCTCCCCCTTCGGGCGAGGACGACGTCATGATGCGATTCGGGCCTCGCTTGAAGGGGGGGCGATACACGGGGGAGAAGAAAGCTGATCTTTTCGGGACCCACAGGCCCCCCATTGGACCCTAAAGGGCTCCTCTAGGGGCCCAACAGAGCTCCTTTTCTGCAGCCCTTGCTGCCCCCCGATCTACGATTGGCGCAGGAGACGTTCCACGAGATCTGACGTCTCCAGCCTCTGTCTGCACTCATCTCTGGAGTCTGCACGGAACGTCAGCAAAGCATGGGAAGCCTGAACTGTGTCATTATCATGACATCTGGCTCCTGAGACTCCCTTCCCTCCTCGTTCGCGCTCCTTGCTCATCGCTCCTGCTCGCTCTGCAGGAAGCTTTTGGGAGAGGCAGAGACTATGCACGGACGACTCCTTCTCAAACATTATTGTCACAGTCCTGCCATTGATCAACCAACTTGACTGTGCGATGGCCTCCTGGCTTGAGCTCTGGCGAAACCCTCGCTCTACCCCATGGGGTCTCAACCCCACCAGCCCTTTAGGGCGTAGGCGGTTAAGGGCGTTTCCTCTTCCACCCCTTGTTCTCCTTTCGGGGATTGGTGTATCATTACTCACTTGTCTCCTCTCCCACCCGACATGCGACAAACCTGGGCCAAAGCCAACGACCTCCTCCATCCAACTCCTTGGAACAAGCCGTGCAAACACAGCTGGGTTCTTCGCGGGTGACCCACGGTCACTTTGCATTTTTTGTTGACAGGGGCTGCGGGAACATGTGGCCTGCTGTGTGCAGTCTGTGTGTAATGCCAGCACCCCCAACCATCCATAGCACACGCAAGCTACTACCTAAGTGCACTTTGTCACAAAAAGCTGGATCATGCGCAGGCGCCCCGCGATCACTTTGCGTTGGTATTTGCCTGGGGCGGCGGTGGGGTGGGGTGGGGGGGGGCAACATATTGCCCGCTCTGTGCAGGACCACCGTCCCTTTCAACCCAACAATAGAAAGTGCACCCTGCCAGGAACGACGGGGAGGAGAGACCATATTATCTTCTGGGAGCAAACCCACCATCTTTCAGAAAAAAAACTAGCAAGGTGACTGCGGGCGCACACCCACCCGCACCCACACGTCACGTCTCACTGGCTTGTGTCAGGGATTGGGGGGGTCGACAGATTACCCAGTGCGGCGCACCTCGCGGCTTGCGTCTGCACTGGCTCCCGATGACACTCTGGTACGACTTCTGGGTTGGGAGGGCGGGTGGGAGTGATTGAGACAGCTTGCGACGCTCCCGCTGGGCACTTCGTCCCCACCCCCTCACTTCCTCATGCTGAATCGGGACGGGGAGCGGCGAGCGGTCAGAGGGCAGAAGATAACCAAATATGGCGCCGTCGGGCCCTAGATAGCCCGAGATGGCCTCCAAGATGGCTCAAGATAGCGCGAGGTCGCTGAAGAGGGCGTCTGGCAGTCTGTAAACTCCCACGACCGCCCCAAGACGGGCCCAAACGACTTTGGAGCTTTCCCCCAGGAGGCCACCAAGAGGCCAAACTCCGCACACCATCTGAAGACAATCAGGCGGTTGCCTTCTGATGTGTTCGCTTCTGGTGGCTCCAAGATGGCCCACCCAAGAAGACTCCCATAGGGCCCCAAGGTTACCCAAGAGCGTTTCAAGAGCTCAGAAAAAGGGCGCCAAGAGGCGATTCCTGCGATTCCAAAGCGGAGGGCCCCAAGAGGACTTTAGGCGGCCCCATGAGGCCCCCAAGACGCCCCAAGATGCCCGAAGAGTCCCCGAGATGCCCCTACGACGCCCAAAGAGGCCACCAAGAGACCCCCAAGAGACATCCCAAGATACTCCGAGACGCATCCACGAGGTCTCTAATTCCAGGCTCCCCGCGGTATCCACATGATGCCACGCTCCCCCGATCAGGACAGCCCCCCCTAGGCGTCGTTCCTGGATGGGCTGGTGGGACTTCGCGAAGAGCCAAAAAGTTCCCAGAGGCGTTGGGAACCGGGCCCGCTCTGCGGCTAGGCGGGCTCGACCCCCAGTATACTCGGCAGCCGAGTGGGCTCGTGCGCCGGACTGGCTCAAAGTGCACCCCCCCCTTCTGATGAGGAGCAGGAAGGAACTGCATAAACATCAGCGTTCGAACATTCGCGCAGAGCGCAGATTTTGCGGGTCGGCGCTGGACACCCCTTCCATGGCAAGGGAGACGCCAGAGGCGACGCCACAGCGCGTCCAGCGCGGACCCGAGAACTCCGCGCGGCCCTCCCTCGGTTTACCCGATGTGACTTGTTGCTATTGAAAGCCGAACAACACAAACGTAACCCGTAGATGTTTGATGTTGGATGCCCTGCTGGGGGCTCTGCGCCGCGAACAATCTGAGACGACCAAAGAATAACTCAAACGTTGATGTTGTGGCCGTGCGAAAACAAACACGAAGCTAACAACCGAACTTGGTCACGCGATCTCGAAGCGCGGGGGCCCGCGCCCAAAGAAAGGGCGGCGCAAAACGCAAAACGCAACCGCAGCCGCGCGCCTGGAACTGCGGGGGGCGGGGGGGGGGAGGGCCTCTCATGGAATGTGGGCTTCGAGCGAACGCCCCAATAACATCGTCCGCGACGGGGCCCGCCGCGCAGCGTCAGGACGCGACGGGCCCGCGCGCGTGAACCGAACAATCGGAACGGCCCGCGCAGCGCGGAAGGAAAAACCAATCGTGTCTGGGGGGCCTTTTGGGGGCCTCTGGGTCGGGTGCCTCTTGGAAGCCGCGGGGGCCCTCCGCGGAGCACCCAGGGGGTCATCGGGGGGCCGTTGGGGCCATCGCGGCGGGAAAGATTTGAAATGTCAATTCGTATTTCAGTTGGGCCGTTCTTAGGGCCGCCCTTGGGCCGCGTGAGGCCCCCCCCCTGGACAAGTTGTCGGGCGGCGCGCTGCAATGGCGCACTGGGTATGATAGCATAGTGAGAGGTGCCGTGGCAACTAGGAAAATGCGATGACAAAATGAGCGGCAAGAAGCGCGGCAAGACGCAACCCAATGACGCGCGCGCCAGGTAGAACCGTCATGAGAGCGCGGTGGGGGCCGCGGCGCTGCACGGCTAAGCATGTGAAAACACGATTAAGCGGGCGCGCCAGGGGGGCTACGTATATTACGCGATAGCGATACAGGGCGACATATATTAGAGTAGGATAGGAGACGATGCAACCTAGCGCCCCGACTCGCCTTCCACATCGTCAACTGCCCCCGTGTTGGGGCAGCTGGTGATATGGAGGAAGAGTTGAGGTTGGGTTGGCCCCTTGTGGTTTCTCCTGCCCCCCCTCCCCCTCCTGCCCTTACCAGGGGCGGCCACATCATAACTGTAGATAAAGTATGCCCCCTCTGTCCTGCCTCTGGCCCCTGGGTTGCCTTTTTTCGCGCTGCCCCACCCTCACGCTCCCAACTGGCTCCCTGCAACACGCATCGCTGGCAGCCCTCCCCCGTCGGGCAGGGCCTTTCTCGCGCCACTGCAGCATGCCCTCCACCGTGGCCTGGCTGGCGAGCTCAGAGGATGCTGTGATTTGCTGCACGGTTGCGCGCTGGCTTTTTCACGCTGCGCGGATCGTCCTTGAGCGGTCGCGGCCATGGCATGGCGCAGATCGCCCGACATCGTCCGAGTCCGCACCTCTGGCGGCGTTCAACCCTGAGCATGCCCTCCACCGTACCCGAAGCCAGCATGAAGATACACATTCGGAAGTCCGCGCGGATTTTTCGTTGGTCCGCTGGGAACCCCTGCCCAGCGCGCGGAGCGCGCCAGCAGAGGCGCCGCCGGGGGGGGGGGGGGCCAGCACAGACCGAAGACATGTTTTGCCAAACTTCAAGGGGCCCAGGGACACACAAATAAATAGACACACGTCCCAGGATTTTCTTTCGGCGTGTGTGAGGGGCTTCTTCGTTCGAGTCGTCAACTTCATCATGCGTTTGTCGTCATATCTGGCGTCCCCTTTCCCTGCGCCCCACCGTTCCCTGGGCCCGTCGCCGCTCCTCCCCCCTCTTCCCTGGGCTCTTCTCCTCAAGTGCGCCAGCCCTGAGGTGAAGCGCGCCAGTTTGAGTTGAAGGGAAGCCCCTTCCCTTCGATGCCTCCCCCGCCCGGAGGGGGTCCCGGGGGGGTCACGGGTGGGTCCCCGGGGGGGGGGTCCCGGGGGGGACCCGACCCAGATACGATTCTCCCCTGGGCGGCTCCCGGGCTCCAAAAATACCCCAGGACGGGCCAACAGGGCCCCAAGAGGCTCCCAAGACGGTCCAAAAAAGCGCGCCGAATCGCCTTGACGGCCTCCAGACGGTCCAAAAGGCCTGCAAGACGCCCCAAGAGGCCTCCAGGAGCACTCAGGGGAGTGTCAGAATGCCACGTCCCGCCTGGTGGGCCAGCCCCCTCTGACTCCTTCTCCACCTGCCCGCTCATTCCCCCCAGGTGCTCAACCTTCCCTCCTCAACCTCTGCATCCACCTCACCATGCTCTTCCTCCTCCTCCTCCTCCTTCTCCTCCTCCTCCTCCTCCTCCTCCTCTTTCTTCACCTCCTCCGCATGCGCTGCATCCTCCTCCGCCTCCTGTTCATGCGGCTCCTCCTCCCCCTCCTCCTCCTCCTCCTTGCACCTCGTCATTAACTTCATTTGGCAATGATGCTATGCGACGCAAATATTCCTTCTACCGCGTCGTGGTCAGCGTCGTCGTCTTCAGGGTCGGCGGTATCGGCCGCAAGGCCTTCTCAATACATAGACACACAAATCCCAGGATGTTCTTTCTATTTCTATATGTTTCTGGAATGTCGCCTCCCCCTCCACTTCCCATACTTCCCCATACGTCCCTGGGAACCGACGACTGCTTGTCTGTGGGTGATACTCCCTCCTGGATCTCACATCCTTCGAGGGAGGAGGCCGTGTCTTCTGAGCCCTCGACTCGCGTAGTGGGCGAAGCTCGGCCCCCCGCGCTGGCCCCTCCCCGCTTCCAGAAGGAAGCCGTCGAGGGGAGGCCCTGGCCGCACAAGGGGGTGGGGTTCAGCCAAAGAGGGGCTGTGCGGTATATTGTTTTGCAAATGTATTGCGGCAGGGAATCGTATTGCATCGCGTTGCAACTAATGTGTTGCACGCAAGCATGCAGCAATAGATTTGCGCCCGGGAATCTACCGAACGCCCAAGTCTACTGTACCCCCGCAAATCTATTGCACCACTCCTCCTCACCGTCGTCCTCCGCCCGAAGGGGCCTGAAAAGCGCACAGAAGCACAAATGTCGGACGTCCGGGGACGATCTCTCCGCTGGCGCCCGACCCATTAAGGTACTCTAGATTTCGCATTAGCAAGGGGGTCAAAAACTTCCCAGACGAGCAGTTTTTGACCCCCCCAGACCAGCTACGAAAGGGCGGCCTTTTGCGCAAACCCTCCGGGAACCCTCCACGTCAGCTCCAATCAGACCCCCCCGAATCACCCCCCCCTCTCTTAATACACAATTCGGAGTACCGATGCCGCTACTCCCCAGACCTCCCCCAGGGTGCTTCTGACCAGACTTTCGAGGCGAACTTAGTGGCGACGAGGGCCTCCGGGAATGGTAAAGGAATAAGTCCAGTCGGACGTGGGACAGACACAAAAACATGATTTAAAACATGAGACCCTCCGCCGGCCCAAACACGCAGAACAGCCAAGGGCACCCTCTCCAGTATGCACAAGAGGATCCAACAAACACGAATAACTTTAAGGTGCCCCACGAATCGCCCTCGATAGTGTACCCTGGTCCGACAGAACTGCTTCTCCGCTGAACTCAATTCCCCACATGCACCCGGCCAGGCACAGGAATCTGGCACGAACGTGCTCCCCAGTTCGCGAGGCCGCCCTCCAGGAGCGAACGCTCGCGATAAACGGGATCCCTCGGAGCACGCGCGCGTTCGCGTGCAGCTGCGCTTTTCGCCTCGCACCAGACCTGGGGAGCGACGCTCAAATCGGGCGCATGCTAACATGGACTCGTGATCCGTGGGTCATGGATCGGGGAAGGTCTACCCCGACATTTGAGGCAAGTGCCGCCTCATTTGGTGACAATGCGCGGCGCCGATGTTGTATGGAAACGGACCCATCGCTACGGCCAGACCTAGGACAGAAGCCATCCTTCGAGACCCTCCGCCTGCCAAACCACGCAGAACATCCAAGGGTATCCGCCCCATGATGCACAAGAGCATCCAACAGTCACGAAGAATATCACCCCGGATGTCATAATAATCGCACACCCTTCGGTTTCAAGAGCGGGGGGAGGATGGGAGCGTGCCGTCGAGGGGGTGTTGGGGCGGATGGCAGTCTTGAAGCTCAGGTTCCTGGGCCAGGGGGGGGGCGGGGAGAATTTTGGACGCGCGTGGAAGGGCGGTGAGCGGTGGGGGCGGGAAGGGAGATGGGGAGGCTCTGCCGGAAGGACATCGCCCCCCCGATTATGATGCCATCCGGAGTAGGGTACCCTCCCCGACCCGACCTCGATCTTATGCCTCGGTCCGACCGCAATACACTCGGCTGCACGCAAGAGTGACCCCAGGCAAGAGTGACCTTTAGTGCGCAGACTAAGGGGGCAGAATATGGCAATCCAGGCGCGCAACCAGCCGCTACCACATCGCACTCAACGACCGGGGGGACCCCGGTGAGCCCGCACCAAAAGGCTCTCCAGGGAAGGGCCACCCGTGCAGCCGACCCACGCGCCTCCATCCATGCCAGCGTGCCCCCGAGCAAGGCGCAAGGATCCGGAGCGGCCGCCCGCGGACGTCCAGGGGGCCTGCTCGCGTGTGCGCCCCACGGGGTCTCCCGGGGCGCCCTCTCTCCGGGGAGCACGGGAAGCCCAGGCCTCCGACGCCGCGGCCCCTTCCAGTCCGCAGGCCCCAGAGCTCCCCCAAAGACATGCCCGCGTCGTGAAAATACCGGAGCGGAAGGCTTTCATTGTTTTGGGCCTCCAAATTAGGGAACAGTTCGGTTGAGGACAAATCGGAGAATCCCTCCGAGGAACACGAGAAGCCCAGGCCTCCGACAATGGAGGCATCCCAGATGGGGTCGGAGTGGGCGGGGTCGGTGGGTCGCGCCGCATCGGCGATGCATCGGCGATGCATCGCCGATGCACCACCGACGTCGGCGATGCATCGGCGACGTCGGCGTGGATGAAATTTGACACCACATCGAGCCGCATCGCCGATGCATCGACGATCTGGAGCGATCATCCAACCCCATCTACTCGGACCCCATCTGGGAGGTCTAGAGATCCGCCGGCCCCCTTGTGGGACCACCAGGCTGCGAGGCGCGTGATTCGCAGTTTCCTGTACCAGTTGTAGTTTGTAGTTTCCAGTGTTACAGTTCTGTTTCTTGCTGGTTACTGTAACTAGTTGACTTCTTGCTGGTTACTGTAACTAGTTGATTGACCGCGCGAGGGGGGGGGAGGCCCAAACAGGATTTTTAGCGTCTCCTGGGCGCGTTGTCTGAATTGCTGGGGGGGCTCGAAATCGACACCCCTCACGCAGATCCGCGGGGTCAGGGTCCAAAAACACATGGGATTTGCCACATTTCTGAAATTCGGTGCCACCCCTCACGCAGATCCGCGGGGTCAGGGTCCAAAAACACAGGGATTTGCCACATTTCTGAAATTCGGTGCCACCCCTCACGCAGATCCGCGGGGTCAGGGTCCAAAAACACAGGGGATTTGCCACATTTCTGAAATTCGGTGCCACCCCTCACGCAGATCCGCGGGGTCAGGGTCCAAAAACACAGGGATTTGCCACATTTCTGAAATTCGGTGCCACCCCTCACGCAGATCCGCGGGGTCAGGGTCCAAAAACACAGGGATTTGCCACATTTCTGAAATTCGGTGCCACCCCTCACGCACATCCATCGCAAGGCGTGGTAACCCAAACTGCGAGTACTCCCAAAAGGTGTGGTAACCAAGCTCGTAAACCATACACGTCTTACCAATCGCCCTGTGTGGTAACCCCTCTTGTGATCAGTTGGTTTTGCCGATTGCGAATCGGCCTCGCATGAAGTTCCGATACTGCTGCACGACAGCGCCAAAGCCTCATGACTTAGCTCTTCCATGGCCCATTCTCCGAGAGAGGGGGCCGGCGGCAGGGGGCGAAGCCCTTACGGATAAGACCGAGCCAGGACGAGGATAAAATTAGGCGAGGATAAATCGCGAGTCTCTGAACTCCAGCACGTTCTGAAAAATAGCATTTACACGAACCGCACGTTCGAAATGGCAGACGGGCAGGGGTGCTCTGGAGTTCGTTCAATCGGCGCAGGCATCGCGCAAGGGTGCCCACTCAGCCCCTACTTGTTTATCATGTTGACCGTTCTCATGACGGACGTCGAAGCTGACGTGGCGACCTTGCTCGGCCCGACGCCACTTGACGGCGTTTGCTTCGATGTCACCTTCGCAGACGACACGGCGATAGTACCGATGATATCCCGAGAGCACAGTGCTTCTTGAATTGCCTCCTGTTAAGAGCTCGCGAGTACGGTCTCGAACCAAACTGGTCGAAGACTTTGCATCTGCAAGTTAGACATGACACTGGCATCCTGACAGCAGGGGGGGTGCCAGAGAAACCAGTCGAAACCGCAGTGTATCTGGGTGGATTGGTGTGCGCTGATGGAGGCACTGGCACAGCCGTTGCAAGACGGATTGGAGAAGCAAGGTCAGCCTTCCAGACATTGAAACTCGTGTGGCGGCACGCGAACATCTCACGGACACGCAAGATCACACTGTTCCGCGCTCTTATCGTCAGCAAGTTAACTTACGGCATCGAGACGCTCTGCCTGAGGAAGGCCGAACTGGACAAGCTCGACGCGTTTAATGCTCAATGCATCCAGAAAATATTGGGCATTCCACACTCGATGATCTCACGGGTGACGAACGGAGAAGTACGGCGACGAGCGCGCGAGCTACAACTGAGCCACTCCATGTTGTTCCGGCAGCTTCTTTTGTTTGGCAGAATCGCGGCGATGCCAGAGTCGCACCTCCGCCGTGCAGCCTTTAAAACTTACACAGTCGAGCCAGCCGACTTGCGTGGTCCGAGGGGAAGAGGCCGGCCTCGATTGAACTGGGGCTCGGTGGTCAGAGCGCAAGCGCTCTCGTCGATCAGGGGCATCCTCCGTCCTCCTCCCCCTCGTGCCCCGTCGTCCCTTCCCGCCCCTCCCCTCCCTGCTAGCGATGTTTCTTTCGCCAGAGAATTTTTAACCACGCTACTGGAGGTCACTGGCCTGGCGGGCCTGGCGCCACGCTATCATATAATGTATCAAGGCCAAGGCTCTGATATACCCTGAAGGAAAGGAGTTGGTCCATCCCCCCCCCCCACCTCCTCCTCCTCCTCCTCCTCCTCGTCCTCCTCCGCCTCCTTCTCCTCGTCCGTAGCCATTTTGGCTCAAGGCCGAGGCCTCTGGGGGCCGAGGTCGCGCAGCACTGCCTCCCAGGTCAGGCCCTGGGAGATAGGGCTCGAGCTGGCCCCCCACTGCCGCCCGGCCACCCCCTTACTTCTTCCTTTCCGCCCGGCCGCATCGTCTCCGGTGCTGTGCGCTTCACGGGTACGGCTTCTGACCTGAACGAGGGGCCCATTCACGCTCGCTTCTTCGTTCCCGACGACTTGCTCGGTGAGGAGCTGGGCACTCGTCTCTCGCGTTTCTGTTCAGCTTTTGGTGTGAGGCAGGTGGATTTCGTGATCTGCCATGGAGCCCCCGCCCGGCAACTGGAGCGAGGTGGTGAGCCCGTTCGACGTGGTGGACCAGGAGACATATCATCTTCTGAGGCGCCCTTTGCCGGTGACTCCGGCTCCCGTTGCTATGAAGATGGAGGCGGATGGGCAGCTGGTAAAACGCCTGCGGAGGTGGGACCGCCAGCGGGAGGCTGCTGGAGCTCCGGCGGCCGGCAAGCATCTCTTGCCGGCGCCGCTTCCGGCACCGGCGGCCTCGGCTACGTCCAACCCGAAGCAGGCGACGGCTCTATTCTCGGCCCCGATGAGGAAGGAGAAGTTCGAAGGTGCCTGCGCGGGGCCCCCGGCATCGCCAGCAGTTCCGGAGGCGAGCAGTGTGCTTCTTCCGGAGCCTCCGGCCGCTCCGAGGGCTCCTACGAAGGTGATAGTGATCCCGGCTCCGCCTGCGCCTCCTTCGGCGGAAGGATCCCGGCGCCCCCGGAAACGCAAGCACAAGAAGAAGGCGGGGAAGGACGCCCGTTCGGAGGAGGCCAAGCTGGGCTTGCAGGAGTGGCCTCAGCCGCCGCCTCCGCCGGCCCGTATCGTGCGCACCCCGCCCAGGAAGAGGTAAAGGCTCGGCGAAAGAGACACAGGAAGAAGAAAGGCAACCCAACTTTGGCTGAGCCTCTCAGTGAGGCTCGCCTTTCGGCTGAGCCTCTTAGTGAGGCTCGCCTTTCGGCTGAGACTCTTCGTGAGGCTCGCTTGCACTTTTCGTGTTCGGCTGAGCCCGTGTCCGGGGCTCGCCCAGATGAATGCTCTGATGTGGTTGGTTTGGAGCCGCTTCCTTCGGTTGAGGCGCTCCCCGATCAGGCGGTAGCACATTCGTCTTCGGGTGAGGCGGAGGGCTCGGCAGGGGCACTGCAGCATTTTTCACGACCCGACGTTGCGACGGGATCTTTACAATTGGGCGCGAAGACGCCTGAGGGTTCGAGTTTTGATGTGGGCGCAAGGGCGCCCTCCATCTCGGACTGTGCTTTGCTCCGCCGTTTTTCTGATGGCGTCGAGGTGATAGAAGTTCTGCGCGCAAAGCCGTGGCTGGTGGAACCTGTTTTGAGTGCGGCGTCTCGGTTGGTCCTGGCGGAGGTTTCCACCCTCATGCCAGTAGTATCAGCCTTGCAGGCGCCCAGTTCTAGCCGGTAGTCTCAGTCATGCAGCTGTTCACTTAGTAGCTCCTGCACCCAATTTTCTTGCTACCATGTTTTAACCCGCCTCGGAGTTTGGCATGGCATCGCACACAGTGAAAAAAATCCGCCTCCTTCTCCTCCTCCTCCTCCTCCTCCTCCTCCTCCTCCTCCTCCTTCTCTCCCCCCTCCCAGCATAAGCCATGGAAGTCAGTTTCTTCCACCAGCCAAACGCTGGGCCATCAAATTGTGAACTGCCCTTGCCTTGTGCCATGGCTGACACACGCCTCCGGCCAGCGGCACTGCTTCAGCCGATGTGTCGTGCAGACACGGCGTTATTGATTGATCTGAACTCCAGCGGCTCTGGAGGATGCCTCGGGCGCCACGGCCTTCTCAGAGGGTTTCGGAACGCTCTGAGAGCGTTCCGGAACGCTCTGGAACGGCCGTATCCTCGTTCTACCCCCGTCCGATCCTTCCAGTCCGAAAGCCCCAGAGCCTGGCCCCTTCTTGAAGGGCAACCGTATCGCCGCGGCTCGTTTTTGTGATGGCCCGGGGGGGCCCGAGGGACGCCGCTGGGGGCAGCAGCTTGCAGCTTGAGCGAAGCGCGAGGCAGTGAGATCAGCACGACGGTCAGAGGTCTGGGCCACTTGGACCTCTGGAGGCTTTCTGGGGAGGCCCAGGAACTTCAAGCAGCCTTGGCTCTCGATCCCGCTCCTCGATCCCCCCTCGGAGAGGCCGCCGAAAGGTCCACATCCCACAGCTGGTGGCCAGGGCGGCATCGACCGCGCCCGACGAGGCTCCTGCAGAGGAGGGGGGTCAGCGTGTGCGATGATGCGGAGAAGATATACTCTCTCTTCCGTGCCTCTTCCGTCCTCCTCCTCCTCCTCCTCCTCCTCCTCACCCTCATCCTCGCTCTCCCACCACAGTCCTCCGTCCCCGTCCTCCATGTTCTCCATTTCCTCCTCGTCCTCCATCTCATCGTCCATCTCCTCTTCCTCTTCCTCCTCCTCCTCCTCGTTATACATCCCTCCTTGACCTTGTCCTCCCCCATCTCCTCCTCCTTCTCCTCCTCCTCCTCCTCCTCCTCCTCTTCATCCTCTTCCTCCTATCTCCTACGTGCATCTCCTGTCATCCATCCTTCGACTCCTCCATGTGCTCCATCTCCTCCGTCTCCTCCTCCTCCTCCTCCCCCTCCCTCCTCCCCCTCCTCCTCCTCCTCCTCCTCCTCCTCCTCCTCCTCGGTCGCCTTCCTCCAACGGGCCCCCTTCGACTTCCCCCCGAAGAGAACCAGGATTAGCGGGAGAATGATCATAAAGACAATGAGTACGTGCAATACAAATACTAGAGATAAACATGATGACGAGGAGAGGACGGAAGATCACATCATGTGGAGGCGTGTTGAAGCTTTGAAGCGGAGAAGAGAGACGAGTAGGAGTACAAGGATAAGAAATCATTATCTGACATGGGTGCATCGCTGCATCCATGGAGGTAGTGGCATCGATCGGAGGATGCAAAGGCGGGCTGTCTCCATGGAGAGGGAGCTGTTTCGTTTCTCTCTGGAGAAGACGCGAGACGGAAACAGCGCAACCGCCAAACAGTCCATCCGCTGGTCAGTGTGAGCACCTCGTGACTTGAACGCGGGCGTGTAATTAAGTACCACGTGCGCTCCACGAATCTGCCGAATTCAGCATGGAGGAAACGGGTCCTGGACGAAACGAGGTCATGACCTCTTTGCGCCGTTTTCGCTGCCCCTGGGCCCTTCACGGGGCCCAAGACCATTAAGAGACGATTCCGGATGAAGAGCTTGTCCTGGGGAATGTCCGAGGGTCTAGGATTAGGTCGGGCCTGTGCCCCTACAGGGGGATTTGGGGCGAAAAAATAGAAAATGCTCAAAACATATCCCCCAAAACATAACAAATAATCAAAGCATCGTCCCCTAACTATGTTTTAACCATTTTTGAATGTCCCTCCTGTAGAAGGACAAGCCCGACTTAAGTCTAGGACCCGTTTCCCCCAGGACCCCGTACCTTCGTTTGGAATATTCCTATCTCTGTGGGGACGGCACGGCCACCGGTCCAGGCGAGGAGAGTTCTTTCCGCCGCCGGCGTACCGTCCATGCGGACACTTCGGACGCTCGCCTACTGGGACCGTATGGAAGAGGAGGGAAGAAGACGAAGAAAGAAACTGGGATGGAGGGCTTCGAACCGCCCCATGTGATGGAACATCGAATCAAAGATGTAAAACAATGCTTGCCTGCGTGGGCACCAATAATGAGTTATTGTTGGATGCAGGTGTCAACTTAGAATGCAAGTTCGCTGTGTCGCGTGCGCGACGATAAAATCCCTGGGTCGCGGTTGCCGCCACTGCCCCCCTCCCGTGCATTTCGCGCCTCCCTCCTTCCCTTATTCTTTCCTTTTTCCTTCCCGCCTGGGGGTGCGAGATTCCGGCAGGTTCGTGTCGTGTCGACCCCGGCGTTGGCTCATGACACCGCGGGGATCGTTCAACCTGAACGATCGGCCGTTTCCGAAGCGTCAAATCGTTCAACATCGACCGATTCTGGATCGCCGACGGCGCTCAACACTGAGCGCTGGCGGCAGGGCCGCCGCTGGTCGACACGACGCGGACCTACCGTAACTGCGACGCGCGACCCTCCCGCGGTCTGGGGTCAGGGGGTCAGGGGCCGCTCGCCCGCAGGCTCGTGGAGGCCCTGAGAGTGGAAGCCGCCAGAGGGTCCGAGGCGGTGCTGCCGGAGGCGGACCCGTTGGCGTCGTGCACTCTCGATGTCGAGCAGAATTTGCCATGACAATCTACCTGGCAATCGGTGGAATGGGCGCGAGATCCCACCAGCCCTTTAGGGCGTGAGTGGTTTAGAGCGCTACCTCTTCCAACCCGCTTCGTCCCCTTCGGGGATAGGGTGTGCCCCTTAATTACCCCCTCACCCTGGGTTTCGAAGGTGCGCTCCGCGAGCAGTCAGGGCCTCCAAAATGGACTCCGCGAGAACGCCGACATCACTGACATCACGAAGGTTTTGGCCACAAGTTGGCCTCCTGGGAGGGAGTGTAATTGAGTGCGGCCCGTCCTTTGATCGATCTCCGCCAAGATGGCAGAAAGATGGGGTACCCCAAGGCGGCCCCAATAGGCGCCCAGGAAGGCCCAAGAGGCCCCCGAGGCGCCCCCAAAAGACCCCCAAGAGGCTCCCCCAAAAGCACTCAGAGGCTCAAAGAGGCCCCCAAGAGGCCCCCAAGACGTCCCAAAGGCCAGAATCATTGACTTGTCCAGAAAGTTTTGGCCACAGTTCAACCTGCTGGGGGGGGGGGGCGAATTAAGGAGCCCCCCTCCTTTGACCGATCTTCTCAAAGATGGTCCCAAGATGGCCCCCGACGCTCCCAAGGGTGCCTGACGACGGCCCCAAAGAGGTGCCGAGGAGGCCCCCGCGAGGCCCCCAAGTGCCCCTAAGAGGCTCCCAAGGGACCACGCCAGAAGCACCGAAGACGCCACAAGAAACACCGCCGAGGAGGCTCAAATCATTGACTGACTCCCACGGGCATCGTGAGGCCTCTGGCCGCTCTGCTCGCCCTCCTCCTCCTCCTCCTCCTCATCATCATCATCATCACCACCATCAGCATCATCATCATCCTCATCATCATCATCATCAGCATCACCATCATAATCATCATCGTCAGCCTACTCCTCAGCCTCCCTCCTCCCTCCTCCCCCTCTCCCTACTCGTCCTTCTGCTCCTCCGGATCATCATCCATCCTCCCTCCCTTGGGGCACAACGCCTTACCAAGCCTTTTCCAATCCACTGCGTGCTCCTCCACATACCTGGTCAGGGCAACGCGTCGCGGCATCGTGTCTGGATGGGGTGGTGAGGTTTCTCTCTGGCACGCGGGCGCGCGAAGCGGGTCGAACGCCGCGCCAGCCGGGGCAGTCCGTGCCACCAGCTAGAGGAAAAACAAAAAGGAAAGCAACGCCACGCACAGAGCGGGACGGAGATCAGCGCGACCAGCACATAGCGGGACGGAGACCAGCGCGACCAACATGGCGCGGACGGCATCACGAAGCAGCACCGGGAACACGTCCATGTAGGTGTTGGTAGGGATACTTTTTGGTACGCGGGCGCGGGAAACGGGTCGAACGCCGGGCGAACAGGGGCGGGATATGCCACCGGCTGCGGAAAACAAGGCGACGAGCGAAGCCAGGTGCGGGGCGGGATCCAGGCGGCCAAAATGGCGCGAGAGCGACGCAAACCAGCACCAGGAACACGAGGCACGGGCCGAGCGGGATGCCGAAGCAAGTGAATGCCTGTGCCCCTCCAAGTCCCTCTCCCGGGCCGACGATGGCAGCGCTGGACGCCGGGGAACGGGCTGGGAACATGCTGGCCGATTGCGCGGGCTCGTTCCTCAGGGCTAGGAGGTCAAACTCCGCAGTTGGGTCCGTCCTCCTTCTCCTATGAGCCGCCTTCCCCAGGACCCAACTCGGTTTTCTTCTTGGCCGCTCCCCCGTTCGCGTCCGCTCCATACTAAAACCGAACCCCTGCGGCAGCCGGGGAACCTCTGCGCCGCCCTGGGCTCGTCGAGGATCATTCGCAGTCAGTTTCTACTGTCAGTCATGCTGGCGAGGAACCATCGGTTGGGACTATCCCCATGTAAGAGCCGGTGCTTGGGGTGAAATTGAAACTGCCAGGCAGGACCTCGTCCGCGTCGTCGCCGCGCGACCGCGCCCAAAAGGGGGGGCGGAATCGCGCCGGTGGAACGCCCGCCGGCATTCCCATGGAGACCGCAGGCGCGGGCACGAAAGCAGAATGACTGCTGGCGAGGACGAGGCCATCCACAGGCAGCCCCGCGCAGCGGCAACCCATCTGCGAGCCCATTCTAACGGCCCAGCCGCCGGGGATATCTCCCAGGGCAGCTTGCATCGCACGTTCGTGCTCAAGGTGCATAGACGCAACGTTCTCAACCACGACTTGAAAGACGACGTCAGGCCTCCTCTGCGCAGCGAGGGCCCAGGCCTGCTAGGTCGTCGCCACCGAGCAGGCTGCCTGCCATGGAGAGATGGTTGCAAGTGCTTCCTCCGAAAAGAAAAATAAGCGCCCCAGGTTCAAGTGCATCGAGATACTGTTCCCGGAGCGCGCTGGTAGTGCAACTGACCGTGCGGACCAGGCCCCGCGCGTCGTGCGCTAGAAGCACGCGTGGCGGTCCGCCGTCAATGGACAAGGCCCTGCCTGGGTTCCAATCGTCAGAGGCGCGCTGCGCGACCTGTCGGACGATGTCAACCAACCTGGAGGAGCGTAGTCAGTCGAGAGCATATCTCGCGATGCCCCATGCGTCGAAGAGCGAGACGAGGTGGGTTGGGCGCCCGTTGCCAGCGCTTTGTCCCATCGCCATCTCCACAAGTGCGGCGATGTGACTGGGCGTTCGTTGGGCCTGCACCTGTGCGTCGCTCAGTTGGCCAAGGTCGACGGTGTGTCCGGGGGGGGCTTCGGCGGATCCCGCAAGCCCGTCGCTACCTGCCCGAACGCCGCTAGATACAATGACTCATTGGCATTCGGGTTCCCGTACCGAGGCGAGCATGGTCTGGTGGTTGAGGTCAGCCGCAGCGCATGCATCGAGCATGGGACCACTCGGAGCGACGGGTGCAACGCCCGCTACGTCGTTGATATGCCGAGGCCAAGCGCGCTGGAATACGTCGCTGGGGTCTGGTGAGACGATCTGCCCCGTGCTCTCCGTCAGTCCGGCGCGTCGCGGGTTCGCCCAGAGGCAGTGGCCCCCTTGCGCCGCGCCCCGCCCTGACAATGGGATGGCGGCGTAACCTGCGCCCCCCTTCCAGCAGATGTCTGATCTACGCTATGTCTTTCCCCTGGCGCCGATGCTCTGATTGCGGCGGCGCGGCTAACTGCTCGCGCGCGCGCCGCCTTGTCTTCCCAGGGCCCCCGCGGGCGGTCCGGAGGTTCGAGGGCGTGCTCTGGCTGCTCCTGCAGTCCTGCAGGTCCCGTTAGCTCGCGGATGTGCCTTTTGATAGAAATTGTCCGCGTTCCCCCTTGCGGGCCCGCCCCTGTCTCTTGCTTCGCCCACGTAGGGCTGTTGCGGGGGCGGCGCGTAGGCAGGCGTGCCATTGTTAGCGCCCATGCGCGCTTCGACTGAATCTCCTGATTGAAGGACGCAGGCAGCGGAGATCGGGGCGTAAACGTTGGGGCGTTCGTTGACTGGGCCTTCGATGTTGGTTGCCGTCAGGCCGATGGGCACGAACATAAGTCTCCGCGCCAAGCGGTCCATCGGTTCGGCTGGGAAGCCAGGGGGGTGAATGCCGTCCTCCGCTGGCCGGTGTCGTAGCAGGAGGGAGCACGCCGCGTCTAGAGCTACAATAGCCAGTCGATTGCTCGGCCCCCCCCCCCGGTTTGCCAGCGCCCAGCAACGTGGATTCGTTCCAGGAGGCTGCAAGAAAATCAATCGCTTCGCGTTGGGGCCGGAACCCTGTGACGATCCGGTCCAAAGCGGAACTTAGCCGTGGAGCGATCGTGCCCCATGCGAGGGTCGCGCGAACGTTGACCCAGTAATCGCAACAGTCGAGTGCATCGAGCGCTTGGGGCGCGTTCGGGGCAGCTCGCGCCGTCGAGGCCCTGGCGAGCACCTGCTTCGTGGAGGAGAAGGATAGCAATCAATTTGGCGCACGTGGCGCTACGATGCGAGGGCACGCGGGAAGGTCCCCTGCCCGCCCAAGGAGGTCACCCAGGTTTCGGGACCCCTGTGCCTGGGGCTGTAAGTGCCACGCGCTGTCGTTGCTGCGCTGCGTTCGCCCCTGCGGGCCCTCTGGTTGTGGCCGCCGATTCGCGCGGCGCGCGTTGCGTGGCATCCCGGAGGGGCATGGGGGGAGGGCCTGCCTCCGCGGTGCTGTTGGGCGCGTTGGGATTGTCCGCAGCCGGGCTGGCCGCGTCGGGGCCGCCGCTAGGCGGGGCAGCTGTTGCTGACGCCGCGGCGACGGGGCTTGGGTTAAGAGGGCTGTCGTGTAAGTTACGGCTTGTCGACGCCCTGCCCTGTGCCTGAATTACGGGCGCATTTCCTGGCGGTGCGCCCTGGGGGGCGCCACGTGGGGCGCCGTGGGTGGGAGAGCGTTCGGCGCGGAGGGGTTGGGAAGCACCGCTGGCGGGGGTGGGGAAGGCGCGCGCGCGCCGGCCTGGGGACGGATGGGGCCACTCGCTCGCGCGCGAGGCCCGAGCTGGGGCACGCGCATTCTGGGTCCTCGCCCGTGGTCGGCGCGCCTCAGATCACTCGCGTGCTCTGCGGTGACCCTTGCTACCAAGTCGTTGATGGCCGAATCGGCGCCTTCCAGGGCAGCGCGCGTCGCGCGAACCAACGCGCAACCTCGTGCGCCAGGCGCGTCCTGGGAGAAGGTCGGCAGTGAACTGGGGGTCGACCTTGTCCACGGGCGCAAGCCACTGTAGCAAGCCGACCGTCGTATCTGATTTCCTTTCACGCTGTGGGTCTGCAGCAGCTGGCGCACGCGGACGCGATACAGGCGCCGCGGCTCGACTAACTGCATGGGCCACGCCGCGGTGACAATTCCCCAGTTGCATCGCTGGATCCCGCTGCCTTGCGCTGCCCGGCTTTGTTCCACCTTAATTCTTGCCTGCGCTGAGCGGGCAAAGTCGTGCACTTGTTGATCGCGCAAGCAGGCCCGATACTGGCCCGGCATTACTCGGGCCGCCCTAACCGCGTCGGCCAGGGCCTGGACTTGCTCACGGGGCGGTGGGCTGCTTCTCCTGGCGCTTGGGGGAAGGGCTTCAAGTCGGGGAAAGGCGCGCGGGCAAGCCGGACTGGTTGGGAGTCGAGGTTGGCGGCTGCCCTGGTCATCGGGGACGGCGGGATGTCAGGTCCGACGTCGCGAGGTTGGGGGGGAGGGGGGGGGCGCGGCGAATTGCCGAGATACGCGCGCAACGCCAGCGGCCAACTGTTCCTGCATCCTGGTGGTAGGGCGGGAAGCAACAGCCGGCGCCATTCTGGATTTCGCGGCGGCTGGAAAGGCCACCTTGGCCCGGGCGGGGGAAGCGATGTGCAGCGCGGCGCGTTCCCCAAGCGCATGCACCTCGATGACCCCGCCCGCGGCGACCGTGAAAACAGCGTATTCGCCCAGGCCGAGAGAGAGACTGACGCTGCGTGGCCCCAGCGAGGCATCGGCGGGCGAGGGGGCCGGGGCGGCGCCCGCCCGGTAGGCTAGCCATGGTTCTAGCGTGGGCGCTCAGCCAGGCTTCGTCGATATCTGGGGGGGCGGCGTGGGTAGGTTCTTGCAGCGAAGCGCGGCAAGGGAGGGCCAGAGTCTAATCCCCAGGCGCGCGTTGCCCTGCCCGCTTGCGCAGGAGTGCGCATGTAGGCCCGTCCCTTGCGGGGGCCCGTCAAGCCACTGGCAAGAAGGCATGTGTCGAGGCAGCGTGGAGCCAACTTGGACTCCTGAGTGTTCAGTTGACTGTGCGGCGAGGATTTGCGGGTGGACAGCAGCGCGATGCATTCGCCTTGTACTGGGGTCGGAGGCCTCGTTGAAGTGGCCCTGAGCGCTGCGCGGCGTCCGCGGCGCGTGGCGGCCAGGATCCAACGAGGGAGAAGCTGGACATATTAGGTATTCCTGCGAGCCCGCGGCGATGTCGGCGCTGCCTCCAATGGCCCCAGCCATGGTGTCAGACGCTGAGATGCACATCAGTGCCTGGGTCACCTGCTCCCCCAGCTCGGTGGCGCTGCCCTGTCGCAGGGCGCCCTTGCGCGGGCTCGGCTAAGTGCCTATAGTATAGGCTGGGCCAGCTCCCACAGCCTCAGCCGGCACCTGGAGGCCCACCTTGCGGGGCAGCTCGCTGGAGAAGCGAGTTCGACTGGATGCGACGGCATGGCCGCGCTCGTTGCCGCGCGCGCGTGGCCGGCGCGCGGGCGCCAACCGGGGCGCGCGCCCCTCTTGCCGGCCGGCAGACCGAGCCGCCCCACTACTAGCTGCAGCCACCCCCCAGCCCAAGGCGGCCCGCCATCAGCTCAAGGCGCGGGGGCGCGCCCTCCCCTGGCCGACATCCACGAGGTGGATGTAGCCACGTTGAGGTGCGTGCCCAAGCGGGCCCGGGCGGCTTGATCCCGCGCGCCCGGCCGTTGCCTGGCGAACGCTGCGACGCAGAACTCGGCGGCTGCCTGGGCGAGGCCCCAGCCGGCGGCAATGGCTGCGCTCTGTTTGCCGCCCCGTGCCGGCCGCGAGGACAGAAGCCGCGCCGGCCGTCTTCGCGCTCGGCCGCCTCGCGCAGCGGGGCGCCAGGGAGCGCCCGATGCTCTGGCAGGAGGCGCGCGCGCAACGCAGGGCAGCGGCGCCGGCGGCAGGAGGCGCTTGCGCTGCGAGGGATTCTGGGGCAAGGGCTGCGGCGCTCTGACCTCTGGGGGCCTCGCTGAGCCCGCGCTGGAAACAGTTCGCGCGCTGGTGCGCCTGCGCCCTCCTGCGGCCGCCCCCCCGCTCGGCCGCTTGGACAAAAACTTGGCCGCGCCTGAGCTCGCGCCAAACTCGACGCTGCGGGCGCTGCAAGCCTTCCCGCAAGGGACTGCCCCTGGCCCCTTCCGACCTCCGAGCTCAGCACCTGCTCGACGCCATGACCCCAGCCACTCGGGCGACGGTCACGGAGCTGCTCGCCGCAGCGTGCAAGATGCGAGCCAACGGAGAGGCCCCGCGGGAGCTGGCGCCGCACCTGGCAGGAGCGAAGCTGGTGGCGTTAGAGGAAGACGACGGCGGTCTTCGGCCGATCGCGGTCGGCGAGGTTCTGCGCCGCTTGACCAGCAAGGTGCTCTGCGATCACGTCAAGGGTCGCGCGCGCCAGGTGCTCTGGCCGCTGCAGACAAGCTGCTGCAGCCCCCTGGGGGCCGAAGCCACCGTTCACGCCGTGCGCCAGCTGCGCGAGCGGAACGCAGACGAGGACGACAAGGTGCCGCTGAAACTCGACTTCGCAAACTCTTTCCACTCGCTGCACCGTGACCCCTCGTTGCGCGTTGTCCACGCACGCTTCCCGGAGCTGGGGCGCAGGCCGGGCGCGCTGGGCTTGCGCGGAGCTCTCCAACCTGTGTTTTGGCAGCCACGTCGTGCCCTCGCAAGCAGGCGTGCAACGCGGGGCCCGCTCGGGCCCTTGATCTTCGCCCTCGCCGCGCGCGCGGTGTTGGAGGAGCGAGCAGGCGCTGCAGACCTGGACCTATGCGCCTTCCTACCTGGGCGACGGCTTCCTGGTGGGCTCGAATGAAGCGGTGGCGCGAGCACTGGCGACGCTGCAGCGCCGCTGCCCTGATTTGGGCCTGCTCCTCCACCTCGAGAAGCGCGAGCTCGTGGTCACCTGCGGACGCAGGCCGGGCGGCCTGGCGGACCTCTCCCCTGCGCCTCTCCTGGCGGACGCAGAGACGGGGGCCGACCGCGTTGTCCTCCGATGCGGCTCCAAGCTCCTGGGGGCGCCTATCGGGGCGAATGACTACTGCGAGGCGCTCGCCCAGCGCCGCGCCGACAAGACGAAGCCCGCCCTGGAGGTGCTCGCCAACCTACGCCCCCAAGTGGGCCTCGCCCTCCTGTGCTACTGCGCGAGCTGCGCGAAACTCGTGTACATCGCCCGCGCAGCGCCGTCTGCTCTCCTCTCGGAAGCGTTGCGCTGCTTCGACGACGGCCAGCGGCGCGCGCTGCCAGACCTGTTGGCAGCGGACCAGACGGGCGCGCAGTGGGATCAGGCAGCATGAGGGCTCGCCCACGCGGGGCTCGGTCTGAGGGAGCTGACAGCACACGCGCCCGGCGCTTACTTGGCCAGCCTCGCAGCCACGCGGCACCCGTGCTGCGACCTTGACCCGGCCTACACGCGGGCGCCGCGTAGCGCGGTTGCGCTGGAGGGGCAGGCGCTCCTGGCGCACAACGCCCTGCTGGCGCCAGCAGACGGCCTCGACCCGGCGGCGCTCGACAGGGCCACGCAAAAGCAGCTTTCCGCCGCGGTGGACGGACGCGGGCACCAGACTTTTCTGGCGGGCTCGGGGGCCGCAGACCGCGCTGACATCGTTTCAAAGATGCTGCCCGGCGCTCCACACTTCCTCGAGGCGCAGCCCAGCGAGCAGCTGGGGCTCCTTTTCGAACCCGAGGAAATCGTGTGCGAGGTCAAACGCAGGCCCCTCATGCCCGCGTGCGAAACTGAACATTTCTGCCATTGCCGCGAGGACGTCTGCGACCGCCGCAGTCGGCACGCAGGCCTATGCGCGGATCGCGTCCACCGGCACAACGGAGCAAGGAACGTGGTCGGCACCTTTGCCACCAGCGCGGGCGTCAACCCGACGCTCGAACAACCTGGCCTTCTACCGCCCCGCCCACACGACGTCCAGGTGAATGGGCACCGGCCTGCGGATGTCTACGTACCGTCCTGGTTCCAGGGGGCGAGTGCTGCCTTCGACTTCGCGGTGTCTTCGCTGGACAAGCAGGCCGCGTGTGTCCTGGCGTTCCACGAAGTGGGGCGCCCGGCGCAGGAGTATGAGTTGGTCAAGAGGAGCCTCGACACAGAGCGGCAGTGCCAGCAGCAAGGGATCGGGTTCATCCCCCTCGTGGCGGAGCCCTCTGGAGAATGGGGCCCGACTGGCGCCGACACTCTGCGCCGGCTAGCCCGGGCCAGTGACTGGAGACGAGGCGAAAGGCTGGGGGCGGGCGCAGCACGCCTGTTCCAGCGCTTGTCCGTGGCGATCCGCCGGGCGACGGCGCGAGCAGTCCTGAGGAGGCACGCGGAGCTTTCCTCGGCTGGCGGAGCTATGGCTGCCGCGCCTGGCTTGCTGGCAGAGTTGGGGGAGGACGGCGCTCAGCGCGTCCCGCCAACGATCCCTTTTCTCACCGCATCTTCCACCCGCCCGTGTTCGGGCAGCTAATTTGTATTTTGATTTGTTTGGCGTTTTTGCGGATAGCGATCCCTTCAGCTGTCGTCTTTTTCGTTCGTCGTCGTCCGTCGTTCGTCTCTTCCGCTCCTCTCGCCTGTCCCGCTCCTCCTCCGCCGCTGGCGTCTCCTCCTCCCCTCGGGGGGCTATTCCTTGCGGCGGGTTGGTGAACGGTGCGTTCCCTGCTCCCGCTTGCCGAAGTTGGGGCGTGCGCTGCTTTGCGCGGCCCCCTGCTCGCCCTCGTGCCCCTCGGGTCCTCCACCGTCGCTGCTGCTTGCTGATGGATCGACGCCCACGCATGCGCCCGTGCTGCTCTCCACGCGTGCGGCCCAGCACGCAGCCTCGTCTCGGAGGTTCCTTTTCTCATATTGAAGCACTCTGCAGAGTCGCGTGTGCCTTCAGAGGAACATGCGAAATGTTGCCCCTCGCCCTCTGCTCCGGAATTGTTTGCACACGGATGCATCGCTTGGCCATGCAACACCATGCTCAAATGTGCCTGCGTACAGAGCGCAGCCTCCTTCGGCCGCGTGCAGAGGGGGGTCATGCTGCCAAAGCCTGCACTTTCTCTGGCATGGCCTGGAATGCCAATAGGCTCGCACGCACGACCAGACTTTTCAAAATCCGTTCCGAATCGGTCACTGGACCCCTGCAGGGATCCCTCCTGGCCAGATCTTCATCCCGAATCGACTTCTGGCTATCCCAGCGGTCGGCGGCGAGCCCGGGGGCAGAGAGACGGAGCGGGCCTTCTCAGAAGGCTCGGAAATCTTCCGGCCTTCTCAAAAGCTATGATGGCCCTTCCCCGAAAACACAGGAAAACGCTCACCAGGCGCACGGGTTTCTGAGAAGCGCCGCCGCCTTCTGAGACGGTCTTCTCCTTCTCACTTCCCCCCCTCGCTCGCCGCCGAAACGGGGCTCAAGAGGGCGGAACCCATGAAACATCTGCCCGAAAATTCGACGGCGACGACGACGCCGACGACACGCGCCGCACGCGCGCGCGTCCAGCGCCGCGGGGCTTCTCGCCCGGCGCAGGATCCGCCTGCCACGCCGCGCCGCGCCATGCCATGCCCGCGGTCGAGGCCGGCCTGGCACGGCAGGCTCACGCGGGTCGCGCGCGGGGCCACCGGGGTCTGGCGAGCAGGGGGGTGATAAAGACGGTGGTCGGTGCTGACGGCAAGACAAGGACGAGCAGCCGACCGACTGTCGCTACCTGATAATATGCCAAACAACGACATGCATGTTGAAGGCCCAGCTGCGCTCGGGCTGCTGGCGGATCTGGCATACAAGGCTCGCCCCTGCACAGTCAACCCGTATCAGAAGGATGCGCGGTAAGGCTGCCACGGCCTTGGGCGCCCGTGCCGACGATCCTCGGAAGGGGGGCAGGCCATCGAACGTGTCTGAGGATGGACCGAAGATGGCCCAAGAAGCAAGGATGCAAGAGTACCCTTCGGAATCGGCCATCCTCACTGTCCGGATTGACTGTAGCACAGAAGTGGCCCACGAAGTATGAAAGTGCCAAGGCTTAGACTGCACCCGTCGTACGTAAGGACCACATCCCAGAGATAGTTTCGAACACCCCGAAAAGTATCGAAGCAGTGTTTGCCCGACAAGATGGCGAACTGCCAAACTAATATCGCCTCCAAAAGCCCGACACGCGAAAACCTTCCAATTTCGATGTTCGCTTGGTGCTCGAAATTTCGCTGTGGTGATCCAGATTAAAGTAAATTGGAACGTCATAATGCAAGCGAACAGGGCGCCCCGCAGCCGTGGAGAGGGGGGGGAACAAAAGGAGGAGGAGGAGCAGGAGGTGGAGGAGGAGGAGGACGAGGAGGAGGAGGAACACCGAATTAACGAATTAACCTGGCGGCCCCGGCCGGCCCCGCAACCGTGCTTCAGGGCGGCGTTCCAAACCTCCGTGCCACCGCCCGCGCACACCCAGCGTCAGCAGCATATTCGCTGCCCGCGGGGGCAGCGCAGGCTATCACCCCAGGAAAGGCCTCGCCAACAGCTGCGCTCAAGGCTCCACAGAGGTGCCGCAGCGCAGGCACGCCACACAACGCGGGCCCTGCGCCGCTGCGTGCGCGTGCGCCCTCCACGCGGCGCCTGCGAAGAGGAGGCGCGCGGCCTTGGCCAGCGCGGGCCGGGCATCTGCTCACCCGGGCCAGCCAGAATCGAGTCGGCAAGAAACCAAAAAAATACAACGCAGGGGAACAAACCTGCAACGCAGGGCTTCGTGAACCCCGGTCAGCCAATATGCGCGGCCGCCTCGCGGCCACGAGCGGCTCGCTAACCCAGATCAGCCAGAGGGGATCTTCGCAGGATCCTGTGAGATCCAGCGCCCTGGCTGACCGCCGTCTGCATTGACCCCCGTTTCTCAAGCTCCGAACGGGGGGCGCGACGGCCCCGCCAGCCTCAATCGCTGCCCGGGTTCGCCGCCGCGGCGGCGGAGGGGGGGGGCTGGCGCCGACGGCGCCGTTGGCGGGGGCCGAGCTCTCCTGGTGGTGCGGGGCCTTCGCGCGCCCGTTCAGCGGTGGCGCGCGTGGGCCCTCGGGCCCGCGGCTCTCCTCGTTGGCTCGCGAGGCCGCCAGCTCGACCGCGGCGAGCACGCGCTGCGCTGCGGCCAGCGCCGCCAGCCAACCACATGCAACTTTGACTTTTACTGCGCGAAGAACATGCATGACAGCCTGGAACAAAGTTCATTTTGAAAGTTGAACTGTGAATACCATAGGCTGCGCGTATAGCCTACGACATCGAGGAGGCTTCTGGGATACAGAACCAACGTTTTCTTCGAAACCTCCATCGCCAAAACCCATGTTCCACCTGCATGAAGGATTCTACATATGAAACGATCACGAGTCCAGGCTCGCGTAGCATTATTAACGTCATGAGATAAATGGTGGGCCACTAGACTCTGTAACTTGTCCGTGCAATTCGAATGGCGAAAACTGAATCCAACGCCCCGCAATTCCTATCATATTCAACAAATACCGCGTATCCGTCGGGAAGACCCCGCGGTCATCCACTGGCCCCCTGCGGACCCCTTGCAATGATTCCGCAAAGTGCCATGGTTTCCGCGCGTCCGTCGGAACCATTCCGCGAGGCCCCGTGGATGACTGTTTGAGTCTCCAACACAATACACGGGAATTCGCGGAATCCGCGCCCCCGTCGGACGGGTTCCGTGGGATTCCGCGCGATTCCCTGGCAGCAAAACCGAAAGGTTTCGCGCATTCCGCGCATCCATCAGACCGGCCCCGCGGACTCCATAGGGCCTCAAGGGGTCCCGCGACATTTGGCGGGCCCGTGCGTCCGTCGGACAGACGCCGTGGGATTCGGCGCGGTCCCATGGCGCAACTTCGACTCATGCGAACTCCGTGAATTCAGCGCGTCCGTCGGGGGGGGGATCCATGAGATTCCGCGATCTCGCAGGAGGGCCCAACGCGAATTCCGCAGGGCCCCCGCAGGCCCCGTGCATCCGCCTGCAAGACGCAACGGAAATCAATCGATTGCGCGCGGCCCCCTACCCCAGCGAGCACTCCGCGGGGCCCCGCCGATTTTGCGCATCCGCCGGAAAAGATCCGCGTGATTCCGCGCGGTTCCATGGCGCTACTTCCCCTAAAACCAACGGATTCAATGATTCAATGCATCTGCCTGGCGGCACCTATACGCTCCGTGGTTCCACGGGCGGGGGCCGCCGCCCATTCCGTGAGATTCCGCTGATTCCGCGCGTCCGTCGGCGCGACACCGCCGCGCGGCCGCGCGGATTCCGCGCGGCCCCCCAGCTGAGATTTCGCGGGATTCCGCGGGCTCCTCGCGACCGCCGGACAGACTCCGCGAAGGCCCGTGGGATCCGCGCAATTCCCCAGGCCCCAGGCAGAGACTCCGCGGGGCTCGCGGGATGCAGCGGATTTTGTTTGGATGCCATTGCAAAATTCAACGGCATTCCGCGGGCCCCGCGCCCCCTGGGGCTCCGCGGGGGGGCCGGGCGCAGATCGCGCGAAGTCCCGCGTCGCGATGTTCCGCGAGATTCCACAGAATCGGCGCGATTTCCTGGCGGCGACGCCCCAGGGCCCCGCGCGGCCGCCGAGCGCCGCTGACCCCCGTAGCGCGAGCTCCAAAACGCTCTCGCCCCGCGCCCGCCGCCCCTCCCCCCCCGGGTCGCCCGCCGGCCTCCGCGGGGGGCGCTCGCGAGAGGGGCGGCGGCGGCGGCGGGGGCGTCGGCGCCGGGGCGGAGGGGGGCGCGAGGAGACGGCTGGCGGCGGCGCCTGCACGAGGGCGGCGCGAAGAGGATCGGCGTTCGCGCAAGCGCCGGGGTTTCAACAGAAAGCAAAGGGCTTCGCGGAAGCCCGCCCACCCCCTCCAACTCTCGCGGCCCTCTCGCAGGGACGGCCCCGCAGACCGGTTCGCTGCCCTTCCCCCGCGAGCCGCGCAAGCGCCCCTTCCCGGGACTGGGCGCTCGCCCTCGAAACAAATGCCCCAGGAAGACAGGCGCCCCGTGGGCCAGGCCCCCATGAAGGAGACTGCTTTTGCGCAGGAGCACCCCCTATAAATAGCGGCCCCGCGCGCGCGCGGGCTTGCTGGGATGAAGTTGGAGCGACGTTGAATCGAGCGCTCCATGATGGGAATGCCCCGTCCGCGCGCGCCGAACGAGCAACCGAAAGTCGGAATTCACTGATGGCGCAGTCCCCGGCGAACTCCTGTTCGGCGCGGGATCGGCCCCCCATCCAAACGGCCGTCGCAACGCTGCGCCCCCAGCAAAGAATGCGGAGATGCATCCGGCGAGCAACTATCAAAAAGCAACCGCCCGTCGCCCGCGCGATCGCTGCAATGGAGCTCGCGGCCATCAGACCCGATGACACCCCTAACGACGCGCGCAGACCAGAAGCGACAGTTCGAGCGTTAGCCGCCGCGTCAAACGGCAACAACTAATCTGGAACACATTTGGGGGCGCGAAGCACGGGGGGCATTGAGTTGCCAGAACGACAGAAGAAGAACAAATACTGCGAACTGGACATGAAAGAAAACTTGGAACGCGCTAAATCCATAGCGCGCGAAACAAGTACAGGCGTGGCCCGCGCGGTTCATGTGCGATTCGTTGTTCGTATGTGCCACGTATTGCCTACGCCTGCGCAAAAGACGTCTTGCTGCAGCTCCATGCCCAGTGCGTGCTCCAATCCCCACCCCGTGCGTTGTCGAGCTTTGTTTGACTGTTGCTCATGTTTCCAATGTTTTCAATGCTGGGTTCGAATTTTCCCGTGCGTCTACGTCAACCGATGCGTCTTTTAAGCCGCCCCCATACTTTGTGCAAGCTTGTTTTCGCGCTTCCAAATGTCGGGCAACTCGCACTCGCACTTCCATTCTCCCCAGCAATCGCACTTGTTCCATGCTTCGAACTCCCCCTGCCCGGTTAACGGTCTGCCTGCCCGGGGCGTCATAAACCGATGACCCCCCCGGCGCACGTCGGAGCTGGATGGGGCCATTGCCTCGAATTTGAAGTTCGCCTCGCAATGGCGCTTGATACCTGACCATAAGTGCGCATGTGCCACCATGGCCACGATGACGATTGGCAGGCATTCAAGCATCGCCGCAGCGCGCGCGAGGAAGGCGCAATAATCGCCAGCGAGAAGAGCCAGCATCCACGCGCGAACTCCACTGGGAGGCCGCGCCCTGGATGTCGGCGAAATCACAAAAAGGAAGGGAAGCGGCAACTTGAACTGGAAGAACCAAGGGTTTAGTAGCGAGGCTGCGATTGCCTTCGCAACCGCGTCGCTCGCGCGCGCCATTCGACACTCGAAAAAGAGCACCTCCTGGTTAATGGTCCCGAATGGTGTCTTTGAGGGCGCGCGCTTCCTCCAGTTCGCCTGGATCGAACGCCCGCTCGCGCTCGCGTGCCGCTTGGACCTGAGCGCGCAGACGCCGCGGGAACCCCGCCAATAGGGGGAGAAAGCCATGAGCTGTTTGAGCGGCCCCTTGGCTGCGCCAGGGGGGAGAAGCAGCGATGGCGCAAGGTGGCGGAGGCCCGCGTCTAGATACAACGGCCAGCTGCGTTATGGCCCTACCTATAAAAGAATGGAACTGCGTCAATGCAAATGCAAGCAAGTGAAAGCGAATTCGCGTTGGCGTTCGCCTGGTGCGTAAGTGCAGCTGATCTTGCGACATCTATGCCTCTGCCGGCTTTGCCGCCACCTTGTGGGGGGCCTGCAGAGTCTGGCAGGTATTGCACCAGTTCTTGCCTGGGCAGCGCCCTATGCCTCCTTGCACATGCGGGGCTTCTAAAACCCAGCGCGAATTATCCACGACGGCTGTATTTCCTTTTGCCTTTGAGGACATCAAAGTTGAAACCTCCTCTCCACGCTAAGGGCTAAGGGCTCTTCCCATTGATGCTAGGTGTTCAGGCGCGTTGGGCAGCGCGCCTGCGCCAGCCGTCCGTGGAATACCCTGACGAACGCGCCAGCGCAGCTGTCTGCGCTGGCCGGCGCGGCAGGAGTGCGCAGACAAGAGCGGTCAGCCTGGGCCTGCGAAAAAATTGTGGATGGCGGGTGCGAGCGACGGTAAGATGCGCAGGCAGGAAAAATGCATTTGCGTAATTCTGGTGTCCTAGCTCGAAAGGCATAACCATGCCGTACCATGCCGTGCCCCTGTCTGGCGAAGTGGCGCATCCATGTACCAGCGGGTTGGGCAAGGTCCACGACCTGCTAGCCCAGGGGTGTGGTCAGTATGGGTAAGGGCTTATTGCTTCTTTTTTTCCGCGAGCCGATGCCAATGGACCTGAGACTGGCGTGCCCTTTTTCTTTTTTTTGCGACGGCGCCTCCAATGCTTCGTGCACCAAGGAAGCAACGCCTTTGAGGCAAATCCCGGCGTCCATGTCTATTAAACGTATGATTGCTGCTGAAAAAATGGGGCCAATTCAGGTGCAGCAGCGGCTGCCCTTGCACCCGTCACACCTCTGCTAACACATGTGAGCAAGGCGAATGATATGGGATGTAGTGTGTGCCTCTTCGAGAAAGAAGGTGACATTTAGCGTGCTGGTCATACACCAACTCACTGTTGGTTGCCACTTGCCATCCGCAACAAGATCACCAGGTCCGGTGCGTCAAATAGTACAAAGGCAGCCGACCTCACACACATACGAAATAATGCGTTGGGTTGGTAGCAACTGTTTTTTCAATCCGTGTGGGGGAGAATGTTGAGGGAGAAATGAAACGATACCTCGTGCGCCGTTGCATTCCGATGCTAAACAGCAATTGGCGCACAGAAATGTATCGAATTTGCGTATTGCGCAATCACTTCCGCAAATCATTTTACACGGAGAGCGGAGAAAAGAGGAAGAGACGGGGGGAGGATGATGATGATGATTCATACCTCACTTTTTTTCCGCCCCCATTCAGAACAAGATCTAGCCACAACAGTTCCCCTGACCCCTCGCGGGGTAAGTATCTGGCCAACTAGTCGTCCAAAAGCGGCTCTTGACGGTACGGAGCACTCTAAGGGGCTCCCCCCCTGAAATCGAATCGAAACCTCCCCATCCTCTCTGATCCTGTTCCTGTTCCTGTGACTCCTCCTCATCATCCACCTTCTTCGTCGATTCCCTCCGTCCTCCCTCCGTCTCATTCCGCCCTCCTACCTCCTCTTCCCTCGTCGTCCTGATCCCCAGCCTACTCTTTTCTTGCTGGTCGCTCGATGCGCACTGGTTGCTATCGCGAGCGCCAGCAGGGGCCGCCGCCTGCGCCGTCACCGGCCGCCCGAAGCGTTGCGACTCACCTGCCCCGCCGACCCCCGTGCAGATGGGGGATATTTGATGTCAGTGATGGCGATGCTGACGACGACGAGCGGAGTATGGCGGTTATGGTGATGAGCAATGAGCGATAGTGGTGATGACGACGGTGAATGACAGTGAAGTACTGTTCGTAAAGGGAGCGCGACCACAAAGCTTCACCCGACTCAACCTCGACCGCTGAGCGAATCGAAAGATCACCAGGCCAGCAGGGAACACCATACGAGCCGATCTGCGATGGTGAGTGGTCAGTGAGGGAGGATGCAGGTGATGTGGCAGGCGAATGTCGATACATGGTGAAGAACGGTGAGGATGAAAATGACGACGACGACGAAGACGACGAATCGGGCGGTCCGGTCGGGCGGGATAACACAGCGGGGGGGTCAGACGGGCGATCGCGACGGGCAAGCGGGGCGGCTGGGACGGGTGGGGGGGCCGACGTCGTATCTCGACGGAACGAGGTAGCTGGAGGTTCGAAAACGGCCATCTAACACTCAAACACATCAGTCCTTTACCCCGAAATGGAGGAGGCGACGACGAAAGCGCAGAGACACACGGTGACCAGGTCCAGGGAGGAGCCGATTCTGCCTCCTACGATCCCCCCTCCGCCCACGCCTCCGTCCTCCTTTTGGCTTCCGCCTTGATCTGCTCCTTCGCCTCCGCCTTCGCCCCTTGCCCCAACCTCCGCCTCGACGACGGCGGGAGGAAGACGTCTGGTGGATGCATCGGGCGCTGCGGATATTTCGGCACACGCGCTGATGACGCTCTGGGGCGATTCGTTTCCATCCTCGGCCTGCCTGACCTGCGCCCTCCCCCCCTCGGCAAATCACGATGTCCGAGTCCCGGAAGCCGTGCACGTAGGGCCCGGGCATGGGCCCGGCCAGCAGCGCCAGGCGCGCGCCGCCGATCAGCGCGGCGGCCACGATGCGCTCCCAGACGCAGTCGCCGCCCAGCTGACGACCGCGACGACGACGTCGACAGCGGCGACAGCGACGACTATCACCCGGACATCAGAGAGATGAATTGCTTCAATCCGTGAGTTCGTCCAGAACAAATGCAGATTCAGGAGTTCTTTTTCGAAGGACGATCAGACACGGATCCAGGACAATCAGACACGGATCCAGCAAACACTCAGATTCAGTTTTTCGCAGACAAGCAGACACGGATCCAGGATGAAAAGCTGCCCCCGGGGAATCGGTCGAGACCTCTGGGACCCGCGGATTGAAGCAACACATCGCCGCATGTCTGGATGATTACGAAGCTGGAGCAGGATAATTCGGGCAATGACACATGTCTCCACCAACACCGGGGCCATGTAACGTCATCCTGGTGTTGTGGTCCCTCCGCTCTGCGGCCTCCCGCGTTGAGGCAATCTGAGGGAGGGTTCGGGAGCGTCGGTCCCATGAGCCCCTCTCTCCTCAGGATTCTACATCAAAGAGCATGGTCATCCAAATAACCTGGTTATCGATGGGGTCGTGCCATCGAGCGTCGCCCAGTGCTCCCGCGCCCGCCTCGCGCCCCTGGGGCGCGACGGCTACGCGGCGGCGGACCCGTTCCGGAGGGGGGGAAGGGGGAGAGGAGGGGTACCTACACTCCTCCCATGCCTACACCCCGAAGCCTCCGAGGGAGGTGGAAGGAAAGAGCGGCGGGGCGTTCGTTCTCCATCTCTCCTCCTCCTCTGCCATTCCTCATCCGCCGGTCCTCCGCCCCATCCTCCCTCCGCGGCGCGCGCGGTCCGCGCGAGCACGGCGCTCGGGAGCCAGGTCCCCCCCCCCCCAACCGTCCTTCCAACGAGGCGGCCCGCCCGGGGGCGCCCCACCCTCCATACCCCCCAAAGACGAAGGCAGAATCGAGGCAAGATCGGACCGATATAAATCGGGAGCCTCAAGGTACCAGCGGGTTTCAAGGATGTGTCGGGCGGCGGGGCCGTTTCAGAGCGCTCCGAAACGCCCTGCGAGGGTTCCGGAACGCCCTGAGCCAGAATTCTGGCGACTCTAGGCCTCCGGCCCAGCCTCCCGGCCACCTGCCCACACAACCTCCCGCCCTGGCACCCGCGAAATGGGGGCTGAAGACATGGAGACGACGCCAAAGATTAGGTCGGGCATGTCCCCTTGCAGGCGGATCTTGGACGAAAAACAAAAACAACACTAAAATGCAAAAAAACATTCCCAAACATACTCAAAGCATCGTCCCCAGACTATGTTTTTACTATTTTCGAATATTCGTCCTGTAGAGAGACACGCCCGCCTTAAGCAAAAGAACAAGCTAACGTCTAAAGCTGACAGCGGCCGCGGTTGGGCAGGTGGGCGGCGTTCGTCCCAAAGTGGCAGCGTCCGCGGCGGCACGGATAGCGAGTCTTGCTCAAGATGGACAAGGACTGCTGATACACTCGACCAGGATAGTAAGAATGCGCGGTAAAGCTGCAAGGGCCTTGGGACGCCATGTTGACGTTCCAAGGCCCTTGCATCTTGCCGCGCATCCTTACTATCATGGTTGACTGTAGTCACCGTTCCCGTGTTTCCCGTCCACATTTCAGCCCAGACTTATATCGCAACGTGAGCCCCAGGAGATCTCGACCCCATTCCCAGGCAGGACTGGCTTTTCATGCCGAGTCGTTGCTTGAAGGTCCCTAGGCTCGGCGAGGGCCGCTGGTGGTCGAAAACTTTTAAGATTATTCACTGCGTGGAGCTCCCCATATGTGCATCTATTCGCATGGACCTGTCCGCCGTGAATGTCTAGGCGCAAGAGGTTTCGAATATGAACGGGATTCAGTTGTGACGGTGTGGTCATGAATCTAACTGCGAATGACTTGGAGTGTGAATGAGCCTCAGTAGTACGAGCGCGCCTCTGCGCATGAGCCTGGGGTTTCCTGGGGCCTCCTGAAACCTACTGGGGCTTCCTGGGGCCTCCTGGAGCCTCTTGGGGCCTCCTGAAACCTCCTAAGGAGGATTCGTGCCCCAGGGGAGGCCCAATCTCTAAACATTGCGGATCGGATTGGAACCACAGGAGAAAAGCAATCTATAGGAACATACGTAAAACACCAAGGACTCGTGCCCCAGGAGAGGCCCAATCTATAGGAACATCAGTAAAACACTCAGGATTGTGTACACAGGAGAAGGACAATCTGCAGAAACATACGTATAACATCAAGGATTCGTGCTCCAAGTGAGGCCCAATCTATAGGAGCATCCGTAAAACATATGGGATTGGAGCCACTCCTGTTGCATTACGAGGCCTCCTGCTCCTGGGGCCTCTCGGGGCCTCCTGTTGCCTTCCGAGGCCTCCTGGCGCTTCCTATGGCCTCCTACGGCCTCCTGTGGCTTCCCGATGCCTCCTGGAGCTTCCTGGGGCCTCCTGGAGCCTCTTGGGACATCCTGTGGCCTCTTGAATCTTTCTGTGGCCTCCTGATGCCTCCTGGGACCTCATGTGGTCTCCTGGGGCCTCCTGGAGCCTGTTGGAGCCTCCTGTGGCATCCTGAAGAGAATCTGTGCCCACGAATCTGGCCACCAAAACAAGCAAACCGATCGAGACATCTTCAACATCTGGCCCACCTGGGGGGTGAAAATGAGCGCCTCGCTCGAGACATCCTCCAAATCTGCTCCGAATCGAAGGATGTTGGGACAATAAATAGACAAACCGCTTGAAACATCCCCACAAAACTGCCGCGAACGGGACCGTGCAAAACCCCTCGACGGCTTCCCTAAGGGACGTACAAATGAGCGCCTCGCTCGAGACATCCTCCAAATCTGCTCCGAAAGCGAAGGATGTTGGGACAGAAAGCAGGCAAACCGCTTGAGATATCCCCACGAAACTGCTGCGAACGGGACCGTACAATACCCCTCGCCGGCTCCCCTTTAGGGACGTGAAAATGAGCGCCTCGCTCGAGACATCCTCAAAATGCTCCGAAAGCGAAGGATGTTGGGACAGAAAACAAGCAAACCGCTTGAGACATCCCCACAAAACAGGCACCGCAGGTGAGGGGTTCAGCTCAGCATGTTGCCCCCCGGCAGCCTTTGAAGCTCGGTTGCGGGAGGGCGGGATTTATGCGACAGGGCGAGCTGCGCCCCCAGCCGCGGCGTCTAGCCGCAGCGCACGTACTGGAGCAAAAGGGTGCTCCTCTTTCAAAACATAGGGTTCTACGACGTGACGGGCTGCGAGGAACCCGCGGATTCAGACGGGGGGGGCGCCGGGGGCGGGCGGGCGAGGGCCCCGGGATGCGCGCGCGGGCGGGCGGCGCATGGGCGTCAGGGGGCGCGCCGTCGGCCCTGCCCCCCCCGCCAGGGGGGGGGGGCAAAACAGGAAATTGAATTAGCTGAGCTGTCAGCGGCCGCGCGCGCCGGCGCAGAAGCCTTCGCTCCGGCGCATCGCCCTCGCGCTGCTTGCGAAGATGCTGCTGGCTCTTGCGGGGCGGGCTCTCTCCCGTGATGATGCGAGCTCCCCGCAACTCGCCCACTTGAGATGGCGAGGGCAGAGGCCAGAGGTGGCGATGGCGGCGGGGATAGGGGCGCCGTGACCGAGCGCGCTGGACATGGCGCGGCCCCTCGAGTGGCCGTGGGCCCGTTCTCTGTCGGACCAGGCATCTTCGGCGATGTTGGCATCGCCTCCGCTGCCCTGCGGCGGCGGCGGCGCTCGCCAGCCGCGATTGGCCACGCCAGCTGCTTAATTGCCTGAATGCGGTTGGGTGGTGGCCGCGATTGATCGACCCGGGCGTCGCCCGCGCGACCGTGGGCCCGCCCGACGCGGGCGCAGCTGCAGGCGTAGCCGGGGGTGCCGTCGCCGCCGCCCTCGTCTGGGCCACGCCCATGGCCGCGCGCGCCTCCGGCGGCGCCTGCACGGCCATCGTCTGCGCCATGTCGCCGCCGCGCTGGGAGGCCGTCGTGAGCTTCGCCGCGCGCGTGAACTGCTACTGCACCTGGTGTGTTGCTATATGCATCATAAGGTCGATGCGCGATGCCTGCTCGACAATCAGCTTGGTCTGGGATGCCTGGGACTCGGCCAGCGCGTTGATCCCTTGAGTCGCTGGGCGCACGCTGCCACTCGCCTGCCGATGGTATATATCCGTGGTAACGGCTGCCAATTCTTGCTGCCCTTTGCCAGCGGCCTTGGCCTGAGCCAGCGCCGTGGCCATCTGCTGGGCCCGGTGGGAAACGGGCCAAGCGGCGGCGGCCCTTGCGGCGGCGGCGACGGGTGCGCAACCGAGCCGGCGCAGGCCCCCGCGCCTGTCCAGCAGCAACAACCACCAGACCCAGGCGCTGTGCCTGCCTCCGTCGCCATGTCGCCCACCTGCAGCTGGGCGATGGTGGACTCGAGCTGGTCTATCTCCACTTTGGCCTTCATATCCCCTTCGCGGGTGGCCTGCATGCGCGCCTGGACGCCGTCGAGTATTTTTTGGGAAAAAATATGTGTTGAGCTTTTTTTCTCATTCGCCTTGGTGAGTGCCAAGCGGGCGATGAAGGTCTGCCTATCCGTACCTCCTGGGATCGCGAGCGTGTATTTAATACATGCAATCTCCTTCTCCGCAGCTGCATCCTCTACGCTTGTCTTAGTCATGACCTTGATCACATGCGCGGAGGGATACATGCGTTGCTTGAGGTCGCTCCTCCAAAACATCACCCTGTTCTCGTCCACAGGCATAGGGTCGTAGGTGTGTGTGTGTGTGTGTCTGCTGGAAAATGCGGCACATGTCTGGCGTTATGGCTGGGATGCGCTTGACTATCCTTTCCACGTCGGGGTCGTTGGTCCCCTCGCTGCGATCTCGTCTCCGTCGGCTGTCGCTTCTCGACCGTTCTTGGCGACCTGCACCGCGCCCTGCTGGACATGTCCCTCCGCACTTGCACTTTGGATACGTGCTGTAGTTCCATATCCCGCACTTGCAAGTCCAAGAATCAGACGGGATCTCACGTGGATCTGTCGGCCGTGACGGTTTTTCGAGGTCCCCACCGCAAACGCAAGC